TATTTGATCATCAAATTAACGGTAGTGGTAATAATATTATGAAATAGTTGATAACTATTTTGCTTCATATTAGTAAAAGTAAAATTCATATTTTATTTTTTATGACTATTCACATAGAAATTAGTCATAAACCACAAATTATTGTGTAACAAATTCTTTTAAATGTTACTACAAAAATTTTTAGATTAAATATTTAAATAGAACAGTTTGAATAGAGATTTGAATGCAATTCACTATTCAAAAAATTGCTATTTCTCTAACTACAATAGTGAAACATTTTTTACTTCATTGATAAAATCAAAGCTTTCATTCTAAATATAAAATAAATGAAAGAATTATTGTCATGAAAAATGGCATTTAACTTATGTTATACTTTCGAAACAAAGAAGAAATATTTTTTTTTTTAAATATTGTTACTTTCGTTGAGATTTGTTAAGGGTTTCATAAGCAAGAATGGAGATTTAATCATTAGACGACTGCATATATACTTTTTATATGCTATATAACGTATCTTTACTCTCAAAATACCGGATTTTCTTTGTCTTTAACAAAGAGATCCGGTTCAACAGTAACTGGCCATTCAACAATTTCGTATTCTGTCAAATGTTTTTAAACCTGCAGTACACACTAATGAAAAACAAGTTATTTATGAAATTTACTTGTTTTTAATCACTATAAATTAAACAATTTTGCAAAAAAACGTTACTTAATCTGAAAACCATGTTATTTATTTACTTTTTTTAAAATCTTTGTTTTTTCATGAATAAGTTATTATTTAATCCTTTAAGATATTTGAGTTAAAAAAAAAACAATTCCTCTGACACTAATAATGTAAAAAAAAATTTTTCTAGTCATTAAATTGTTAATATTCTTAAAAAGTTTCTCTTTGACTTCTTCCGCCAAAGATTATCTTCACTCATCGATCCCACAATCCTACTTATCTACACAATTTTTCAAACATTTATGTAAAACTGTCTAAACCTACATCAAGTGAAATCGGTTTAACTAAACTAACACACCCTGTATCTATTTATCACACACAACTGTTCTACACCGGATCTTCATACTTTTGATGACAGCTGGTTGAAACCTCAACCTAAATTTTTGTATTCTCATCAACAAGTTGTAGAACATCATCAGGAGTAACCTAGAAATTTGAAGAACAATCGGTCTCCTTCAAATGTAAGAGTTTTGTCCCAGGTAGAAAATGGAACTGACCAGGGCTTTGTTAGAAATCTTTATCAGGTCTCTCAATAGGAAGATAATGAGTCATTGTTCAATCAAAGAAACTGGACCAAACTGTAACTAATATTTTCAATGTGTTTTTCACCAAACCCATCAATAAATCTCTGTCATCAATACGTGTAACAAACTTGAGAAAGAACTACATTTCTATACCACATTGCATTATTTTTTTATATCAATCTCTGATCAAGTATTGCATCGAGACAATTTGTTCATTGCATCATTTTATTTGACCAATTTATTAACAATATATTTATTGATTTATCATCTGTGTGGTAGTGGTAATTTTTCCAGTAATGTTTCTTCTTTGTGAAGTTTACATTCCATGTTGTATGCTGATGTACTCTCAGATAACTCGAGATACGGACTGCATACAGTAGTAAAACGATTATGTAACATGTTAGTAATAATCGTAAGTGACTGATCAGTTTGAATTGGAAATAGTTGTTTTAATATTGATGTGCTACACATAAGTATTGATTTAGTCAAACAAGAAAGAGAAATATATTATAAAAACATTTATCTTTTGAAATATTTGTTATAGATAATATTCAATTCTTGCTTAGCATCAGAATTTTTCCTCTATCGATACCAGACTAATTATCAGACATGCAGAATCAATAATTGGTAACAAAACAATATGTCATTTTATCTAAAAAAAATAAATTTTAATTACTTAATATCGATTAGAATCTTGTTACAAATAATATCAACTCCATCAGAACTATCAACATTCAGCAAATAGCTAAAGGAGACTGTAGAGTGTTAAGTTAAAAATGATGTTATGTCGTTGTTAAATATTTTATAAAGAGCTATTTTATTCTTTTGATAGAGCTACCTATTTAAATGATTGTTCCCAAATGACTATAGACTTTCAAGCTTGTCATTTACCTCGTTAACATTCGTTTTATTATTTATTCTTATGCTGGTTTATGCCTTTCATCTTGACAACATTGGGTCATGGATAGCTAGTTGCGTCATTAACCCATTAATACAATGATAATAAATAGCAATAGACCACATTTTCAATATTGAAATTAGTTGATGAAAGTAGGGATAATTGTGCATCTGGTATTTAGCAATACTTTTTTGATATAATGTTTTACATAGGATTTAATCAACTGGGACATGGAATCGAATTTATCGCTGTAATTATGAAGGATGATATGAAATATAGAATTTTTTCTATTAATAAAAAATTGATGGAAATTATTTTAATTGTGTTGCAGCAATGTGTTGGATGACATTAAAAAATTGGAAATGAACTGAACAATTCTATTCAATAAAATTATTTTGTGAAAGTTATTTCTTGACTGCTAAGAAACTTGAAATATAAATAATATTTTTATATTAATTGTTTTATAGTAATAAATAATAATTAATCCATAATTTGATTTAAAATAAACTAATTTTTTTTTTGGAGCTTGATAATATAGTGAGTGCCGAAATGCTTTATTTTCGGTCTGGTTAAATTTCAATATTTTTTGAAATAAAAAAATGAACTATTACACAGAAAAGAATTGGAGTAAAATTGATCATGTTCATTGTAAATATTTTTCCTGGTGGGATGTTTGGAGAATTGGCGAACTTTCCTAAGAATTCTCGATACCAAGAAAACAGGATTGTTTTATGATTTAGTTTCTCTATAGTATATATAAAGTTTATACCTCCGTACGCTCTGGAATGTATTAAATTTCGATATTAATACACGGAACAATGAATATGAGGAATTCTTCGAATTTTATTCAGTTCAAGGATACTTTCAAGGAAAATTTTATTTACATTAAACTTGAATATCGACGATTGTTAACATTCAGCCAATATTTGAAGATCATAAAGATGCAATAAATTTAGTAGATGCAATAAATACTATAAATTGAGTGCAATAATAAAATGGAAAGGTCGACTTGGTTATTTTTCATGGTGAATAATGTAAATAAAAATTCAATAGGTAATCGGAAGAAAAGTACTTGATACATAATTATAGAGCAATATTTTAAAGATAGCGATTACTTTCTTTCACTTAATTGCAACTAGGATAGTTATAAGTCTTCATTTAAGTTATTATTAGTTACATAAGTGTGTACTCTCTCGTTTATTTTATTCCTGAGCATGAAAAAGAATGAAAATTGTGCGAGATTTCTCAAGTTAAATATATATCCTAGTTTTTCCGCCAGACAATTATTCAAGAAATTGTTTATCTGTCTTATCGCCGTATGTTTAAATTATGTATACACCAGACAGAAGTTATTAGATAAAAGTGTATATTATTTTATATTGTAGCGTATCAATTATTTTCAATTGAGTAGAAGATTCTAGTGCTACTGTAAGGTGAAGAATTAGTTATGCTGGTAGATGATTGATCAATAAATAACATTCATACATATAGAGGACATAAATGTCAATAAAATTAAAAATTAAATGGATAAACTTTTCTTGAATGTTTTGATATCATTTAGATTCCAAAACCTTCTTTAGAAAAGACTGAAAATATTAAAAAAAATATTTATAACTCATAACACCAATCTTGAAACTTTTTTCCTACATGAGATTTTGTATTAAGTGGAGTATGATCATTCAGCAATATCCATTAACGAATAACTTATTTTATTTTTAATTACATACTGATAATCAATAGCAAATTAGTTATAGGCATAATATGTATAACAGGTCGCAACGCAATTTCTCGTGTTGATACGTAAACTTGTTAGTAATTAGAACAGTAGTAGACTTATCTGCTTGGCACAGTAGATGTACCCAATGTTCATGATTTTATTAGTACGTACTCATATATGTACACACGTACGTATGTACTCTTTCTTTGCTGATAATAATTTTATGTTAGCGGTTGATAACAACTGATAACAAGCCAGTTCATCATGTTGTTCAATCTTTTTAGATATCCGTTCGTAAGGGGAATGACAAATACGTATTTATTTGAACCATCATCACTTGTAGACGTAAAAGATTTCTAGATACGAGCTTCGATTATTATGATAATGCCGTTAGACTGAATGGCGATCAATTTATTGTAAAGTGCTTTTTTAGTTCAGCTGAATTCAAATTAATGAGATATGAAATACTGGTTATTTTGTATTCACGTTTGATTCAGTATTTTGAGTATAAATAGATTATTTCTTTTTGGAGTAATCAAGTAGTACAAGTAATAAATTGATTTGCTTAATAATAAGAATTCCACGAGCTAATTATCGCTGTCTATGATCATGTTCAGAGGTGAAAAATTTATGATAAATAAAAAAAATTTACTGATAGTGATTATTGAGCTCAAAGCTGCTTCTTTAAGTCATAATCTATTACATTTCATCCTTATTTATATTATTTTTAGTCAAAGCTAACTTTCAACTTGAAATTGATCATTAATAATTTTTCTTTAAACTATTTTCGTAATTTATTACTGCAAAAATTATAATTTGTAATTCAATCGGAAATTTATCATCGACAGATTGATTTTTTATTGCCACTTTAATCATAATAGAAACCAGCATATTTATTATTATTATATGCTATAAAATAGAATTAAGAATTCTTTTGTGTTCATGTCCACTTCTGAGTAACCCTTGACATCAACTTATAATCTCTTATTTATTTATTACAATCAATTAAATCATGGAACGATTTGTATCCATCAAAGTCTATTACAGTCAATAATGCTGTTGACAATTGTTTATTATAAATATACTTTAATAATTTTAAATGAATGTATTAATCTCATTTATACTTTATTATAATTTCAGAGGGAAGTATGCAACGGTGAAACGATGTCGAGAAAGATCAAGTGGACAACACTGGGCTGCCAAGTTTCTAAAGAAGAGACGACGAGCTCAAGAACTGAAAGCGGAAGCTCTTCATGAAGTTGCGGTACTAGATGCTGCAGCACATTGCCCTCAGCTTGTATCACTTCATCAAGTCTTCGAAACGAATTCGGAGATGGTTCTAGTTCTTGAGCTGTAAGTTTAATTAAAATATTTTAGCAGATATGTCTAAGTGTTATTAGAAAAATTGGTTAATCTCATCATACAAGTTTATGACCTGCAAATATTTGCATTTATTGATAAGATATATATTAAAACATATTCGCAATATGTTTAGAATATTAATTTTGATTACCATCATGTATCCTATCAATTTCACTTTTTTTCATTAATCACGTTATGTTATCGTATTGATTTATTACAATTAAAAGAACGTTTTGATAAATTTACAAGTCTACACATGAATGTGTCTAAGTCAAAACAGATGTTTTTGAGATTAATTTCTTGTAAAAAACATATTTTTGCGAACAACTTGTGTTTTTTTGGTGATCAAAGATTTAAGATTGAAATATTTATTTACAATGAAAATAAAATGAAAGTGAAATTTAAATCCTCATTTGATTGATTTATTTAACGGTTTAATTTAAAAAATAGTTCTACATAAATTTGATCTGATTAAATGAAATAAATTGAAAAAATTCAATTCGATTGATCATGAAGTTGATAATTGAAAGACTAAAGTAATCAAAAAGATTCTAAATAGATAATAAATTAATTTTCTGTTTGAAAAATGAATCATCAACAGATGGGTTCATTGAAAGCATGATAGTAAGATTTTGAAGATAACAGTAGTTTAAAAAATATACTCTAATTCTAAAATTAATAAAATAATTAAAAACAAAACATTTTAATTCTTAATACAATAATCAAACCAATTCTAAAAAAAAACTAGATTACTCCTCTAATTTAACAATTATATTCTCGTATTTTATCTTGCTATGTAAGCATTGACATGAATCATCTAGAATTAAAAATATTTGTACCATTGTTATACATGTCTATCGTTATTCAAAGTATAGAACTACTCCTATTTTGTCGAATTCTATGCTAAATAAATAATACATACCACGTGGCAAGATCTGTTTCTATAGCAAAAATTGTATAGGATATATATCAAAGTTAAAATGTGGGTAAAATAAATCAAAATGTTCTTTCTTTGTAAACGTTTCGTACTGATGACGCGGTATAATGTTTGATCGCCAGGTGTTAGCACAAGGTGTTGTCTATGGTTTCGAAACGGTCGTATGTATTTGGACTGGGTACAATAAAATATCAAATTCTGTGAGCAATTAAGAAAAATGTAGAACTAAGGAATGAGGTTTATAAAATCAAAGGAATTATTGCAAAATAATTGATAAAATTATATAATAATTCTAGCAATAAAGCTATTAATTCAAAACATTAAATCATTTTTATAAAAAAATATAAGTTTAATTGTTTAATTATCATCAATCAATTTTTTTTGACGTTACATGATGTGAAGTTAATGAAGGTGTTGATATAATTAGAGTTTGAATAAAAAGTAAAAGCCTTTAAAGTTTATAAATGATTAATAGTTAAATTATAGTAAAAAAAATAATAAAATATTAAACAATTTTATTGTTTGTTAAATTAATATAGCGTTAAATAAATAAATTGTACTGTATATTTTATAATTCCATTGTAATTTTAAGTTAAAACTTTTTGAAGTAAATAATCAGTGTTGTATTCAACTAACTATCGAATTACTTTTTAGGGCGCCAGGTGGTGAGTTGCAGATGGTTCTAGACAGGGATGAAATTCCTGAAGAACGCCAGGTTGTTAGGTTACTACGTCAAATTTTGGACGGTGTTGCGTTCCTTCACTCCATTAACATTGCACATCTTGACATCAAGGTAAAATATTCAAACTTGAAAAAATAAAAGAAATAATGTAAAAATCTATAAGAACCATGACAACAAGTATCAAGTAACACTTGGTATTTTGATTAAATTAGAGATTGTTATGAGCTGCATATATGAAAAATCAAGATCTTTTTTTGCAATGCGTGGGTAAATGAGGTCGGCGTCAGATGAAATACCACAACGTCGCGACACCAGGCGTAATGCAAATAGAAGTTTTAGTTGGCAACCTCTAAGTTAGCTTAAAATGGTCCTCTTTCACATTCTCTAGATTTTATAATTCTTTTTTTGTTCTTACCGACAATTTCTAATTTATCAATATATTTTAAACACCTATTAACAAATTTAAATTCTATTGAAAGTTGGAAGTCATGTAGATAAATTCAAGGAAAAGTAGGTTTATTGTAGACACATGTAATGTTTGAATAATACCAATTTATAGATCATTTTGTATGGATATATTTTTCACCCTTTTTCGGTTTCCTGTGTTCTACATGCACGAGTAGTAATGGAACACTAATGAGATTATCCATGCTCACAACCATCTGTTTCAATTATCTGGACCCAAAACTGCTGCTTCTGTGATTTAGATAAAATTTCTCAGATATTAAGTGTTCTGTTTAGTTTGTCACAGTTCATTATTCAAAGGGAAAAATTTCTGGATGAAAATAGATACGCTTTACACTTAATTTAAAATAGTTTCTGTTTAAAACATCTGTCAAAGTTAAGATTGACATTTTTCTTTAGAGTTCAAGTATTTTATTAAGATGATACATTTTTGGAATCTTTGTTAATTATTATGTTATAATAAATGATTATTTTTTTTAAATTATTATTTTGATTGAATATTTTTCTTATTGAAGATAACATTCTAAGTAAGAAAAAATTATTATTTATGTAATAATTATATTCAATTTCATAAGAGCTATAGGATTATAAATTCATGTTAATATCTTCATTATTGATATGTCACATGATAATAGTTACGTTTTTTGAAATATTGTTGAGTCAGATTTATTTTCTATCATTTTGAAATAATTGAAATAAAAAACCAATAAAAAGTTTTATAGGAAAAAAATTGTTTTCACCATCGTGAAAGAAATTGAATGAATATATTTGCATTTTATATGAGTAAAAGCATTAATAATTGACAAGATAATAGACAAATTTAAATAGACAAAGACGAAATGAAAAATATATTAAAAAAAGTAAATTTTTTATGGTATTGATGACAAAATAAATTTAATTTTTATTAAACTTACTCTTGAGAAAAAATATGTGTTCATAGTTATTTAGTTTATATTTAATTGTTAACATCTAGTCTATTTTTTGAGTTATACCACATTATATCACTTTGACAGCTACTTAGGTTTAAACTTCATAAGTTTAAATGGATTTCTATTAATAGTTAATAAATATGTTAACTTCGGACTATTATTTATTTTTATTTTACAATTGTATACTAATGATACAATTACATAAATTTCAATTTGAATATTTAATCAACAATTATCTTTGAATTTTAAATAGCTCGTCGAAAAACTCTTTAAGGATGCATTTCTAAATTTATCCAAGACAAAGAAATCCTTGGTTTATTTTTTGAGAAATTAATTGACTGTAAAGCAGTGTTAGTATGCCAAACTTTTTTTTTTAATTATCTGCAACATTCATGGCCATCCTGTTTATTTATAAAAATCCCTAAAGTTGTTCTCTTATTTCAACTTTTTCCCATTTTTCTACTACAATAAATATATTTATAAATAACAACAGAACATTGTTAAATTGTAATGAAAAATTTGTCTGATGCGTCGAGTTGATGATAATAATTGTCATTAATATTAAAAAAAATATATATTTAAAGTAACTTTTATGTTGCACTAAATAGAAGCAAGAAATTAAGTTATCTAATAAAATCGGGAAGAATTTCTTTCAACCATCAGTAATCTATAAATCTTCATTTTTATTTAAGATTAATTTGATTTTAATGGACGATTACGTTACCAGATCATATAAATTACATACAAAAATTCAGAAAGGTGGAAAATATAAAATATCAAATTAAATATATAAATTAAATGAAACCGGCGTTGTGAAAGAACAAGTTTTACGTTATTTCTTTAAATACTTTATTTCTTATGTTTCCTTAACCGATTCGTTTACTTAATTTTATATTCCCCTAGCCTGAGAAAAATGCGCTTTTACTTTTCTTATGCAGTATACTGTAGCACGGAATTAGTTACTTTGAACTTAATACACATCGTTTACGATAAAAGTGAATAAATACTTTGAATAGATTACTCATCGTAATAATTATCCTTTTTTATAAATTACTCTATGAATTTATTTATATGATTTTCTTTTTCTTTCTTGTTACAGCCACAAAATTTGGTTATGACTGGTGAATTCCCTGATTGTGATGTAAAGCTATGTGATTTTGGTATTTCACGGCATATTAGCCAGGACGCAAACATTCGTGAAATTTTGGGCACACCCGATTATATAGGTGAGTATTTACATCAATTTCTATTTTATGATTTTATGATAAATAAATCACAATAAATTCTTGCATAAATTACGCAGAATATATTACTTATCTACAACTGTGTGGTGAATATGAGCTTTTAACACTTAATATTTCAAAAGTTAAACATTCTTTAACATTCATTATATAAATTATTTTAAAATTACATAGAAAAACTAAAGCTATTATACACAGTGAAATATTTGAAATTTTTCTAGTTCATTATTTACTTTTGTTGAGCGTGGAATGAAAGAAATAGTTTATTATTCATTAAAGGAACAAGAAATTTTTTAACAATTCCTACTGAGTGATATTTAACAAAAGATAATTCTTGATGAATTCCTACATAAATTAACTCCAACATGTAAATTATTATTTTTTTTTTTTCATTTATCGTTTTAAGTAAATAAAAAAATTATATTATTTCATAAAAAAGATAAACATTTGCTTATATTTACATTTGTTAGATAAAAATATTGGTTATATTTTTTTTGTATATTGTAATTTGGTTACTATTAATTTGTTAATGAATTCTAAACAAATGTTTCCTGTGAAAGCATCATTTTAAAAATACATAACATTACCCTTAAATTTTTTCTACTGAAATATTTTTGGATTAAAATATTTTGAACTTGAACTATTTTAAGTGAAGTATTTTAACTCTCTTCCGGTTATTTAAGCAGTTCATTGCCCATAATGGAGATAAACTCATGTACAAGTAATGTTGAAATAGTCTATTTATCTTTTTCCACATTATATTAGATATTAAAATTTTTTAAAAATTTTCTAAAACATTTCTTACCAAAAAAATAAGTGTAAAAGCAACTACAAACATTATCATCCTTTTTTTTATTCTCGTTATTTAAAAATTAAAATTCATTATTTACAACCTGATAGCATAATGTAATCTATGTATACAGGATAATAATAATGTTTGAGTGAAAATAGCGCTGAGAATGAAATTGATATTTTTTATTCTCACTTTCTTCACTATTCGCTCTTATATACAGCATACATGTGGGCGACCACACATGTTTATAACACCAGAATGTATAAATTTAATTGTCTCAGACGCGAAAGTGTTTATCGTCTAGCGAAGCAATTTAAATGCTATCAAGTTAAATCAGTCAACCAAAACCTTCTGATACTATCACATAGTTTGATATCAATCATGCTATCAACAAAAACTACAATTTTCAATTACCTCAATTTAATCGTTTCTATTAATAAAAATTTGAAACTAATTAAATTATACTTTATTAATCTTTTAAATACGTCATTTAAAGCGTGAAATATTCTGATGATTTTTTTCAGCTCCAGAAGTACTCAATTATGAGCCAATCAGTCTTGCTACAGACATGTGGTCCGTGGGAGTTCTATTGTACGTCCTTCTTACAGGATGTTCTCCATTTGGTGGAGACACAAAACAGGAAACATTTTGTAATATTAGTCGCTGTCATCTGGATTTCCCTCATGACTTATTTGAGGATGTGTCTGAGGAAGCTCGTGATCTTATGAGCAAGCTTATGGTGAAAGATGCAAGGTACTTAAAATGCTATTTTTAAATTTATGACTTGTCATTTTCCATGTACCGAGTATCACAAAGATCCTTTAAAAATTACATTTTTTTTCATGCAAACAACAAAGGTATTACTTTTAGCATATGTTAAACATCATGCTGATTAATTTGTACTCATTTTTGGCAAATGTGTTTATATTTTCATGTCTCTGGAACTTGAAACAGAGTTTGTTATGATAAAAATGCAAGTCTGTTGGTCTCCCCTTTATAATAACAAAATTGTTGATTCATATTTCGCTGAAATTGTTATTCAGCATCCGAAATCACTAACTCTTGAGACTAACAAGTATATACACATGCCACTTATTTATCAAACATGAATTAAGACCATTCATTAAGACTCGTTTTCTCATAAAAAAACTAATAAAATATCAATCGCAAATAAATTAAGCATATAAGTAACTTCCGAATCCTATTCAGATGAGTAATAAAATCGCCATCAAAAGTTGGCATAGGTAATGTCAAATAAAATATAGCAAAAACTTATTATAATGATGTTACCCATCTTCCTTATTAGATTAAAATTATATACTTATAAAAATAATTTATGTTTCTAGCCAACGATTAACGGTCACTGAATGCCTACAACATCCGTGGTTCTCACTATTCAATGATCCAGAGACAACCTTATTGACAACATCATCATCAGAAGAATCAGAAGTTGTAGAAGAGAATCCAACAAATGAAGATGTGTACTCTGATAAGTGTTCATCATCTGAAATAACAACTGATGACATTTCACACTCAACAGAAGCGAACGACGAGTTAGAGATATCGGAATGTTTGTCAAATGAAACCGAAATTCAAACTACGGAACTTGATGCTGTAACTTTAGAAGCTACTGCTGATTATTCGAAACCTACGTTACAAGTGACAGCTGTGAAACTTGGATTAAGCCCCAATAGGAAGGATACTTTTAAGAAAAATATGGAATCATTAGCACAAAAATTTTCCGAAACTGATATTTTTATTATTGAACAAAATAATTCATCATCAAGAACTACAGAAACCACCGTATCTGAGACTGAAGTATTCAAATGCACACCAGTTTTTATTCTTGGTGAAGAGCAACAATACAACGATAGTGGAAGTGATACAGTTTCTGAAATATCGACAGATAGTGCAAGTGATCGTAGCAGTATTTATTCTGATGATTCTCTAGATTTCATTCTTTATGGTAAAAGCCAAGGACGAGCAAGTTTTCCTTTTACTGGAACTGAAATGGATCGATGGGAAAGACATCATCCTAGAGCATGGTCACGAGAATGCAATGGAGTCGTGAACAAAGCTCTAAGTCGTTTTACTATTGAATCAGTATCCGATAAATTACCGAAAATTATCGTACCATCTTCAAACAAAGGAAAAACGGGTCTGGAGGCATTGAGAGAAAGAGGAAGTAATTTGGTAGTTATTCGGGAACCTGTGAAAGCTGGAAGATATACTCGATATAGTGAAGTTCAATGTGAGTCTGTTCAAGCAAGAATTCGTCGATTCCAAGTTGAAGGAGGATCTTAAATTCATGAGAATGAACTTAGAGATTGGATTTTATCTTGATGATATCGTTGGCGTACACATGAGTATTAAGGTGTATATTGGAGCTTGATATTGAGAAACCTCCAGGTACAACCGCATAATAATGCTGTTAACTGAAGTAGAGGTGAAGACTTGTAAAAATTTGAGTAATTTAAGGATAAATAGTCACAGTAAGAATTGTTAATTGCTTTACATAATGTCAATTGAAAAGAAATTAATAATCTGCTGGTTGGAAAAGTTTACACGAAAAGTTTTGTCAATGTTGGTGTAAATATATCGGAATAACGGTTAGTTGGATAAGTGGTGTGAGTGAATAAGAAATTAGCATAAACAAACGTGTGATAAGGACATTCTTTGTTTTCTGTCCATATCAATAGACTGATTGACCGTTCCTTGAATGAATTGGAAATATTGTACACAGGAGTGCCGTTAAGTGTTCATTTTAATCGCCATATTATATCAATCAATGGAACTTATTTTTTAACTAATTTACAATCGTAATTTTGTTCAGCATTTGGTACATAAATAAGTCTTTAATAATATTTTTAGCGTCAAAAAATTTCATCTACATGAGAAAATTGCACAGTTTATACATCATTTTATGCTATTACATGCATCAATGAATCGTTTGTGCTCAAATGTAACTTTAAACTAGCTTGACTCTAACAAAGGTAGGTCAACAGTTCAATTCTCTGTTTCCGTCATTCATCGGTAGAATAATGTTTTTAGAAATATTTTTCATGTTTATGATGATTTTAATTGCCGAAAATTATATTAATGTTTACAAATTCATTCATTGTTAATATTGAAGGTTTAAAATGGTTGAGAATTGAAACGTTAATTAGTTTTCGTGTTAAAAAAAAAAAAAATTACAAAAACAAGTTTAGGAAATTTTTAGGAAATGTGTATTTTTTAGAAAATTTAATATAATCTTTTATGTACTATAACACCATCGCTGCCTTAAAAAGTCGCCATTTAATTGTATTCATAGATTTAGTGTAAGATCCGCAATTAAACAAGTTCTAAATACCGGAAATAAGTTAAATGTATGAAGCATAGTGGAGACATTTTATAAAACAATGTTCATTTTCATGTCTCAAGGTTCCATTGAATATTTTATTATATCCGAGTACATATTTAGGTATCCGTTGATATTTTTTATTTCATTCAAAAAAAAATATATAAATATTCGTTATTTAAATTTGAATATTTATATGGAGTAAAAAATGGAAAATAATTAAAAAAGAATTGACAATATATTAGAACATATTTTTAATAATTTTTATTTTTTCGAATAAAAATTACATAAAAATTTGAATTTTAAAAAAAAAAGACGATATATTTTTGCGCGACATCGAAGTCAAATTAAAAAAAATCTTGGTGATGAGTGGGCGCAAATTGCTTTTTTTTAAATACAAATCTATTTAGTACTGAATAAAAGATTTATTTGCTAATAACTGTACCCATCTCATTATATATTCAGATAATAAATCTAGAGATATTACTTTTCCACTAATATAATCGAATCGATTTAAATGTAGATTTCATTTTAAATACTTTATTTTTTAAAAAATGATTTTGTCAACGGAAACCTAAGATTTATGAACAATATTGGCACTTTACAATTGTTTTATTCCTACAATTTGTCACACGTATGCTCCACTTTATTCAATTTTATTATTATAAACAATTATTATTTAAAATATTGAAATGTAAGGATATAAAATTTTGTGAATGTTCTCAGGAAGAACGTATAATAATTGTGATTTCATAAACAGCGAAAATATTAATGTGTATTGCATTCGAAGTGTTCTTGTATAATTGAAATTAATTAATGAATATTTAATTTATTATAATTATTTCTTGTAAATTCATCGTAAATTATTCAATCGAATTGTCAAGGTGGTGGTAACATGTCACGGACATTTTTTGGGTATTTGGAGCTCAAGTGTAAAAGAGAGAATTTATATTTTTGTAAATGCTAGTCATATTTTTGTGCATCTCTTAAATGTATTTGAGTTCATTTGCCACCCAAATATGTACCTTTATTTTCGTTCTTGTAATCATTGTTCATAATACTCAATTATATTTTTTCATTATATTTAATGACGTTGATAACTATTTAACCAGTGAACAATGCAATCATCACATAATAAAAAACTGGGTCGGGAAAAAATTACTATCTCATTTGAAATTACAGAAATTGGCTCATCAACAAAAATAAATCAATATCTTGTTACGATGATAAAGAAAAATTATCTGATAATTATAAAATTGTATTAGTGAAGCGATGTGTAATAAGATTTTTGTATGAAAAATATCAGATAAAGAAAAATATCAATTTTTTTTTTATTTCTATCAACTGTATAAAATATAATACAAAAATGTAACGAACAAAAATAGAATGAGATTCATTACGATTTTAATGTATCCATTTTTATATCTTTCTTGGCTTCTTCTTTTATATTTATTTATTGTATACATAATATTAAAAAAAATATTAATAAGTTATTTTATTTGTATTGGCATTTGTATGAAAATTTTATAAATTTTTAGATTTTTAAATAATTTTATTAAGTTTAATATGGCAATCAAACTCGTGAAAATTAGAAGTGTAAATTAAATATAACTGGATACATTTTATAAATGCAATTAATGCAATTATCCTTAATTTATATTGTAATTACTTTGATTATTTGAGTAATATTTTAAAACTGCTCGGAAAGTTTGTAGCCATTTCCACTGAAATTTTATTAAACCTATACAAATTAAAACAAACTTCCCGGGTACGTAAATATTAATTATACGAAATACAAACTCCAGTGATAATTTTAATTAGGGATGACCTTAAACGTAATGTTATATCGATACTTAAAATGTGTTTTGCAATATGTTACACTCCATATTTACGAAAAAGAAATTGTATCCAACATTCGCACATGTAATAACATTAGTTACGATGTTTAAATTGAACTTTAATAAAATAAATTCATTTTTAACGAACGAATCGACAAGATTTTTAATAATCGAAAATATTTAGTTCCGCTAATTTTTTATAAAAAAAAAAAATTACAAATTGAAGAAGATAATTTTGATACATTTATTGTGATAGTGGCCTTGATGTATCTTGATACACATACATATATCTGTATACTTCTTCAATAACATATTTTAATTAAAGTTAAGGTCATCCCCAAGATTGCTTCTAATTAAAATAATCACTCCTTTACAACTTGAAAGCTATTGAAAAGTAAATAGCTTTTGAATTATTTTTGTAAATATTATTTTAATTTTAATAATAATAAATCATACATTCTAGGATGAATCTACATAGAAATTGATAGATAAGTAATTTAATAGTATTATAATGATATAGCTTTTGTGCATAAAACAATGTGAATCATAAAATCAATTGTTTCCATTGATAGATAAAAATAAATAAAAAGAAAAAAAATATATCTGATGTGTGTAATTGTGAATGAATTTAATTCTCCTCTTACTTTTCCCGTGTGTCTATAAATAACGAATCATGAATGATGTTGCAGGTGATACGATGATTCATTAATGAGAGTCACACTTATTGTATCCCAACTATTTACAAATATCTATAAATACAATAATACGATAAAGAAAACAATAAATATCAGTTCATTCGCACATAAACGTTTTAAAGTTCATTTTACTCATTGATTAATTCTACAGATATTATTTTATACAATAACCTGGCAAAAAATTTGATTGAATAAGCGAAAAGATATTTTCAAGAATTATTTTTTTGGTAACAACTTTGCCACAATTTTTAACAGTAAGCTAATTTTTCCGAATGAATATTAATTGTTCCAAATTTATGAATCAATAAAAGACACCAATTTACCATTATTCAATTAAATATTTTAATGAATTGGATATCGTAATTTGACGACGGTAATTAAAGATTTACCATATCAAAGAAAGATGAAACATATAACCTTTAAAACTGGTCAATAAATATCCCAAATCCATAATCATCCAAGCTTGGACAATTTATAAAATTTATTATTGAGTTTGGAGGGTTTTTTATGTTTGAAAAAAATTTTTAATGCTACGAGAAAGAGTCATCTTGATGAAGATTGCAGAGGAAAGTTAACTGGAGATAAATTGCTGTACATACACCATAAATCAGTATTTATAAAAATTTTCAAACGTTTAAGTTCATTAACTACTACAAGATAAGTAATCAATTACTTAGAAGGAGAAATAAGAGTTTAATTTTTGCACAAGACATTGTTAGGCCTCAGAGTTCTTCTAATTAGAAGAAAATATCATATATATCATTACACAATTATCTCTTGACATTGAACAGATGCTGATTGTTGATGACTGGTCATCGAATATTTAAAAAAAACTTTATACAACTTTATAAAAAAGATTGAACTTTATAATGAAGAGAATGAAGGTTAAAGTAAATTTCATAATTAATTATCAACTAATAAGTAATTTAACGCTACATAGACACTGATATGTTATAATATAGCAAGATCTTATGCATTCAATACATAAATTAACAAATGATAAATCTTCTTTAACACTTGAATGATTGATCAACTGATTTATGAAATCAAGTGTGCTGTAGACTGCTATTGCATGCCTATAGATTATTGCCTGTTCATTTGCAATCAGCAACCGTAAATTACATGAAACATGGAAAAGAGTAAAAAGCTGACTGCTTATGAAGCAGACCAATATGCAAAGGTATTTAATCAAGAAAATATTATTTAAGATAATCCATAAAGCATTCCTGAAAGCTGGTCATCGTTTCGTAATGTTGAACATGTCTTGACAATTATTGCGTCAATCAGATATTGGAGTTATTAATGACTTACATGATATGTCGTTGAGAATGTTTAGATCAGTAACAAAATATCAAGTTATGTTCGAATTGAATAAATTCCATTAATAGTTGTAGCTTCCTTATATTATTAATACACATTGTTTTGAATATTTATCTTGACGGCCTACGATATTCTCCAACGACAATAGCTCATGTACTTGACAAGAAACATGTCAATCTTTAATGACCATCATATCAAAAACAATTCAGGTAATATTACATTGTTTAAACTTTTAAAAATATTAAAATAACAATTTTCATCGTTTAAAAGATTAATAAAACTCTTCATATAAGGTCTAGTACATATTTAGAATGTTTATAACTGATTATTTATTGCGCATAAATTTTTTTATGTCACAAAACTTAATAAACCTCCATTTTCCTCATTCAATGCAATTCAATAATCATATAAATTGAAGTGATATGTTTTAAAACGTCTTTTGCGTTCCATATAAACAGTTTCCTTAAATGTGAAATATGAAAACTAATTTAAATTTGATTTAATTTTATACCCTAAAATGTTTTCGTTTAAGAAATAAAAGTTTGTTGTCCAGAGATAATAAAAGTGAATCTGAATAAATATTCCTTTAGTACCAATTAAAATTTTATAATCCATGCAATATTTTTAGCGAGAGTTTTATTACCGTAAATCGTTCAATTAAACTCATCGTCGAATTGGTAACGCTGATATATGTTTCCCAGAAGCGATACAATCAGACATGGAAATATCTTCGGAGACGACAACGAGAGGGGTATCCACGCATTCATTAACATATTAACGCTTTTACAACCGCGTTTACCCTGTGCTTATCGTTTGAATAAAGGAAATACAAGACTACTCGAGCGATTTACTAATGAAAACGAGTTGAAAAAAGACAGTTTTTCGCATTACGAATAAAAAAATGTTATTTTTTAAAAAGTATATTCCATGGTTACCGGAACACGGGTGGCTTTGTTCATATGCCAAGACTTGGCGCCATCGCTAGGAAACACTTTCTTTGTTTGATTCAACCAAATACATGGATGCCGTGTCATTGTCACCGACAAAGAAACAATATACATACGATAATGTCCAATTATACTTGTAAACATTTCACAGTTTTTAATTATAAACAAGACCGGTCGAATAAACAATGGGATTTTTTTCTATCATCAAAGAGAAAATCATCTTGACGTCACTTCTAGTGGCGCCACTAACACAACACAAAGAAGGAATGGAGAATATTTATTATCTAAAAATTCACGATTACTTGTTATTTCGGTAATTAAAAAAATTGGTAAGGAAATATGAGATTCAGCATTTTTGTACATTGTGTATTTCTTGAGATTTCCTGAATTTACACATTCTCAATATATGCTTGTGCACGTGCGCATGTACATACATGCATAATATAGAGTCTGGACGGGTCTGTAAGCATGTAAGTATCAACATCGTGACTGGATTCTTGCTATGACAGAGCAACCACTTCCAAAGCAAAAACTAAAAAGGATGGCAAAAGAGAAGGGTGCTGGAAGTGTACGAGTGGGAGCAGAACACAAGGAGAAACTGAGAGAGTTACAGAGTAAAAATATTGACGGAAGTGAGATGAAAAGACAACGAGAGTAATAAACAGAGTGGGAGAAATCTAAGAAGGTAAACGAGTAACAGAGAAATACTGCTAAGAGTTGAAGAAGCTCAAGTTTTCTTGGTCCATGGCTTTACTGATCTCTTGCAGTTTCAGACTCGCAGTCAACCGTGAAGTTTGTCTACGAACTCGAGCAATCCCGGATATGCGATCATGAGATCAGGATACGAGGAGGCTCATCGTTCTTTATTATTGGATAGTGCATTTTAATTCAGTGCCATTTTCGATCAGTTTTAGGAATTAGAGGAACATGATAACATATTGTTATAGATCATTATATGATGGTTAAGACTATTTCACTTTATTCAAGTTGAGTATTGAATATCAAGATAAGTTGAAGATAATGCATCACTTGGTACGCAAATGATTACTTCTAATGTTACAATGAATCATGATATATAATATTATTGACATACTAGAGATGTTTTTGGGATGCCTGTAAATTAGGAAATTAATTCATCGCAATACCGCAAACTGGTGAACATCACGCACAAGTACTTTTCGGAACCACAGAGTATTCCACGATAATTGTGAAGCCATTCGTGAACATTCGCAGCAATAACTGTAATTACGTAAAATATCGTATTTAAGACCATTAGACTAAATTGGTAAATAAGATATAAACCACAACTATACGGAGGCATGTGTTTATTTTATGCAGATCAAGTGCGTGGAAGTCGCGTACAAAGTCACATAAAATACATGAATAATTAAATTATACAACCTGTCGTCTGTGTAAATAAATCAGTGGTTACTACATGAATTGTTACTCAATTCAGAATCAAAATCATGATCTATCAAGCTCCTGCCATGTCTTCAATTAAAAAATCATCACGTATTTTACCACGAAATTTGCAACAAAATATATCCAATTCTTCGACTTTTGGAGTAAAAGATAAATACGGAGCAGAAGCATCATCTGAACAATTACCAGAAAAATGTAAACTTCGATGGAGTAGAGAACATGTGAAAGAGGGTCTGGTTCATGTTGAAGAATCTCAGTTTTCAGGAGTCATCAAATCAGAACCAATCTCTGTGCATTACGAAATTGATCCGAAACCTTTTGCTAGGTGGGTATGGTCATAATAAAGTCATTAAATAATCAAATAGTTTATTGAAATTGAAAGTATTTTTTTTTCTACGACATATTATTATACTAAAAAGCATCAAAATGTGGAGGAGTTTATTACAAAACATAATATGAGATCATTAACATCATTCCTCTCTCATCATCATATAAAATTCACCCACTAACGTATTATTTCATCGAAGATGCTTTTATTATTATCAAGGACTATAATTGATTATTGACAAAGTCAAAAATAAACATTTAACATTCAGCATACGCAATGCTGTATAGAAAGGCAGGTTGAATTGTCTTGAATCTCTTTGTTATTTCAAGATCAATCGTCCCTTACCCGATAGGTATAAGGCGTGGGTTGAAACGATTTTTTTCGTCGCTGTAGGCGTTAAGAAAACAACAACTCAGCTGAGGCTGGTCATTGATTTTTATTTATAAAATGAAAGTATTAAAAGTATTTTATCTTCAACTTGAAAAAATTTATCTTTATAAACTTTTCCTTATGTCTAAAATGTGCCAGTATCATGACAATCAAACAATTAAGTAGAGATAAATTATCGGACTTTCAATCAAACTTTGAGAAAAAAAAATGATTGCACAATGATAAGGTGTATTACAAAGAAATATGTTACAATATTCTCTAATGTGGATTACACAGAATAACATTGAAAGGTTTCGACCTTGATAGGGTCATTTGAAGGTTGTTTACTATTCTGTAATCATCTCGAGGATACTTATAGTTAAGTTGATACACAGTTAGATCGACCAATTTAGAAGAATGATTAAGCTTGGTGATATAGATAGCAACACTCTAAAACTATCGATAAAATTATTTATTAAGTTTTTATTACGATATAAAGATTAATTATTAGATCATAATTAATAGAAATGAATCATTCATAAACAATATCAAATCTATTACAGTAATAGGTGAGAAATTTTCCTTCAATGGTGAAAACTTGAATTAATCATAACAAAAAATGAATTAAATTGTTTATCTAAATTCAAAAATCTTTGAAGAATAATATAATTTTTTGATGAAAATTCAGATAATGTTATTAGTGCAGAACTCCAAGGCTGAAAGTATTCCAACATAAATTGATTACCATCTCAACTTGTCTCATGGTTTTATTGCGAGAAAAATAAAATATGATTCACAGCCTTGCCAGGCGCCGTTGCGCTGGCCTTGTAGCTTTAAATCAAGTGTTTGGAGACTTCGATCAGTCATTAACAAAATAAAATCTGACCAAAATTTGATGTATATATTTTTTCATTTCAGCGGTCAATGGACTAAAGTTTATCGATGTCAATCAAAATCAACTGGGATTCAATATGCTGCCAAATATTCTTCCAAAGCTCGCTTCAATGTTGACTGCAGTACTGAGCTTCATCACGAAATTGCTCTTTTATCTCTTTGCTCCCAGTCACCACGAGTTGTTCATCTTCATGATGTCTACGAGACTTCAAAGGAAATTATTTTAGTAATGGAATAGTAAGTTAATTAAAATACGTCCAAACTCATTTATTTAATGAACCTTTTTTGAAGATATAATTACTGATTAAATAAATTAATTTAGTGCTCCTGGAGGAGATCTACAAACATTGATTGACGGAGACTTGGTACCATTGGAGAGCGATGTTGTGCATTTTATTAAACAGCTGGTGGAAGGACTCGCCTACCTCCACGACAGAAATATTGCTCATTTGGATATCAAGGTAAGGTGTGACGTTAAGTGTGAAAGGTGTTTGAAACACGCAAACATTTTATCTATGACTGATCAAATATACTTCCTTCTTAATAAAATTCATAAAAATCACATTTTTTCTGAATATCAATGGAGGCAATAAAAAACGGAATAAATATTTTTCAACATCAAAACTAGTTCCTTAGTAAAATGATTATCTTTCTTTCATAATATTGCTTTTTTTAGAAGATTGAAGATCCAAATCATCACACAAATACCCATTAATTACTACTTTTTCGTATACATACATATTTGATGTTGAAGCATGACTTGATTTTATCAAGGCAATTACTATTAAATCCAAGATCGAATAGACACTAATTGCTATCATTTTTATTGTCTACGTTTAGTTTCAAATTAGTAGCAATTCGAGGTAATTTTCTAAAAAATATGTACAGTCTTGAAAAAAAAAAAATAAATTGCTTGTTTTTGCTCGAAGGTTGTTGAAAAATTATTTAAATTAATTTATTTGACAGCATTACTCATTTAAGGGATTATAAAAATAACTATTTCCTTACATAAAAAAGCTTGACAGACAAAGAATCATATAAATTGATTTATAGCTGATGCAATTCCTTTCATTATCAACCAAGCAATTTCAATTTTATTTTGATTATTGCTGAAATACTTGCTTTTGACAATTTAAGATTTTTTTGAAATGTTTATTTAAAAGATTAAATAAAAAAGATTAGGTATTGAGAACAAGATAAAAATACTCTCTTATTATTCACTCTGTAAGTGTTTAAATGAATTTTCCACACGTGATCTTAAAAGAATTTTATAGGACAACGTGCCGCACGATGACTCGGCCCACCATATAAGAATTATGGTAAGCCTAGAGTTACAAATCACAGTTGAATCGGCATTTACTGATCTGTGTGCTCACAAGTTAATTCCTATTTTAAATTAAGTGAATTATCGTCAATTTTACGAATTTCAATGATTCAAGCAACAATAAATAGATAAACGAGTGTGAATTGCGGTAATGATACAAAATTATATAGTCACCTACTTGTAATGATACAATCAAATAAAGTAGAATTGAAGGTTTTATTTTAAAAAATTACGTTTCATGATCTTTGTTTCCTGATAGACGCAGTTAGTTTGATATATCATTAGAATAAAGGACTGCAATTTTATTTCAATAGAAAAGGAAACTAGAAAACTTTGCAAAAATAAGTAATAAAAATTTTTTATTAATAAGAATAATTTATCATCTAAAAAAAATGTTTAACATATTGCTATGATTCTAAATTTGTGAAAATTATTTCAAAAGAAATACGGTTAATAATAATGCATAATTAATATAGCTCAGTGGAAAAATGATTCAAATAATTAATTCAAATAAAGCATAGAAAAAACTCGTTATAACTTTGTTCTATATCACTTTTATTAATTTGTAATATGCTTGTAATACGTTTCAAGCTTTCCCACAAATATGTAGATGATCTGCTTCAAGTCGAGCGTGTTTCAGATTCGACTTATGCTTATCAATATTTTTAATTCAATTGCAACACGTGTAATCAGCAACAACAATCTCTGGTCAGTGGGCACATACGTTTTCTCTAATCGACCACACCTTACCTGACTCCCCTGATTTTTGATGAATCATTCTCAATATTTTAAAAGCCAGGTAAAGAGAGTGCTTTACATTCATTCAAAAATAGGCTTTTCCTACGGAGTGAAAAAAAAATTCTAAATTAAATTTAGCATAAAACTAGTCAGAAATATATACAAAAAGTAGGTGTAACATAATGATGTGATGATTATAAAATAATATTATGCAATGGAATAATAATAATAAAAAACATATTTGCTTTTTTCAAACTATTTGGTCATTTCAAATCTGATTAAAAAACCTTTTCTCTTGTTTGTTCATTGCAATACTAACATCCTACGCTGCAAATCAAATAACTTTTTCTATCTTATCAAGTTTGCGTTGTTTCAGACACTTATTTATGTTAAGTTTCAGAGAAAAAACTCATGAGATACAAATGGATTGCAAGAATATCATGTCTAGATATCCATTCATTATTAATGAATAATGTTACAAAGAAAAATAATTATTCGCTCATTTTAACTTGTACCCGGTTAAATTATTATTCCTTATTTTTCAGCAAAACAATTAAAATTAGTTTTATTTTTTTGTTGTATTTAAATATTTCTTATCAATGAAAAAAGTTGATGAGTAGTTAATGATTTAATATCATTTATTATAATTTATATTAGCCACAAAATCTGGTGATGATGGGCAGCTTTCCAGAATGCGACATCAAACTCTGCGACTTTGAAATATCCCGAGTAGTACTGGAAGGAATGGAAGTGCGAGAAATTCTGGGAACTCCTGATTACGTTGGTAAGTTATAAAAAAATGTGTGTAATATTAATGGATCATTGGAAAATAATCTTTAGAGAAATTCTAATTAATCATCATGCGTTAATGAATGGAATGATTATTCTAGAATTCGCTCTTGAAATGTTTCTTTCACTAGTTAAAGTTCATATTAATTAAAGAAGTTCATATTTTTTTCATTCATAAAAGTGTATTTAAAAATTCCATAATATTCAGTGTGATAAATTTACTCTTTATTAGCTCCAGAAATTCTTCACTATGAACCGATAACATTAGCAGCTGATATGTGGTCTCTTGGAGTAACTACTTACGTCTTACTAACGGGTTTTTCTCCATTTGGAGGAGAAACTGATCAGGAAACGTTTCAAAATATTTCTACCGGAGAAGTGGACTTTCCAGAAGAGTTATTTGAAGATATTTCTTCGCAGGCTAAAGATTTTGTAACAAAGCTTCTCGTGCTTGATCCCAGGTAATTAATCTAATCTCATTTATCATTTCATGATGTAATGCAGAAACAAGGAGAAACAATTTATTTTTTACTGTTCAATTTTAATTTAAATGAATTAAAAAGATTTGTGCATCCGTTAAGAACGGTTCATAGATGATTTAGTACTTAGGCTAATGATAAATGCTATGTCTTAATCATTAGCCATATTATTACTCATTAAATATCATGTTTTAAATACAATAGACTTGTTTATGCATCACGTTATTGATATAATGCATCTCAAGCATTTAATTATCTCATAATAATTATTTGTAAACACTTTCAAGTGCACGGATGTCAGCAAAACAATGTCTACGTCATGAATGGCTACGAGATACCCCAAACCAAGTATCTCCCCATCTGCGAAGATATTTATCTAAGTCGCGAGAAGTGCTATTAGAGCGTGTTGTAAGTAGAGAAAATCTACGACGTGCAGCTTTGATGAGTCAAGCCACCAGCCAGATTAATTTATCTGAAGCAGAGGTTGAAATGCATGGACTGACTTGTGGTCTTAGTCAAAGTGAAATGTGTTTGAATTACAGTAGAACGGGAAGTCCAAGTAATTTGACAACCAGCAAATGTTATTTAAGTCCCGCAGATTCACAAGCAAGTCTTAATTCTTCTCAAACAAATCTTGCAACAAGTCAAGTGAGTCTAGCTCATAATCAAGGTTATTTGCTAGACAAAGAGCAAACTCAAAGTTTGTTGAATCAAGTACAAAGTCGGTCTCAAGCCAATCTTACTAATATAACTCGTCGTGGACTTCTTTCAAGAATACGAAGTCTCAATCAAATGCAATCACAAGGTTCTTTACTTGGTGGAAAAATTTCTCTACAAAAAGAGTTAAATCCACTTATTGGCAGTAGGTCTCAAGAAAAACTATATGGCCTCAAATCACTATCTAAGTCTCAAGATGTATTGAATATTTATAGAAGTCTTGAATCTATTAAGAAATCAAATACAAATAAAAGCCATCAAAAAGACGTTGACAACATTCCGGCTATTTTTAAACAATTAAGAGAAGAACATGTTTGTACCACCAAACCCATTGAACGTTGCGAAAGTGCTGCAGAAATAATTGGAAGGTATGCTGATAGAGAGGAGACTAAAATTACAAACAAAGAAGAAATAGACATAGAAGAAAAAATGAAACGAAATTTCAATTTGGAAAAAAGAGATCTCTTAATAATAAAAAAAGATAATAAGTCTCAAAACTCTGAAGAAAATTTAGACAGTCTCCAATCAATAGAATCGGATACTTTGACTGAAGATTCAGATGAAACTTCATTAAATAGCATAAAATTATCAGCAAAACAATCGTCTTCAAGAAAATACTCTCATAGTTCATCACATTCAAATAGTTCTGCCAATTCTGATGATAAAGATGACAATGTAGAACTGAAAAATAGTGAGCCGAAATATACTGTAGCTCAGTTAGTTTCGGTATTTAATAAACATCAAGAATCGGCATCGAAACCTAATTTTCAGTTGACAGTCTCTGATGAAAAAGTGGACGGAATATCTTCAGCCACACCGAAATCACCAAGAGTTGGAAGAAAGCAATCAGATGGAGGCATAGAACGCCGGAATGTACCTCGAAAAATAAGCCATAAGCACATAAAAAATTGGGAAGAATTGAGGAAACAGAATGAAAAAAATGAAGCAGTTATCAGAGACTTTAAAGATGACTGCGATGGGAAATCAGAAGATGAAAATGACAGAAATAAAAATGATAGTACGTCTGAAAATGAATCTAAAGATTATATTCATCATAATTCATTTCGGGATTTGTTGTCTGATCAATCAGAGCGATCAAGTTATCAAAAAGATTCAAGAGAAAAATACGAAGCTACATTAGGAAATTTAAGTAAAAATATTAATAGAAATAAAGATGACTCAGTAAAACCGATGATTTCAACGACTGTGACAGAAAGTTTTCCAAAATTTAATAGATATTCTAGCTACATATCTTCAAGCCAGAAAGAATTATTACCCAGTTTTATTTATCCAAAATTATTGCCTCTGAAGGATGAAAAAGGAGCTCCCCAAAATAATGCGGAGCCTAAAAAATTTTCAAAAAAGAAAACACAGCTTCAAATAAATAAAGATACTACGGTAAACTTGAAAGATATTTTGCAAAAGACTGATAATAGTCAATTAAATCAAAAAAAGAATTTAGAAAAATTGAAAAGACAAATGTCAATTACTAAAAATATTGTCAACGAAATGTCAGCAGATGATTCAATCGCTAGTGCAGCATCAAACCGCATTAAAAGTGAATCTTCAGAAATGTTGATAGAAAATTGCAACGAAGATCAGGCCAAATCGCAAGTGCCTTTATTATTTATGAAATCATCACCAGTGACAAATGAAAATGGTTTAAATGTTTTCAACCAACAATCAGATGGAGAAATAAACTTGAAAGGTACCCGACTGCGGGATGACAAAGAAGAAAGTAAAATAATAAAAAAAGGATTTAGGTTAACTGAACGACATGATGATAAAAAGTCATCGATTGCACTTGAAGAAAAACGAACTGGAAACAAATTAGGTGCTGAAACTTATATTAAAGCTATGGATAGAATTAACAGACGTAGTGAAGGAGCAAAAAAATCAAATGTGATTAATTTATCATCATCGGAGAGGAATAAGCAAAGATATTGTACATCTTTTAGTGGAAATTATTCGTAAAGTATTGACGTCTTAATGATAAAAATTATATTAAAAATAATAATAACAATTGTAATCATCATTGTGATAGGAAGAACAGAAAATCCATTCATAAAAGTGATTGCAATTTTTGCTATCATTTAGCGTCAGATTTCTGAGTAAATTTTTATTATGAAGACAAGGACATGCATTGCATCATGATTTTTTTTTTAATTTTTCCAAATTTTTTAGTGTCCAAACGTTTTTTAAATTATTTCAGAAAATTATCAATAAATGTCTTCTTTAAACAAAATGTTATAAACAAAATTTTGATGTAATTAATTTAAAATCATCCATTAAAATGAGTTGCAGAATTAGAAAATTCCGTAACAATAGATAAAAGAGACATATGCTTCACACGTTAGAAAAAAATTGAAGAATTGTTCCGGTGTCTAATGATAAATAATTACAATAAATAGTGCCTATGCTGAATGGTGCATCACAAATGTTATTTGATTAAATTCATGAATATCACGTCAGTGAATATCAAACTATAATTTATGATAATTCTATGGTTCAATTAAATTATAAATTACACTTCCTTATTATACATTATTTTTTACATTTAAGGCTTAATTACTTGACCAATTTTTATTCCTTTTGTAACAAGAGTAATTATTATTATTATTAAGTATGATTAAAAAGAGTTTATTTAGTAAACTGAAAGATCAGCGGTGCCCTAATTGGTTTTCTAGGAAATTGTATTTTTAATACTCGATTTTCTTATTTTTAATAAATACAAATTTTCTAGTTAACTAATTACTGGATGCTGGTCATCCATAATTAGATTATAAATATTTCGAATAAGAATATTACCTTTTTAATTGCTTTGATTTTCATAATAAATCAAACTTTAAACATTTATAATGGAGAAGCATTAAAAAAAAAATTAATGAGGAAAGAAAAATTTCAAAAAATTTTATAAAACGTAAAATAAAACTTAATTAGAATAATTTAAACATAAAAATATCAAAGTCAAATCATGTATAATCCAATTTCAGAGATTAACGCCTACATATGACATTAATAGATTTAAAGATTTTAAAGAATCATCAGACACTGGTAATCAAAATTTATCTGACACTACAATGGCAAGTCTCAAAGAAGCTTATATGAAAATCAAGGTAATTCGAGAGGCTTTCTAATTTTGAAACAAATTTACCGTTTGATTTTTATTTCTAAATTAAGAATAATATAATTAAGATTTAACTAGTAAATAATTTATATTTTACATGAATAAAAAGGAAATTTGAGATTTAAAATTAAATATTTATTTCCTTAAAAATATGATTTTGTCATACTGATAGTTTTCACTATCGTAATTAATTGTATAAACTCAATATTTACGTAAAAAATATCGCCACTTGATTCCAATCTGATATCGTTCCTATTCCCATCGACTTTTTCGCACACGTTTTCTTTCTCCTTTAACAGAATCTCCAGTACTAGAGGTTGTTTGATCTGTACTAGAAGCTGGAGTTGGTGCAGCAGAGGGTGGTGGCGGAGGAGGCATGACAACAGAGGGAGGTTGAATTGTCTGTTCCCACGTGTGATCACTTGATGCTCGAAACTAAAACATTCAAAATCGAAAAGATTTGTGTTAATGAAAAAAATCAAAAACAACCTCTATTTGATTTTTTTCTTCTTACTTGTGTATTATATTGACTTCGAAATGCTGCTTTCATAGCAGCAAGTCGATCACTACCAGGCCCTTGTCTTTCTAATTTTTTTACAACTTCACTAATGTCTTTAGGAACTTGGGAAGGAGATTTTCCTGCCTAGAAATAATAATGAAATACATTTATGATTACAATTAATTTAGTAACATCAAAAAATTTAAAGGGTATAGGAAGAATAAATACCTGACTTGACGAAGACTTAGGTCTCTCCCTAAAACCGAGTCCAGCACCTCCAACATTCAAACTTTTACCCTTTCCACTTTTAAATCGTGATTTTCGGAACCATGAGCTCTGCATAGCTAAATCCATCAAACTCTTTGGCACTTCTTGATCAGCACCTTCAAGATTTCTTACTAAATGCCCAGCGAATTCTTTATCTTTTTCAGAGACAAGAGTATATGCAGTTCCTTTTTCACCAGCACGTCCAGTTCTACCAATTCGATGAGTGTGAGTATCAATATCTCTGGCTACGTCATAATTTATGACAGTTTTGATATGTGGAATATCAAGACCACGTGCAGCAACATCAGTTGCTACTAAAATATTTACTTCTTTTTTTTTAAATGATGTGATTACTTTATTTCTTTCAACTTGATCCATATCTCCATGCAATAACAAAACGTCATGTTCTTTCAATTTTAAATTATTTGCTAACTCTTCAGCATTAATTTTTTTTGTGACAAATATTAATAAACTTCCAGCACTTAAATATTCAACAATATTTTGAAGTAACCAATTCCATTTACCAGTTGGATTATTATGAAAAACAATTACATATTGACTAACATCAGTATTTGCTTCTCCAACATCTCCATGAACTATACGAACAGGATCTGTTAATACATCTCTTGCAAGTTTTTCAACTTTTTTTTTAAATGTTGCACTAAACATTAATGTCTGTCTATCAGGTCGTACATGATTACAAATAGATCGTACTTGTGGTTCAAATCCCATATCGAACATCCTGTCAGCTTCATCAAGCACCAAAAAAGTGACTCGTGTAAGATTTGTAGCTTTCATTTTAACCAAATCTATCATTCTTCCTGGTGTTGCAACAACAATTTCCGCTCCATTTGCTAATGCTTGGCTTTGTTCCCATTTGCTTCCACCACCATAACAGCAACAGACTTGTATATTATATACTTTTCCGAACTTTTTAGCTTCATGAAAGATCTAAAAACAAGAATTTATCTATAAAAAAATTTTAATTAATTAAATGATCACTTAATTTAAAAATAAAATATTTTACTTGTTGTGATAATTCTCTTGTTGGCGCTAAAATAAGACCTATAGGCCCATCTCCTTCTTTTAATTCTCTCTGATCCATTATATGAACTAACATTGGCCAAATAAAAGCAGCGGTTTTTCCACTTCCTGTTTTAGCAATACCTATAATATCTCTACCACTTAAAGCTGCGGGTATTGCTTGTGATTGAATAGGTGTAGGTTGTGTATATTCACTTTTGCGAATGGCTTTCATAATAGCATCATCAAATCCGAAATGACCAAAGCTCACAACCGGTTTTGGAGCAGCAGCTCCGGTTACTTTAATTCCTAAAGTTTTTCTTAATTCATCAACTTGTTCTTTATTTAAATTAGCAATATCCTCATGTACATTGTAAAAATTTTTTTCAAATGCTTCATATTCAATTTCACTGTGGTCTATTGGAGGTAAAGGATCAATATCCTTTTTTTTTATTCCTGCGATAGGGTTTCCGTCTTCATCATATTCTACTTCTGGATCAGATTCTTCTTGTTGTAATCCAGCTGTTGGATTTTCTTCCATATATCTGAAAACCGCAGATAAAATTCAGTTATTTGTATATCTATATTATTACGGTAACTGGAATAATTTTAAAACGTTATTCTCACCTATAGTAACTTTCTTCATCATCTTCACCATCAATGTCTTGTCTAAATCCCTTCGATTTATCTTCTTTTCGATCATCTTCTGTTGCTTGAGCTTTAGAATTATTTTTTTTCACTTCTGCATCAATTCCAGCCATAAAAGCATCTAGAGGATCTTCTTCACTATCACTATCACTTTTTTTCTGTTCGTTGGTCATTAAATCATAACTTGGAGAACCAGGCGCTGGTATATATTCTAGTGCAGGTGCTGGAGGTTCATCATCATCCTCAAAATATCTAAAATAAATGAATTATTGTCAAATCGTATTCTCATATTAATGTTATCATGCGATTTGTATCTTTTTAAAATCATATTTACTCTTCTTCTGTTTTGCTACGTTTCTTAGGCATTCCCCAACAAGCGGAAAGCGCATTTTCTGTGATAGAATTCATGGTATGATATCCTTGTTTACTTAATGATGAGTTTACGGTAGGTGGTGGAATATTAACTCCACTACGTTTCGTTCCAGCCACTTGGAATCCGGCAAAACCAAAACCCTTTGATTTGCCTCCTTCTCCACCTCCTCCTCGTTGATAACTCATGATTAATCTAAAATTAGATGAAAAAAATATGAATTTATAAGTTGTTTATTTTATCAAAATAAATGGAGTTATCATAATTTTTTTTAATTTGTGAAGCTTTTTACTTATATGCTGTATAAATGAAAATCAATTTTTGCAATTAAGAATTAAAAATCTATTAATAACGTTATTGTTTGAAATAATGAAGTAATTTTAACCTATAAAGTTTCTGAAATTTGGAGTTAGTGAAATATAACTCAGTATATTCGCTTAATCACAGATTTAAAATATTACTTCAAATTATCATAATTTGAATTATTAAAAAACACAATGGTTACATCATTAAATTCTCTACTTGATGTAAAGTTTTAAACTTTAATATAACTTTTTACAGAAAATTTTTCTGCTCCATTCAATACAGACAAACATAGAATAGAAAAAATTTATTCAGAAGAAAAGAGAGAGATGTTGTGTTGGTAATCATGGGAGTTTTTTGAGAGCCGTTTTTGACAGGCAGAGTCATCTATTGAATAAATACATAATTACATGTATGGATGGATTGATTTTTATCATGGCTTGGTAATTGCCAACTGATAAGCATGAAATTACTAGAATGCTATAAGGCAAAATGTGGCTGACTGATTTATCAAACAAATACAATAATAATGTAAGTTTGAGTCATACAAAAGTATTTTTGTATTATTGCCAATGCAGAAGTGTATAAAAGACATATGTAGACGACAAATAAGTTCTGAAGTTTAATTATATTGAACGAATTAAGTGAAATGAATTTAAAAGTTAATGTATATTACATTATGTAAAAGCATAATAGTGATTAAAAAATGTACTGACACTAATTATTCTTACGAAAACTAGTGTTGGATCATAGATCAAAATTAGTTACTTAAAAATTGATATTACAATCAAACATTATGATCTTATATGATGATAAATGCACTTGTCAATATTTTGTTTTGAGTAGTCATATTTGTAATATTTCATTTCTTCTCAATCGACGGTTTTTTATCAAATTCATGTAAGTAATAAACAAATTTTCGTTGGTTATAATTTAATGAATAACGACTGACGTTCTGCTCTAATTTTAGACGTCATCTAATCAAAACATGGCTTTAAATAGATCATCAGGCATGTCTAACATGCCAGAATTAATCGATCTGGCACAAATTTTGAGAAAAAATGGCGATCAAGTATTGAGTGGAACTAGTAAATTGTTATTATCAACAAAACTTTTGCATAACCTAAATGATGCCTTTTCACTGATCGTTGATGACTCAAGAGACTTCGAAAGTTCATTTCAAGTTTGTAATAGTTCTGAAATTGATTTATTTCGTGATTTGAAATTCCTTCATGATTTTGTACAAAAGACGATTCATTTAAAAATAATTCAGACTACTACTGAAGGTGGAATAGATATAGATATAACAAAATTTCGTCACCTCAAGTACCTTGAGCTTCAAAAAGTATGCATAGATTCTGTTAAAGGTATTCAAGGTATTCGAGGACAATTAGAGAGTATAAGCTGTACTGGAGGTGGTGGTGTTGGAACAATAGGCCGACTATTGGCAACATGTGGAGGTGATGCAGGCGTTGGTTTTGTTTGGGCATCACTGAAACGATTGGCTTTACCTTATAATAGTCTTGGAAGGCTTGACAAATCACTAGAATTAGCACCATGGCTTGAAACACTTGATTTAAGTCACAATCGAATTAATGTTGCCACAGAAGTAGACTGTCTTCCAAACTTAAAACATGTGAATCTAGGATTTAATAAATTAGAGACTGTTCCAATGTTCAATAAAGCAACTTATCGAAATCTAAGAACATTGGTATTAAAAAATAATTATATAGATAATCTTAGTGGACTCCAAAATTTGGAATTGGCAGAATTAGATTTGTCATATAATTGCTTGATTGATCATTCATCTCTTTGGCCTTTAGAAACAATTACGTCATTGTTGTGGCTCAATCTTGAAGGGAATCCCATATTTTATCATAAAAAACATCGGAATCTTACTCTCAAACATCTTTATCCTTCGTTAGCAGAAAGCAAATTTGTTCTTGATCATCAACCTTTGACTAAATCTGAAAAAATTATTGTCTCAGGAAATCGACTATTCACAGTTCGAAATATTATAAGTTCATCAAAAGTTAGTACAATAAATGAATCTGCAGAGCCTGGAGTCAGAGAGAGCACATCAACACAACCAGTAAATGATTTATCAACTTCCCAAGTTCCGACTAGTGCGGAAAAATCTTTTACGAAAAGTAAAAGAAAGCCGAATGTTCGAGAAGTAGATATTGCTGATGATGATACAATGAAAGAACCGAAATTAAATGATTTTCAAACTACATTAAATTTATTAGAAACTTCTATGGAACATCTAGAAACGAAGAAAAAAATTTTGGCTTTAAGAGAAAAATACGGAGGTGATAAGTGGTTGAGTAGTGACTCTGGATCTTACATTCAAGACATTATGGGTTTAGAAAGATCACGAGAGTGTATATTATCATCAACGCCAGCTATTACCACTTGTATGATTGATGCGAACGAACAAAATAAATCAATAAGTCCAGAAAATGTTTGTTTGAATGATAACACTGTTACTGAAGATTCAAGTCATGATGAAATTAAAATTATTCAAGAATCAAAAACAAATTTGGAAGAAATTTTAGAGCAAACAAAGGCTGAAATTGCTCAAATTGAAGCACTAGAAAATATATATGATCCTGAAAAAGATACTGGAGAATTATTTTTAGTGCGAAAGAAGAATGAAAATAGCGATGGTGAATCAGAGGTGCTCTTGATAATAAATAAAGAAAATATTAAAGAAGTTGAGGCCATTACTAGAAAAATCAAATATAAATGGTCAATCGATACTGTAATTTCTTGTATAATGGGTAGAGGAACTATACCTACGATTGATTTTATTTTTGATACAACTCGAAGAGATCGACAAAATCGATCATATTTTGCTGAATCTGAAGATGCTGTGAAAATAGTTAGAATTATTGGAGATTTAATCAAAGTTAGACCAATATTGTTGACAATATTCAAATGTATGAAATGTTCTACACATTTTTCTCAAGATCCTCAATCATCATTAAATGTAATAAAAAGTAAAACTATAAAATCTCCCACATGTCCATCTTGCAACAGTACACTAGTTATTCAGACTGATGAACTGATGACACCTGATTTAGAGAATGAAGATCATAGAGAAGTGATAGATAAAAAAGATGAACCAATGAAAGAAAAGTTAGATAATTTAAAAGATTCCAAGGAAAATTCACCAAGTGAAGGAGATCTGGAACATTCTACATCACATTCAAGTATTGGTAAGATTCAAAAATTAGCTATCAAACTTAGAAAACATAATGAATAATTATTTAAAAATGAGAGAATGACATTTTTTTAGTATGAGTAAGAATTGTATTTTGTATTTGTTTGAAATTAGAATAGATTCAATTTTATTTTTATTAAATTACTTTAATCAATTTAAATTATTTTTAGTTCTTAAAAGATAATCATTTGGGTTGATAATATTTTTTTTGCATATTTTACTAGAATTTATGTAATTAAAAACTAGTTATAAATAACTTAAATAATTATTAATATTTTTATTTTGGAAGTACTAAGAATTTAATTTGATTTTTTAATTAAATTGAGTTGAAATTAATAACTTATATTATGGACTTGTAATTATTAATTTGAATTTGAATTTCTTAAAAATTGCATTTTGTTGTTTGATATTGGGACTTTAACATACTAATCACCTGGTGCAGGTGGAACTGAGGGTGGAGCTATGTGCATCACCACTTCTATGGTGTACTCCGACTCTCGGCCCCAAGCCCAAGTCTGCTGTAAGCTTTTTTTAATCACAATTTCATTTTACAGCACTTACACTGAGTCACAAAAATAGAGATTCTCACTAAATCTGATTAATTATTTATTAATCAATAATTGATTATTTAAATATTCTCTAACAAGTAATATTTAAATTGCACTTTTTCTACTAATGCAGATAGTTTAAAAAAAAATTATATTCTCTGAATAGATGCTAATAAATACTAAATAATAGCAATCTGTTGTTTCTATGAGTAATAACAAAAATATTTTATAGGTTCAGCAACTAGCTTAGATGATTCTCGTGAATCTACACCTTCAACTGGTGCAGTAATGAAAAAATATGAAAGTGATATTGAAATATTAAGCAATCCGAGCCAAAGTAGTATCGAAGTATTGGATGATGGATCAAAGTGAGTATTAAATAACAATTCCAAATATTTTTCGTATGTTTATGGTTTCATAACGTCTTATATTACATTACTAAATTCCTACGTGATTTTTATCAGTTAATATATCATTCATAACATAATAAATTGACTTTATTTGTTGAATTATTCAAGTTTTAATTAAGATGCTTAAAGTAATTGTAATGTGTATTTTATTTGATGTAAATTAATTCTATTTCATCTTCATTTCATTCATTTTTTAATATTCAGGTCTCACTCAACACCAAATCGCAAACGATCCTCAGAGGAACGACGAATTGCTATTGCTCCAACCCTTTTAACAATTCCAGACACAACACCTGTTATGGCAGGTTTAACAGAAAGTAGTTCATCAGGTTGGCTTCATTTTGTTTTGTCTGTCAATTCTAAATTGAATTTTACCTTTAAATGTTTTTCGTACGTTTTTAGGTTCTTTGACTGATAGTATATGTACAGCATATGAAAATAAAAAATTAGAAGCATTAAAAATACCTGAACGAAGATCTCAAGTAAAAGTTGATCACGAACCTGAACACATTGAAAATGTTGAGAATACGAAAGAATCTTATGCGTCAGTTTCCAATCTTACTTCGATGTTAGGAGGTAAATATTTATTGTTATTATATTATCAAATCGTATATATAAAACATTATTTTTTTTTAATAGACTTATTAAGCAGCATGAAAATTAGTACCAGGGGATCACCATCCAAGTCAGCTGATGAACCTGAATATTTAACAAGCGATATTCAATACTCCTACACTAATTTCTCCAGCATTGATCACAGGATAAAACTTCATTTAATTTTGAACGTTTTTGAATTGGAAAATGAAGAATTAGTTTTACTTCTTAGAGCAGAAATTCTCTTACAAAACCAAATTACAACCTTTCCTGGTTGTTTAGTTTTATCAACATCTAAAATTTATATTTTGACAATTACTGGAATTGAAGGAGAAGATCCATCACGATGGCTGCATAAAAAAATGAGTTGGACTATGGATAGATTAAGAACATTTGCTCCATTGCCATTTAAACAAGGCGTTTTAGTAGAACTGGAACAACCTAACCGAGTAAATGAAGACTTGTCACACTTCACTGTTTTATGTATCTTACAAGATTTCCAAAGGACTTCTAATTTTTTATTTTACTTGACTGATTTACCTTTACCTACTAGTTGTGAAGTCGAATTTGCAATCCCTGAGCAGTGCACAACTGCAATACATAATTTAATGATGGCTTCTAAATATTATCGAACTAACGACGCCGTCAGAATTTTTGCACTTTTTTCATCTGCTAAATTAAACCTGGAGAATCAACCAGTTAAATTAAAAATTGGTGGTTTACTCATTACAACTTCGACGTTAATTTTAACGGAGGATAAATTAAATTGGCTTATTCCAGATTCTAATAACGATCCAGCAAAATTGACTGAACAAGCTATGAGTAATTTAATAGAAGTGGTAAGTAGTAATAGAAATTTTAGCTTTAAAAAAATTTTTTTAAAACTATTAATAAAATTTGTTGAAGGTTTCTGATGAAAAGGTGCTGGAGCTCAATTTTCTTGATGAAGTAGTCGGAATCGAAGAAATTTGGACATTAACATTTGAATCTACCGAAGCTGCAAGTGCAGTAATTAGTGCAATTAAACCACCTTGGGAAGAATTATTTTCTGTACCACTTCAAATTACTACAAAAGCACAATCTGAGAAATCTAATAATAAAATATCATAACAAAGTTTTGACTGCAATACTCGATTGTAAATAAGTAAACAGAATATTAGCTTGGTGCAAAAGTTTACTGTCAATGCATTTCAGAAAATATTTTTTTTCGAAAGTTTTGTCTACTATGATTATAATTTTAAATTAATGATCTGAGTGGCAAGAAAAATGTTAATGATTTTCTTCTGATTTTTTGAATGAATCACAATCTTTTTAGCAGAAATTCAATTTTAACTGTATTAAAATACCTAAAACACTTAGTTAACTATAGCTCAATTAACACTTACAAATTTTATTATTTTTTATTATCACAAAGTATGTTTTGATAATGTAATAAATAATAATAAGAGTAATAATATTAATGTGAAAAATTTGACAATGATATAAAGCTGTGATATGTAAATTTTCACTTCATTAACTTTATTGTAAATATTCAAATAGATTGAATAATATTAATGCTTTTTTCTATATTTCTGTCTAGATTGAAATAAAAGCAATTTTTTAAATATAATAAAAAATTTATGTTACAAATTTTGGAGTTTATCATATTACTGATATTAATTAATGATATCAACATGTAACACTGTACCATGAACCATTTTTATGCAAATACCTGTCTTCTTTATTCAGTAATTAACACTTGTGTGAAAATACAATTTTTGTAGGTTTGAAACTATAAAAGAGACACTTGACTTGAGTCTCGTGCTGTCATGTGGATCAAAAATAAATAGGAAATTTATTAACAGTTGGAACTTATTGAAAAATGTTTAAAAAGTATCTAATTTGTTTCTTTATTATATTATTTCTATGTTAGTATTCTTAAAATTTTCACTTTCATTGATTTATTATTATGAATCAATTCAGCAGATTGGTTTATTATTTTTTTATCATATTATAGTGAAATCTTCAGCTAATTTATTTGGATATAAAAAACACCGTGAGTTTAAAAAAAAATTAATTTAAATATGAAAGTTTCTATTTGTATGATAAATTTTGTTATAGAGCAACATTTATGGCCCAAAGAGTTCAAACAATGTGGTGGCAAAATGCAATCTCCAGTTGCTATTTCAACATCCAAAGTTATTGTCTTACCTCTACCTGCTTTGGAGATGAATGGATATCACAATATTTTACCGCGATTATCAATGATTAATAATGGTTATTCAGGTGGAGAAAAACTCTATTTAATTATTAAGTATCAAATACATAAATAAGATTATTTTTCTTTTAAGTATCTTTAAGTGTTGATTCCAAACCCATGGATAAACCACTTCCTCATATTTTCGGTGCTACGTTAAATGATAGCCATCGATATGAATTAGAAGGTTTACATTTCCATTGGGGGATGAAAAATAATCGTGGCTCCGAACATGTTATTAATGGTGTTCGATATCCTATGGAAATGCATATAATTCATAGAAACACACTTTATACGAATATAAAAAATGCTCAACAACATAAAGATGGATTAGTAGTACTGGCTGCATTTTTCCAAGTAATTTTTTTGTAGAATTTTAAATTTTTCTATCAAATAATTCGCATTTTTTACAGCTCCAAGATGATGATAATGACAATTTGAATCCAATTTTAAGAAATTTACAGTCAGTTCAGTGGAAAAATACCGCAGTAAAAATGAATATTTCCATAACACTAAATTCAATATTACCAAAGATCATTGATACTTATTACATTTACAAGGGATCATTGACTACTCCTCCTTGCAGTGAAGTTGTGACATGGTTTATATTTTCGAATCCTATACCGATATCATTTCGACAGATGAATAAATTTCGACTACTCTCTAATGGAGAAGATATCCTTGCAGATAATTACAGAAAATTACAAGAACTAGGTAATCGTAAGGTATATCTTCGAAAAATAACAAATAATTTTACTTATAATGAAAAATTTATGAATTTTAATTTTTCCAATTTAGAATGGTTTTGGAAATAATTTAAAACATTGATTAAAATTTTTCTCCGATTGTAATCATTATTAAATTATACAAAATAATGTTAACTGTTAATAATCTTTGTATATATATTTTTTAATTACCTTTGGGGTAAATTAGTAAAAAATTTAATTATTTTAAATGATAAATCAATATTAATTTAATTAAAAAAAATATTACGCAGTTGTTCTACTTATAACGTTCTAGTTAAATCGGTAATAAAGCTATGGGAAAGTTGTATCATTTTTTGTTTAGTTTAAATAAGTTCACATTTTAATCGAAGGTCAATAAAATTATCTGGCGAGAAATTAGTTTAATTCAATAAATAACTTTTATGTCAATTCAAGTATAAAATGTCAATTGATGTTTGTAATGCAGTCGGCCTTGCGGTAGTTAATAGTTTGACTGTCAAAACTTATCGACATTACTAAGATGACTTTCGTATAAAAATCAAGGACTTTAAAAGTTAAAGCTCACTTAAACAATAACATATGTTATAAATTGGTGTATCGCTTGGCAACGGAGTCATGAAATTACGAATCATTTTGTCTCAGTTGATTGTATACCAAAGCTTGCAGTAGTGGTGTGTTACAGATAACTTTGAGGTTATGATACGATCATCAACCACGTTGAAAAAAATAAAACTCCAATTATTTATTTTTAATCGGTGATGTTTATAGTCACTATTTCAGCTTATATATTCACTTTTTGAAATCTTATTTTTAAACAAAAAATCGATTAAAAATGGTGTTCGAATCAATTGTTACTGAGCTTCTCAACAAAATCCTTGGAGAATACATCGAAAATTTGGATTATAAACAATTAAAACTCAGCTTATGGGGAGGTAATTAGTTGACATTAACCCTTTTTCTATTCATCATTTCATAAATTTTTTCATCAGTTGATGATGATTAATAAATTAAAAAATTTGGATACCCATCTGTTTATAAGTACAACGTTTATGCAATCCTCTTAAGTCATATGTAATATTTATTATCATGATGTCATCATTACTCTATTTTTAGAGTACAAGGAAAACAAACTATCATACAATCAAGAATTACTGTCAATTTGTCATTACACCTTCATAGTATTAAAATAGAACATTATTAATACTCTAATTTGATGATCATGCACTATTTTTTTCTTTTTATTCACAATGATAATGTTCTTTTAGGTGATGTAGTTCTTAATGATTTATTAATTAAAGAAGGGGCCTTAGATGTTCTTAATTTACCAATAAAATTAGAATATGGTCGACTAGGTACGTAAAATAATATATTTGTCTTTGTTCGATATCTTTTAAAAAAAAACATTATTATTATCTACTAATAAAATATTTTTTTAAAGGTAAACTTGTATTAAAAATTCCTTTCAAAGATATGTGGAATGGTCAAATTGATGCTATTGTCGAAGATTTATTTCTGTTAGTCGTACCGACTAGCCAAGTAAAATACGATGCTGAAAAAGAAGAAAAATTACAATTAGATGCTAAACGTGCTGAACTAGCACGAATAGAAAAAAATAAACAATTGGCAGATGCAAAATTAACAGAAAAATTAGATGAATCAATGGTAGAAAAGTTAATAGCAAGGATGATCAAAAATATTCATGTTGAAATTAATCGTATTCATGTTAGATATGAAGATCATATTACATTCAAAGAGCATCCATTCTCAATAGGATTCTCATTAAACCGATTAGCTTTAGAGAGCTGTGATATGTCTTGGTTACCAACGGCAAATCTTAAAGATATGTATGCTATTCCTCAAATTTTTAAACTTCTTACTATGGATGGATTTGCTATTTATTTAAATCCAAATTTGATGCAATTTAGTACTCAACCATCCGCTAATTATATATCATTATTTTCTCGAACTATTGCAACAACAGATTTTGTTCCGATAAATCATCAATATCTCTTGGGTCCAATAAATGTCAAAGCAAAATTAAAATTAAATCCCAAACCTGAAACTGATGGAAGTAATTACGCAATTCCGAAAGTTTGGTTGGATTTGGAAATGCAAAAATTACGAATTGGATTAACTAAGCGCCAGTACCAAACTCTTCTACAACTTGGAGAAGGTTTAGATCAAGCAACTAAAGCAGCACCTTATCGAAAATATAGACCAGATATTTCATCGTACCGTGGTCATTATAAGGAGTGGTGGAAATTTGCTTATACATGCATTTTAGAAGAGGAAGTACGAAGATTAAAGAGAAATTGGGATTGGAGTCACATGAAAGGACATCGAGACCTTTGCCGCGAATATGCTCAGGTTTATCAATCTAAATTAACTACAAAAAAAGTGACACCGTCTATCGAAGAACGATTAACACACTGTGAGAAAAATTTAGATCTCTTTAATTTGGTTATCATTAGACAGCAAATTGAAATGGAAGTAGAGCGATTAGCAGAAAAAGAAAAAAGTCTTAAGGCAAAACAAGGATGGTTTGGATTCTTATGGGGATCATCTCATGTTGAGGAAACAGAAGAATTAAATTCAGCTGCTGCGATAATGAAAAAATTCGAAGAAGCAATGACGCCAGCAGAAAAAGAAAAACTGTATCGTGCTATCGATTATCAAGAAAACTCTGCTCCGGCCCATTATCCAGAAACATATGAAATGATAGATATGACTTTTTATCTTCATGGATTACAAGTGATTATTTGTGATACTGAAAAAGAATGCCCAGATGTTTTAGATATTCAATTTAATGGTGTTAGATCTTGCTTTAAATCTCGACCAGCAGCTAATGCCATTTATGTTGCAGCTTCAGTTAATGAAATGAAAGCTCTTGGTGTTAAGCAACAAGAACAAATTCCTTTTTTAATTAAAACTGACAGTAAAGAGCGGAATGATGTTCTATTTTCTGTTAGCTATGAAAAAAATCCTTTGGACAAAAGCTGTGGGGATCGAATCATTGTAAAATCTCAATCTGTTTGTTTTATTTACGATGCTCAAACAGTGATAGAATTAGTGAAGCTTTTTAAAATCCAAAATCAATCTGCTTTAAATCAAATTTCAGCTGCAGCAGCTGAAAGATTGGAAGGTTTGAAAGAAATGTCAGCCCTAGGGTTAGAGTATGCTATTGAAAAACATTCTCAGTTGGATATTCAAGTTCATCTTGAAGCTTCTCAACTGGTTGTTCCTCGAACTGGATTTTACACTGGATCAGAATCAGTAATTGTTATTAATTTAGGTAGCTTAACAGTCCGTTCTTTAGAAAAACCATCAAGTGAACTAGCGTCTACATCAGTTAGACAGATGGTGAGCATGGGAAAAAGTGAAGAAGACATTATGACCCATCTAAGACAACATAGTTATGATAAATTTGAATTAAAAATTGTAAATTTCCAAGCTTTAGTAGCTTTTAAGGATGAAAATTGGAAGAATGGATTATCAATCAGTGGCAATCCAATGACAATTCTCCAACCAACAACTCTAGAAATTCAATTCCACAAATGTCTTGTTACTGATGATCCAGTTCTTCCTAAAATGCGTGTTATTGGAACATTACCATCATTATCATTGAATATTCCAGATGCCCGGCTACTCCAAGCTCTAGCTATTGTTCAGAGTATTCCATTTCCAGAAGAAGATGAGGCTGCTCTTGCTCCAATGCCATTAGCAAAATCAATGTCTCAGCTATCGCTAAATTATGTCAAAGGATTAAAAGCTAAATCTTCTACTGAATCGGCTGACTCTAATGATAGTATTGCCATTAAACAAACAACTGATTTAGAAGCCAAATTTGTGATGGAAGAATTTCATTTAACAATATTTAGACAGACTGAAGAAATAGTGGCACCATTTTTAACAATTCAATTACTTCAACTAGAAGCAGAAATGACCAATAAAAGTTATGAACAAGAAATACTATTGAGATTAGGAGGAGTTAAAGTAACTCAATACCACAATGATACAGAAATTTTCATGATAAATACTCCAATGGCTTCAGGTCATCAAGTTTATTTGATTGTAGTTCAATTTGTGAGTGTCAATAAACATTCTCCAGAGTTTACTACTCGGCATGGATCAGTTATGAAACTACTGAATCTTGAATTTACAACTTTAGATGTATTACTACATCAAGAAGCTCTAATCAACATTTTGAAATTTTCTAATGAAGTTCAAGATAAAATGACTCCTCGACAATCACTCGATCAACCAAGAATTGGACAAACTAGTACAAAATTCTCACAATTAACGACTATTCAAGAAGATACTTCTACTTTTATCAAGGACCAAATTCAAAAGACGAAAAATAAGACTGAACGACAAAAAAAATCAGTAGTCGAGTGCATAGATTTGAAAATTAAAGCTAAAGTTGACACTATTAGTTTAAAGATGAGTAGTGAATCCAGAGACATTAGTGCTTTTTTTATCAGAGGAATCACTGCTGGATATATTATGAAAGTATCCTATTCACAAGCTAATATTACTTTGGCATCAATCAATGTCATGGATTTAAATCCGTCATCGACTTATAAAAATATCGTATCTGTTGAGAGTTCTGAATCTCTCCAAGTGCAAGCTGTCATTTACAATATTGACCCCAGTGAGATAAACAAACTTAATATGTCTATTAAAATCAATATGGGCTGTCATAGAATTGTTTTTCTAAACCTATTTGTTAGCGGTGTTATGAATTTCCTTAATAATTTCCAAGCTGCTCAACAAGCGATCGCTGAAGCATCTGCAGCAGCAGCTGAAGTTGCCAAAACAAATATCAAAGATGTTCAAGAATCAGCAGCTAGAATTGAGCTTTCGATTAATCTTAAAGCTCCCGTTATTTATGTTCCATTGAATTCCAAAAGTGAGCATTGCTTAATGCTTGACATGGGTAATTTAACTGTTTTTAATAATTTAAAGAGACTTACTATCAATGATTCTGATGATTCTCCAATCGTTGATGAAATGAGAGTGGAATTACAAAATCTAAAAATGTCAAGAGTTCGGTTAAATATGGAAAATTTTACTCATGAAAATGAAGTTTTGATTCTTCAACCTGTCAGCTTTGCTTTAATCATAAAAAGAAATTTGTCGACTGCATGGTATACTGCAATTCCAGATATTGAAATGTCAGGAAGATTACAACAGATTGAAGTTTTGATGAGTAAAGAAGACTATGCGATGATTTTAAAAGTACTTGAAGAAAATTTAGGTGAAGCTATAGAAGATCCTCAAGTAACAATGCCAGCAGTGCGCACAGAACGACAAAAATCTATTGACAGCCAAAGAATTTCTGTCAAGCATGAGATTGAAGTTATCAGAGAAGATGAAAAAAGTCCAACACCAAAAACAACAAGAACTTCAATTAAATTTGAGTTTATAATGGACAGCTTTGTAATTCATCTTTTTGTTGGTGGATCTAAGTTATTGAAAAGCCAATCGTCACCATTGCATTTACCAGAAAATGGTTTAGCTAAATTTGGATTAACTTATTTAGCTTTGAAAGGAACAGTTTTTGCTGATGGATTACTCGCTACATCTATTCTACTCATGAATTGTACACTAGATGATACTCGTCAATCTCGTCAAGGCCATCTTGTACGAATCATGCAGCGAATATCGCCAGTACCATCATTAGAAAATCTTTCTAGTGAAATTCAACAAAAAGAAAAAACTCGTAGCATGTTAGATGTAACAATTCGTCAGGGTTCAAATGATACTTTTATTGATGTTCGAGTATTCTCATTTAGTATAATTGTGTCAGTAGATTATTTAATGAAAATAAAAGACTTCTTTGCCATAGAACCTTCACAATCATCTGTATCTCCAACAATGCCTCAAAAAGGAAATAATGACATTCCGAGAAGAAAAACTGCACCTCCACCCAAACAAACGATGATAACAGTAAATTTACATGTAGAAAAACCGGATATCATTCTTTTAGAAGATTTAGATGATATCAACAGTAATTGTATTATATTAAATACTGAGTTAATAATGAAATTAAGAATGATTGGAGAACATCAAGTAATAAATGGATCTGTTAAAGATTTTTCCATTTTAACAGGCGTTCATAATCCTGAAAAACGAGCTGAAAGTATTTATCAAGTCTTGAAACCCTGCAGTCTTAGTATTGCTGGCTCTACGCCTGAAAATAAAGGTCTACATGTTGATGTTTGCTGTACAGAAATTCACATTTCAGTATCTCCTGGTACTATAGAAATTCTTAATCGAGTACTCCGTGGAGTAACATCAAAAGAGCTTGAAGAGGGAGAAATTGTCAAATCAGATCCAACTCATGAAGGTTTATGGTTAATTACGCCTTACGAAGAAAACAATTACTGGTTCCTTAAAACAGAAGTAGCTACTGAAGCTCTTGAAGATTTTGTTTACACTGATGCTGAAGTTTTGGCATACAAACCAGAACTAGCAATAGTTTCAGCACCAACGATATTATTAACTTTAGAAGCTGGTATTGGAAATAAAACTCTTCCAATGTTAATGCTCCATATGGGCTTTCAAAGCAATGTAATCGATTGGAGCACTAAAACTATGAGCATTGATGCTACAATGTCTTTAATTATAGCTTATTACAATAGCCGTTTAGCTTTGTGGGAACCTTTAATAGAACCTATTGAAGTAATGAAAAATAATGAGAGGCACTCAAGTCCTTGGGAATTAAAGACTAAAGTTCAATTTCATGATTTAGCTCCAGATTCTAGAGGTGCTAGTGCTATTTCTCCTAGTTTAGAAAGTGAACCTGACGATTTTCATCAATCTGCAAGAATGTCAATAGATGTAGAATCATCAGATAATTTAGAAATCACCGTAACAAAGACTTGTTTAGAGGTTTTGCAACAGTTAGGCAATGCCTTTTCTAGTGCAATGGAAATGACTGATAAAACTAGCAAAAAATTAGCTCCTTACGTCTTGAAGAATGAGACAGGCCTAATGATAGTGCTAGATCTAGAGTCTAGTAATTTTCAAGTTTTGGGGAAAAATATGGAACCAGTTCAGACAGGCTTAGGATCTGAAGCATACTCAGAGGTGATTTTGGATACCGGAGCTTCGATTCAACTGGCTACAACGACTGATAAAACGAGCATTAATATTTTAGAACAATTAAAAAATGTTACTGTGAAAGAAGAAAGTGATTATAAATTTGTTGTGATGTTTCGAGGAATACAAAATAAATTAGAAATTCCAGTTTTGAGAGCTGACAAAAGATTTTTCTCTCTCAAATATCGAAAAGATGGCTCGGAAGAATGGGGAATAATCTCAGATGTTGTGGTAGAAAATGGAAGCACTATCGTAACTTTAAGGAGTGTTCTTCAAGTTCATAATCATTTTATGGAACCTATTTCGGTTTATTACATGACAAAGACTGGAAATGAAGTCGAATGTGTTGGAGAAGTTGGACCTGATGAAAAACTTAATTTACCTTTAGATGCTGTTTATACACCAACAAATATTTATTGGCTCTTTTTCAGTGTTAATGGATATATGGTATCAGTAGAGCCATTCATTTGGAAGGATCTGCAAAAAACAGTCAGCATGACAAAACTTCTTAAATGTGAATCACGAGCCAAAGAGCCAAAAGAACCATTTTACATTCAGGTATATTAAAAAATATATATTTTTATAATTTTTTTACTTTTTTAATATTGACAGTATAAAAATATGAATACTGCACGCGATTTTAGATTATTTTCGCCATGATTGCGGTTGGTTGTTTAATATATAATAACAATAATTTCGGTTTATTGTTGAACTCTATTGATTGGCGAACGAAATTATTCAATTTTCTTACTAATGATAATAAAAAAATGTTGAATTACCTGAAATCAGAATCACCAAAATATTTTGATGCTCCAATCCAGGTATTATTTAAGTTTAATGTTAGGATTTGAGAAATTTTTTTTATGCAAAAATTCAAAAGCTATAATTGTTAAAATTTTTTTTATGAACACAGTGTTTGCATGAATTTATTGTGATGAATCAGCGTTAAAATTTAATCAAGTTATTTGCATTATTAAATAAAAATGCATTGAAACTGAATCTAATTATTAATTTTGGTTTATATACTTGTAGAATTAGTTTCTTAGTGAATATATTGAAGAAATAAGTTCGATAATTGAGAATGAATTTCACATTTTTTAATTAATTATTTTAAAATGTACTTTAATAATAACATAAATCAAATGAAAATATGACAAAATTTATTAATTTTACAGGCTGTTGGAGAAATAGAACAGGTTTACTTCGAAAATACAATGAGACATACAATTTCCAGCACAATTTACAATATACATTTATACCCATCTGTTTACTTAAAAAATTTTCTACCTATTGACATTATAATAATTCTTCCTGGAACGGTTGAAGAAAAATTGGTTAAAGCTAGTACTACATTACAAATGCCTACAATTGATTCTACTCATTCGAATATCATCATAAAGGTAGATTTCATTAATTAATAATTATAGTTATTGTCACCATTAATTCATTATCACACTAATCAATTTTTTTTACCGATCAACAGTTACCACAATATTTAGAGAAAGACTGGTCATGTAAAGGCGAAATAGTGGCTAATCCTCCAGAATTTTCAGTATGGTCATTTGAATCCTTCGATAGCGCACAAAAAGTTGTCATGGATTTAGGAATGCATTGCTCCTTCTTTCATGGATCCGTTATCATGGCACTTTACTGTCCATTTTGGATGTTAAATAAAACAGGATTAATGTTATCATATCGAGTGAGTATAAGAAACAAAATATTTGAAAATTAATTAATGGGATAATGTTGGTGAAAAATGATTAATCAATTGCATTATTATTTTCTGATAGTAAATTGCATCGTGTACTTGTCTTTGTTTTCTTTGTTTTTGGTTATTTGTTTACTTTTAAATTCTGCTTGAAACTCTTTACTTCTTTTATTTCTGGCTTTTAATAATTATAATAGATAATTTTCTGATTAACTAAATTGGCAATTTGAAAAATTACTTTTTATTAACTTTTTTTTTTGAGAACAGGGAAAGCAGAACTGCGTTCAATCATTTAATAAATATTGAGTAAGATAATTTATAATCTTTTTACAGAAGATATTGTAAATATTTCCAATTTACATTTGTTATTCGCTATTTTTCTTGAAACCAAATATTAATTCAATATTCACTTATGAATTAAAATAATATGCATGATAAAATTTGTTATGAAAAATATCCATAATATTTCTATATTTTGATGCCTTTTCATCATCTTTTTTATGGTCGATGAGAATTTTATTAATGTATCGAATATAAATAAAAAATTCAGTTATCACCAATCTGCGATTAGCTTTAATTTAATGGAAGTGTATTTGAAGGTGATGAAAACGCAAACAAGAGTATGATTAATCTTCAGTCCTGAATTTATCCGCGTTTGAATTATTTTCCAGAAATCGAGTAAAGGTGGAAAAGAGCCAAGTCCAATCAAGGTAGATTATCCTTGTCATTACACTCATTCACTATATAAATAAAATAATTTATACAATTATTTAATATTTTAAATAGGCTTCATAAAAAAATGCTCTTTATATTTTAATTTTTATTTTTGCATTTTTCAACACTTTATTACAGAAACTTGCATGTTTTCCAATGCGTGGAAGTCGGGGCGCAATGGGCCGGAGAAAAAGAAGAAAAGTGGTGATTTAGTTTAATTTAATTTGGCAATTTCATTAACTCTGCTATTTTTCATACAGGAATCTCGTTATTCTGGGTGATTGGTGTTGGCTTTTTTTAATAAAATAATTTAATGACAAGCTTCTTTTTTTATTTCTCAAAAATATCGCATGTTTTGGAAAATTAACTTGTGGAATTGGAATAGTTCTCTTTTCAATTCTAACATACATTCAAAGCCTTTCAACGATTTGAATTGAATAAATTTTAATTATTTCATGTTCCAAATTTCAGAGCTCCGAAGATCACCTCAATGTTATTTATCATCCAGAGACGTACAAGGGACCAATTCTATTTTCCTTCCGGTCGAAGGCCTTCTTTGGAAAGAAAAAAGCTATGGTAAGAATTGAAGATGGTGATTGGTCAGAAAAATTCCCAATTGATGTCGCAGGAAGTAAAGGAGTAGTTGTTTGTCGATATAATGGAATTGATTATCGACTCGGCGTACATAATCAGTTAACTTACAACTCTTTGACAAAACAAATCACTTTTACTCCATATTTTGTATTAATAAACAATGCAGACTTTTTAATTGAATGTCAAGAGGCAAACAGACCAGCTAGTCCAATAGCTAAAATTCCTCCGGGAGAATGTAAAGCTTTTTGGCCAGAATCTACTCAGGAACGTAAAATGCTGATCGCACGAGTATCAGGCTATCCTGAAAAAACAGCGCCTTTCATCTTCACTGAGGTTCATACAACTCTGTTAAAATTAGACAATAAATATGGTGGGATCAATGTTGATATTCAAATCAATGAAGGAGGTGTTTACGTATCTCTTTCAGCATATTCTCCAGGAAATGCTCCAGCTTTAATTATAAATCATACGTCACAGACGATCGATCTGTGGGAAAAAGGATCAATGAATGTTCGGTCATTACAATCATTTAATCGAATGTTTTATACATGGGAGAATCCATCAGGGCCGAAAAAATTAATTTGGGAAGATAATAATAAGAAAGAGATTGACAATGATTTGAGAAAAGATCATTTGGGAGCTTTTTGTCTTCCAGAAACTGATGAAGAAGTCTACTATGTATCATTTCTTGATGGAGTTCAACGAGTTTTATTGTTTACAAATAGCTTAAAAATTGCTGAAGATTGTCAGCTAGTAGGAGACTTAGAAGTAATTGATCAAGAAATAACCTTAAATATTCACGGAATTGGATTATCATTAGTTAATAATATAAATCAAGCAGAATTATTATACCTATGCATTGCCAGCTCTGGAATTATTTGGGAAACTCGAAAAACTATTGGAAGTCGCTGGAAACCTTTAGTAGATCGGGAAGTTGCACTAATTGAAGATGGATATCAACGATACATCAAAGAAGCTCAAGTTGGTAATGATCCACCATATCGAATCATGTTGGACCAGAAGCTTTTAGTTGACTTTCAAAATATGGAAATGTTACGACCACATCGAAGATATATGCGAAGAACTTTCCAGACTGGACTTTGGCTTCAATATAAAACTTCGGTGCATCAAGTACAACTTCATGCCAAAATTAATCGACTTCAAATTGATAATCAATTGTCTGATTGTGTATTTCCGGTCATTCTTGCTCCTGTACCACCTCCTAAAAGTGTAGCTCAAAGCTCGGTGGTGAAACCATTCGCAGAAATGAGTATAGTCAAGAGACTATTAGAGCACAGTAGTGTCCAACAATTTAGATACTTTAAGGTTTTGGTTCAAGAATTCCATATAAAAGTGGATATCGGTTTTATTAATGCTTTGATGGCCTTTTTTGAAGCTAATGAAGTGAGTGACGCTGAAGAAAGTAAACTCTTCTTGACTGACATGAAGCTAGTAGATGAACCATTAATATATCATGTTAATTTGATTACTACAGCTGAGCAGAAAAATTTCTTTGATCTTTTACATTTTTCTCCGCTGAAAATTCACATAAGTTTTTCGATGACAGGCAGTGGAGGAGGACCATCAGCAGTTCCACAAGTTTTAAATGTTCTTCTACAAGGGATTGGTGTTACATTAACTGATATCAACGATATAGTGTTTAAATTAGCTTACTTTGAAAGAGATTATATTTTCATGACGCACAATCAACTTATATCCGAAGCAACAAGTCATTATGTTGGTCAAGCTATTAAACAGCTTTATGTACTAGTTCTTGGTCTTGATGTCATTGGTAATCCTTACGGATTAGTTGTAGGAACGATGAAAGGTATCGAAGATTTATTTTATGAACCTTTCCAAGGTGCCATTCAAGGTCCTGGAGAATTTGCTGAAGGGTTATTGCTTGGAGTACGAAGTATGCTGGGACATACAGTGGGAGGTATGGCCGGAGCTGTATCTAAAATTACTGGAGCTATGGGAAAAGGTTTAGCAGCATTGACTTTCGATGAAGATTATCAACGAAAACGACGCGAACAACTGAATAAGCAACCTGCAAATATTCAGGAAGGTTTAGCACGGTCTGGAAAGGGTCTTGTTATGGGATTTGTTGATGGTGTAACTGGTGTTGTCATGAAACCTTATTCCGGAGCTAAAGAAGAAGGTGTTGAAGGGTTCTTTAAAGGTTTTGGTAAAGGAGTTGTTGGATTAGTAACAAGACCAACTGCTGGAGCGATTGATTTTGCCAGTGGATCGTTCGGAGCTGTTAGAAGAGTAACAGAAATGAGTGAAGAAGTTAAAAGAGTTCGACCTCCACGATTTCTTCAACCTGATAGTTTAGTGAGACCTTATCTTCATGCAGAAGCTGAAGGAAATAAAATTTTACAAGACTTAGAAAAAGGAAAATATGCTAAAACAGACGTGTATTGTTACCATGTTTTCATTGGAAAGGATGTATTGTTAATGACAGATAAAAGGATTGCATATATCGAACATAGTGATCTTTTTGGAGGATGGAAAGTTGATTGGGGATATACTTGGCAGGAAATTATTCATCCAGCTCATATTGTTGATAGAGGAGTAGAAATTAGAGTCAAGGATTCTAGTAGAAAGAAAAAACTTGGAGGATTATTTGGAACCACAGATCATATAAAAGTTGTGCTTATTTCAGAACCTGTTGTTAGACAACATGTTTTTAATACTATCCAATCATTACTAAGTCAACACAAAGTATAAAGCTTAAATAGAAATTAACTTTTCTTGGATAATAGTAGATCTCTTTATAATATTCCTTCAAAAACAATTTTTTTGATATTTACTAAATTTAAAAATTAAGTGAGTGAATCATTCTTAAAAAAGTAAGGTTTGGATTTGGAAAATTTCAATTACTTTTTTAATTTTTTATTGGTTAATCATTAAATCTATATTTTTTTTACTGGAGATCTAAAATCGAATACCATAATATTCACAAAAAATTCCTATCTATATACATCGCAATATTGATGAAATAACAACAAATATTGACATTTTCAAATTATACGTAAACAAAAAAATAATAACATATAAAGAGAAACATAATAAACATAGAGAGAAAGTTATAGGATGACTATAAAACGCTTTCTTAGTACAATATTAGTATTCAACAGTACTAAACTTTTAAATTATCTATGCACAGTTTTATGTGCTTAAATAAGCTTGTAAATTAATGTCAAGAGAAAAATACTTAAAATAAACAAACTGCGTAAAAAAAGTAATGGTTTTGAAGCTTCGAAAAAATGAGAATTATTGACATAGGGAAATAATCAAATTATGCACCTACAAATAATTTTACTAGTCCGTACTATCAATCAGTTATCTTTTTGTTACCACACAGACTTTGTAAAGCACAAAGAATTTATATATTTTTTCATTGCAAGTTTACGCACATTTTTGATTTTTTACTGTTAATAACATTTATTTGTACTATTTCTTGTTCAATTAAATCAATTTTTGTTACAAATGTTTTCATAATATACCACACAAATGTTAACAATACGTATTTTTATTACTAATAAGAAAATAAATTTTTTATATGATTAATATTCATAATAATTCATAAAAAGTTATGAACTGTAATTATTCTTGATTACTTAACTGAGGTATTATAATTATTGTTAGAAAAATGAACATTAAATAAAAGCGATAGCTTGTCCAATAAAAAACTATAATATTGCTAAGTTAAATAAACGCTTCCAGTGATTGTTCGATTACGTACTACTTATGTTTAAAAAATTGCTTTATATTTCAGTGATATAATTTTATCGTACTTTATTTGTAGTAAAATATTTGAAGAAAAATTTATAAATCATTTAAAAAAACTGATACACAATTTTACTGATGATTATTAAATATTTTGTATGTTTTCTCGATAATGTTAATTGAAAAATTGAAATTGAAACTTGATATTTGTAATCATTTTTGTTTGAGTTATGTGTTTTGTAATTGATGATAATAAATTGAGTAATTCTATATTAAATTATCGATTATTGACGTTCAATATTATTTCCACATGATGGAAAAGATACAATTTTCATATGTACCCAAGTTTGTCTATTTTGAATTGTTTAAAATATTCCCGCTAAATTAAAAACAGGTAGTACATCGATGCCCTCTGGTGAAAGTTGCCAAAAACGACCGGAAAATACGTCACTTGTGCCAGCTGCCAACAATAATGTAAGTTCTCTCTGACTTCTTACTAGCAATTAACCCAATATCATCCCGTGTCTTAGTGAACTTTTAATAAAAATATAATCAAAATCTCAGTAAAATTTAATTAGTAATTCTTTTTTACTTCTTTTTTAAGTCTTCTTATTCATTAATTTCATTCATAAGCATTATTGTATCTATAAGGTAAGTTAAAAACTGTGATAGTAATGTCAAAAATTAACCAACATGAACTTGAATTGCGCCCTCGTAGCAAGCATAACGGATTTTTTTATCCTTTAATAAACTCTAGACTGTGATATTTATTTTTAGAGCAACACAAAAGCTTTTTCTGGTTATACTATTGCGTTCTTATATTATTTATCTACGTAATTGTTATAAACATCTGGTTGTTTTTATACTGTTAAAATAGAGTACTTTTCATTATATTTTCATTTTTTCTCATTTGTGACATTACAATCTTTCTCATACATAATCATTTATTGTTTGTGAAATTATTGCGATTCTTGAATTTATTAAAGGTTATTGGACACACATCAGATTTGTTTGATAGTGGTGTAGTTATACATGACTTGACGTATTTTTGTTGCAGAGTCATTACAAGAAAGGCATCAAATCAACACTAACTACTAGTTTACTTAGATCATTAAAATGTTCATATTAGATTGGTTTACTGGAGTACTTGGTTTCTTAGGTGAGTGAATCAACATACTCTTCAGTTTAATTAATAATTATTCATTCATAATAAATGTTCATATTTAACATAACTTTTTATCATTTCTGCAAATACATTTTTTTCATACACTTCCTTGTTCTTTTGATTGTACGACATATGATTTTTTATTTATATTAAATTGTTCATACAATTTCGTTTTATCAAAAGATAAACAAAATTCCAGGTTACCTCAATAAAGTATTTAAATTATGTAGATTTTAATTCAATGAAAACCAACCGAAAATTTATCGATAAGAAAAATAATTGATCTTTTACTAGATTTAAATGAGAAATTTGTTTCTATATTTTTTAGACAATTATATGATTCAACAATAACATAATAAAAAAAAAACAACTGATGTGACGTACTTATAGTTGATTATTGTATAACAATAGAATATGAAATAATATCAGCATTATTAATCATATTATAGCTACTCAGCTACTTGATATGGTGTATAATACACCGATTTAAGAACAGTTATAGCTTTGAAAACGAGGACAAAGTCTTAATAAAAAGGTCATTGACGAAGATGAGAGATTTTTATTTTATTTCTACATATTTTTATCATTAAATAATCTTCAATCAATTTTTGCTTATCTATATGCTAACATTTTTAACTTATAAATGATTTAATTGAACTCTAGCTTTTAAACATTTCGTATTTTGAACTAATGAATAATATTCGACTAATTGTATTGTTCACTTTAGACTTTTGAAATATTCATTCATGACTTTTGTTTGCATAAACCTTGTAAACATAATAAGTTTGTCATTTTTTTTCACTAAAGAATTTTAATTCTAATTTTTATAAATAAATTCGTTTTATAAATTTCAGGATTATGGAAAAAAAGAGGGAAGTTATTATTTCTTGGATTAGATAATGCAGGAAAAACAACGCTTCTTCACATGCTCAAAGATGATCGATTAGCCCAACATGTACCCACGTTGCATCCAAGTAATATACAGTTGCTTATATAAAATATTAGTTGATGTAAGATTGTTGTTAATGGAATTTTTGTTATTTTAGCTTCGGAAGAATTATCGATTGGAAATATTCGATTCACAACGTTTGATCTCGGTGGTCATACACAAGCGCGTCGAGTCTGGAAAGATTATTTCCCAGCTGTAGACGCAATTGTATTTTTAGTGGACGCCAGTGATAGGTCACGACTTCCAGAATCACGGGCTGAGCTTGATGCATTATTGACAGATGAACAGTTAAGCTCGTGTCCTGTTCTCGTTTTAGGCAATAAAATAGATAAACCTGGTGCGGCGTCTGAAGTTGAACTCAGGAATTTCTGTAACCTTTATGGTCAAACAACTGGAAAAGTAATTGAGATTTTATGTCTTATTAATAAGATAAAAAGCGATTGAAAAATAATTAAATAAAAATTTTGTTTTAGGGTAAGATTCCTCGTAGTGAAATTCCCGGCCGTCCACTCGAGTTATTTATGTGCTCAGTCCTCAAAAGACAAGGCTACGGTGAAGGTTTCCGTTGGCTTGCCCAATATATCGACTGAATATATTTATTTCATAATTAACATTTATCATTTGTATTACCAAGGAAATGAATTAAATGAAGCAAACAAATTGATTCAAAAACAAAGTACATCAACATAAAGACAATGACAATTCGGATACTCCTCATTAGTGATTTTTTTTGTCTTTCCATCCATCGAGTCATATCAAAGATATGCAGCTGAGTAGTTAATTTTAATTAACAGAAATGTGTGATGAAGTATTCGGGTACTACTCTCATTAAACTATTTTTTGCTAATTAGTTTTAAATGAATCTTAGGAGAAAATTCGCTCAGTTATGTGACATGATTATGCAATTACTAAACAGAACATATGGTGAAAATGAAATAGAAACGAATGAAATAATTACGTAAAATACAAATATCGATAATGATAAACACATTTTGATAAATAAACTCATGAATAAAATTATTATTTGAGAATGAGGTCTCAATGGTATTTTTTCTAATTCTAGTATTTAAAAAAAAAATAAAATAACAATTAATTAGATAATTGATTTTAAAAAATATAGTTAGATTAGTATATTCTAATTTGTTTATTTAAGCTTATTCTTTTAACCCTTCATTATCTATAAATGTATAAAGTCTCTTAAGCTTGAATGCTGCTGTCATACATGCATGTTTATGCACAATTAGCAATCATGTATTGCTGTTATGCATATAATACATAATGATTAGCAATAATAATAATTTTTACTTTGAAATTTCCTTGTCTTTAGATCCGCAATAACACGTACATTTTATAGACGTATTTATGTGATTTTTATACTTTTTTAAAATTTTTTTTTAAATTAATAATCCTGATATGTTGGTAATAGTAATGATGGCTATTGATAACTAGACAAGATAACATATACGTGATGATGTGTGTGTTGATAATTAGTGGCTCAAAGGTTGGAAATTAAAAATTGAATTTATGGATGACGGCAGTATTTTGGTTGTAATGCTTATACGAACAAATAGATTTTTTACGGCATCTGGATATTCAATCATTTTTTTTCAGTAATGTTTATATGAGAATAATATGCTTTTTACTATTGAGTTAATGATTAACTTATATAACTTTTGTTTAATAAAATTATTCAAATAATTAATAGCTTTGGTTTTTTTTTTAATATCATGATTATGGTTTTTATAATCAGGTATGAATTAATAAAGAAACAAATACTAATGCATTATGATTATTATAAAATTGAGATTCGTTTAATTTATCCATCATTTTGTAAAATAAAATTATAAAAATACGTTTTTTGTAAAATCAATTTGTTTTATAAGATATAAATATGAAAATTTACAGAAATTACTTAAGGAAATTGTTAGTTTCTAAATTATAGTTTTTGATGGCTACATAAATTTTTTTATAAAAAATTCGTTATTTATAACTCTAATTCTTGACCAGAAGGTTTAAATTTACTAGAAATATATTCATCTGTAACTTCTTCAAGTGTTTTTGGATTCCACTTTGGATTTTGGTCTTTATCAACCAATAATGCACGAACACCTTCATAGAAATCACTTTTTTTATCACAGGCTGCACATGCTAGTCTATAATCCATTTTTAGACATTCAGCTAAGCTTAAATTTTTCCCTATGTCAAGGGCTTTTTTTGTTATTTTTAATGCAGTTGGAGACATTTTTGCTAAATTAGTAAGAACTTCTTTGGCCCACTCACTATCGTCTTTTTTTAAATTGTCAATTATCCCTTCAACAGTATTGGCAGAGAAACAGTGATCAATTTGTTTTAAATGTTTTTCTAAACTAAATTCTCTACTGCTTGGATTTTCAAATTTGTTTATTATCTTGCCAACTTCCTCATCTCCAGGAGCAAGTAATGCTTCAGTCAAAGCTTCAAGTTTCGTTGATGGCACAAAATGAGTTGCTATTCCAGCTAGTTTAACATCTTCACCTATCAACGAATTTGAATGAAAAATTTTTTTCTTTTAAAAGAAATTCTCATAATTTACAAAATATTATTACCTTTAAGTCGATGTCCTGTAAGACCTAGAAAATATCCAAGTTTTCCTCGAAGTCTTGGAAGAAAATAACTTCCTCCAACATCAGGGAAAAGCCCAATAGCTGTTTCAGGCATTGCAAATAATGTATTCTCTGTTGCTACACGATATTTACCATGAACAGACAATCCAACACCGCCGCCCATTGTGATTCCACTGATGAGAGCTACATAAGGCTTCTTAAATGTTCCAATAAGGTGATTTAATCTTCAAGAAAAAATAGGTATATTTCTTTATTTTTTTTGATTGATTCTAATTAAAGAATGATAGTAAATTATTTTTACTAACGTATACTCAGCTCTGAAAAAATCGTAACCTTTTTTTTCACCACCAGGTTCATTTAAGGCAACAGTTATACATTTGACATCACCTCCAGCACAGAATGCTTTTTCTCCGGCTCCCTTTATTACTACAGCTTTTTTAGAAGACTCCCACTGTTCGAGGACTGGATATATTTTTTTGGTCATTGATAAATTTAAAGCATTTAATTGTTTTGGTCGGTTTAATATAATCATACCCTTATCGCCAACCTAAACATTAACATAAGTGAAAATTTTTCAATCCTAATAAAAGAAAATAGAATTTTTTACCTCTTTAAAAATCACATCATTTTCATCCATTGCAGTGGTATAGTTCTTTTTCCCTAATTTTCTAATTTCTAAAATAATAATAAAAATGTATTAACAACCGGACACGCTTAAATAATCATTTAATCAACAAGTAGAATATTATTAGAATTATGAGATGTCAGATATTTACTACGTACCTAATCGGTTCAGTAGTGAAAATGATCGAAAAGAAAAACTTTTCATCACTATTTTCGATCCCACTGCTAACTGCTTGAAGGTTATGTTGTCGATCTGTTAAAAATAACTCATTGTTCATGAAAATTGTACGTTTTAAATGGTTAAATAAAAAGTTTTTACCATTATAAACATTGTGATGATTTAAAAAAATCCAAAATCAGTTCAGTTTAGTTATTTTATTTCAGATAATAAATCTTTAAATCGGAGCATGAAAATTACTCACAGACATATACTGAGAAATTGTCAGTGAAAACGATAATAGTGATTAATACAAATGTAATATTTAAATAAAAGAGAGAGAAAAAAGGTTCTAAACAAGTTTTTTCTTTATTAGTAACCTTGCTGGAGATTTTTTCAAATAATATTTCTTTTAATAGAAAAATACTTATTTTAAATTAAAAAAAAACATGAATAGTCAGTTTTTTATCTTTTCTTATTTCATCATATTATATCCATCAATGATAAGATGGGCTTATCAATGAATTGTATAACATAAGCATTACTGAGAGTTTAAGTTCTTGTAGAACCTCCAATAACAATGAGTAGATATCTATAAAGTCCAATAATATCGACATAAAGCTGAGTTGTTGCAAAAATAATTTCATCTGGAGATAACTGAATTTTTCGACCACCCATAATTGTTTGAATGTCAAAATATAGATACTGTAAATTAGAATTAAAAATAATAAGCTCATCAAATTAAATTATGATGCGTTATTATAATAGCTAATTTACCAGAGAAAAAATTAAAGCTCCTAAAGCTCCGAAGATGACCATGAGGATGCTGATCTCGGTGTAAATCAATACGATTACTAAAATAATTAATGTTATCATAACTCCTAGTCCTATAATACTCAATAGTCCAGTCCACATAGTGAAGTCGAACTGAATTTTAGAAAAAAAGTGTTTGTAGTTCAAATTCATTTTCATTTGAATAGTTCATAAAATCGAGATTACCTTACAAATAGTTGCTGAAAAGGCAATGATCAGTATAATAGTCGCAGTCATTGCTAAGGTAATTAAAACCACTTCAACTTCGAAACGAATCGAAATATAAGCAGCTATATGAGATTCTGCTAAAGTCTTAAAAAACAAATTTAATTATTAATCTAATACTCCACTAGATAATAAATAATGATTATCAACCAAAAGAACTAGGCATGTTCCACCCCATCTTGATTGAGTTCTTCCACAATCTGTGATCGAAATGCTGCAATATGAGCATATAAAAAGAGTCCTAAGAACATAAACCATAAGATTAATGTTTAAACGATAAAAATAGTTACATAAATTAATACTCACATTGCAATGACCCACAAATACCAATATTTATCAATGAACGCTTGTGCTGGAGGGCTAAAAGAAATCTTTATTTTTAGTAATCTGGAAATAAGTTTAATGGTAGAGAAATATATTCAGTTAATAATTTAGATATTAAATAATTACTAAAACATAAAAAATGCCACATAAAGCACAGTGAATGTGAGCTGTGCAAATAGAACTAAGAAAACCCTTCGAATAAATCGTCGTCGGACATTATTATTTTTAAATTCTGCAAAATATTCATCTTCTGGAGCTCCTCCTAGATTCCGTCTCTGTTGTGCTAGCCAAAAACGATAAATTTCTTGATTTTGTCGTTCTCTATCTAATACCATGCTATTGGTTACTGTTATTGTATAAGGACCCTAAAATGAACATGAAATACGTATTAATTGTTTATTCTGAAATGTAATTAAACATTTAGGAACAATATTTGAGCCTACACTTTGTATTTGTTGACCTCTCACTAAAGGTGGAAGCAATGGGGGTCCTCCGGCAGCCAGAGGAATATGAACATTAGACTGATCTGGTACAGCATTTTGTTGATCAATAGACAAATAAGAAGGTGGTAAATCATGCAATACACTTGATGGTTGTGTTTGTGGTTTCATTATAGCAAATAGAAAATGAAAATTTTTCTTTTAAATACACACGACTCTTGATATAGATGATAAAATCTACTCTTTTAATAAAAACCGCAAATTTATAGCACTATTTTATTTGCAAAGTGCTAAATCATAACGACAAATCTTTTTAAGGTCATTATCGTTTTGAAACAGAAATACTACAAAATTTATTTATATGTTAACTTCATACAGTTTAAAAACATTACTTGATATAAACGCGGCTAAATTCATATTTAGCCGTAAAACAACTAAAGACTAAAAGAAATCAAAATTATCAATATGGACAAGCACGTAACAATGAAAATATTAACTGACGGTCATATTGACTGCGTTAGTGTTGAATTCCAAGAAATTCAATTTAAGAATCATCAACAATAGGTGTATTTATAAGCAATTATTATTCATTATTTTAATTTTAATTTTATTTTAACCAACATATGATTTGATAAAATCAATTTTTTTTTTAGTTTAAAAATATGAGTAGAAAACATGAAAAAGTGGGGGAACAATTGTGAAGTGGGGATCAGACTGTTTACACATCATGTTTATTGCAACCTACTTCAGTCGCGCTTCGGTTTTTAAAGAATCAGTATTTCAGTCGTCTTATGTGTGCAATTAATAAATATTCTTAGTTTGAATAATTAGCACTGTATCTAAGTCATGTAATAGTATTATTGATTGAGTGAATCTTCAAATAATAATGTAATAGTGTTATGAAAAATGTTGCAGCGTAATTAATGGTGTATCGCGAAGTAAATGATAGGATAGTGAAATTAATGGTACAATAGTTCAATTGTTATTATAATTATTAATTAGAAAGTATTGTGATTAGTGTAATAAACGTTATTTAGATAATATAACAATGTAATTAATAATTGGAGTAACTACAACCGATAATTGGAGTGAGCATAACTATGAATACAAAAGAAGCATAGAAACAAAGCAAACACTGTATTCCTGGAATCCATCAACGTTGAACGGTAAGCCATATTATTTTCATTTACATTTTTTTCTATTTGTCTTTGTGAACATCAGCAATATCAAATAATTTGAATTATGTTGCGTTTTTTATTTTAAACGGAAAATAAGATTGACATTTATCATTGAAATGTAATCTTGAAATAGAAATGTGAATAATTTTTAGCCAGTTTATTACTTTTTTATTGTATATTATTAGTTGTTTTTTTAATCAGATTATTCCATTTTCAAAAGTTTTTGAGAAATTTGATTCATAATAAGGTTTGTGATTCTTAGTAAAAAAATTTTCTTCTTCAAATTATAGCGCGAAAATGTACTTAACTGCCCTCTGTAAATAAAGATTGACTTTCGGTACTTCATTCCGTCAACAAACAGTTGAAAGCTGTTACGTTATTTTAATCATTTTTTAATCGCTACAATTGTATTTTATATATCATATATAGTGAATTATAATGCAAATCAAATCATTATCAGATGATTTTGAGCCAACCAATTTCGAAATACTTGACTTTTATGGTGAAGAAATGTGTTTTCTGTGGCAAGACGATAAAATTGCTTTATTCTCATACAACATAAATGGTTCAAATGTTCAAGTATTGCCTATTGTTGCTCCTAAGTTAATTAAAAGTATACATAGCTACTTGGGGCGAATTTTTCTCGTTTGTAAACCATTTGGAATTTATAAATTTACAAAAACTCATGAGTTTGCTTTATTAAGTGTATCTGGGTTTGGTATTGGGACTGAATATTTTGAGGTTTTGATATTAAAAGATAATTCTTTATTTATTGAAAATAAACGTGAAAGGAAAATTCAAGAATTATTAGTTCTTCCAAAATTATCATTAGATGAACAAAATGAATATGATACGTTGAATTTTTTACTTCTAACCTCAAAAACAACCCATGAAAAATTAAAAAATATTCTATTCCCTAAACAAGATTCTATTTGCCTGATTTCAAGTAGAAAATCATTGTACACGTTATTTCATGAAACTATTCAAATTATGTATGAAGGCTTATACAATATAACTGATATTATACCAATTAAAAAAAATAACTTTATTCTTGGATTACTTCTGATAACTGGACCAAAGCATGTCATCTTTGTCAGCACTAAAGATGATCAATTATTTTTCAAGAAAATTTATTTCAATGTTGAAGTAGATTGTTTATGCACTGGATTTTTAGATGATTCTGAAGATACTATCTGGATTATTTATTCTGATAAACAAAAAATTTATTTTGCTCACCAAAATATCAATTGGGATGGTCTACATAAAGTTAGCTGGAAAAGGAATAAAATAATTCGCTGCAAAAATTATAAAAACAAAACTATTGTTCTGAACTCTTTATTCCAATTAGAAGAAGTAACTTTTAATTCAATAAAATCACACGATGTTTCTCGAGCACATGAAGATTTTTATGAGATTAAAACAGAAATGTTGACCGGTTCTGAACTTATCGTAGAAAATATTTGTGAAAGTGCAAAAGAGTTGGATAAATTGAATCAAAAATTACTATTAGAAAAAGAGAAGTTACATAGAATAAATATTTTTACTCACAAACAAAAAATTCCTTGTGTGCCAAAAATAAATGTTGATCGTAGTGGTCATTTTATTTTTTTAAAAGTATGCTTTGAAAATCATCTACCACCGGGAAGTTATATAACTATAAACGTCATTTGTAACAAACAAACGACATTCAGTTCAAAATTAGTTGAAGATAATGAAACAACATTGGAAGTTCTTTTAAAACCAGAACTTTTGGATAGTTCTATTGATGTAAATTTTGATCTTGTGACTTTCGCTGAAGAAGAGAAGCCTTGGTGTATACTCAATGACTGTTTAAAAGATCCAAGTTTAAAAGAAAAACATAAGGTTAAAGATTTTCTGAATTCTAAGATGAATTTTTTAAATTCAAAATTGAACATTTTAAGGAACTTAGTTCAACAAGACAATCAAATTGATGAGAAGAAAATTTTGAATATTAAAAAAAGTCTGAGACGAGAGATTCCAGATATTTAATAGAATAATAATATTAAATATTTATTCTTCGATTGTACTGATAGAGCTGTTTAAATATTTTCATAATGTTTGGATTCAAAGTATTGAATTAACCATAAGTATTTGTTATATTTTTATACAATTTAAATAGTTGTTATAAAAGCTTTTATTAGAACTATTTCATGAATAATAATATCTTACTTAATTCTTAAGTATATTTGTACCTCTCCTATTCTATTTTGTAATTATTTCATGCAAATTTTGAGTCTTTCTTATACTATTTACATAGTAATTTTATATATTTTTAGATTTATCTTAACTATTTTTAAGTCCATATCTAAATTAATAGATTAGTTTCATTAAAGCTGTATGAATTATTTTTTTCACAAATGTAGTTATGATAAATTCTAATGAATTTTTATTTTTAGTATGAAAAATATTCATAAAGTCAATCATTATTCAACTCATTCCCAAATTTACAAATAAACTTCCTCGAATTGTTTAAATGGTAGTTCGTAAATTATCTTCTTTGACTTTAAAGACTTTTAGCTGCGTACAAAGAGTTAGGAATATAAAAAAATAATCTGATTTATGTATACTAATTTTGTTATGTTGGTAAGTTTGTGATGTTTTTTGTGGTTTCAATCCTGAGATCAGAGATCCTACATTTGGCTAAAGGACGCTCGTATAAATAGTTTGTGGTAACTGGACTTGGCTTTATCGCATTTCCCGTAAACAAAACGTCCAATGAATGTACCCGATGGAAGGCTGAATTGCGTCAGTCGTTTAAGATATTACAATGATGCTAATTTTGGATCTTCTCCCTTGACGAAAACATTTTGGTAGATGTCTTGGTAACATTTCTTGTCAATTATTCAATATATGGAATAATTCATGATATGTTTAAATTAAATGACATTTAGTTTCATTTTACAAAATACATTTATTATCCTTAATTGGTTTACAAAATAGAGTATTATTATTGTTGTCTGTAGTGATGGAGACAAAAAATAATTACTTTGTTAAGTTCATCAGTCAATTTCCTCCAAACTTTCCTCTATACCTGGTCACAGCTTTTCTGAATTAGGAACTTCAATAATGCTTCCAATACTGCAAGTTGAACTTTTCTTTTGATTTTTCTGTGTATTCTTCAAAGTTCCACTTCGGGAGTTTCCAAGTCTATCTTGTATTGTTTGAAGATTTTTTGTTCCTTTTCTATTTAATCCTGAAGTCATTTGACCTCCACTAATTCTTTCACCACTTCCAGCTCCATTGCTTATATTCCTTCCCCACAGTTTAGCAAAGCATGCGCGAAAGTTTTCTGAAAAAATCCCATACAGTACTGGATTTATGACAGTGTTAAATTGGGCAATAATTAATGTCCAAATGAAATGATGAGATCGTAAAAAATAATCTGTATCCCCCACTGGTCGACGACCATCTAAATAAATAAGTAACATCACAATTGTGATTGGCAGCCACATTATTAAGACTGCGATAACATTGAGCAAAAGAATTCGGACAACTCTTATGTGTTTATGAAGACGAATTTCTTCATGTTGGGATAAACTCCCAGCACGCCCTTGTCGACTAGTTACTGATGTTGCTGAAGATTTCCTTCCTGCCCATGGCACTAAAGTGCCGACCACTGAAAGCTCAGAGTCTCGTCGAGTTGGATCTTGAGCCTAGAAAGAATAATGGAATTAGTTTTTACGATATCTTTATCTCTTGTTTCTTCTTATCTTTGGTATAAATAGCACATAAAATGTTTTTTTCAATCAAAAATAATTGCCAAAATCTAGGTTAATTATTTTGCATGATTGGTAAATAAAAAAATATATAGAAATTTTTTTCTATTATCTCTGATGTTTTTTTTTCGTACTTTTATAAAGTCAGTCGATATATTAAAAAAATATTGTATTCATGTAATAATCACCTGAGTTACACAAGAAACCGCCCACCGACTTCTAGTGTCAATTATTCTCTGAAAAATTCTTTGATAATGATAAACGAACAAGCACATAGGTAACAGACAAGCGACGATAATCACTGGAATGGTGAAGCAGAGTGAAATATTAATAACTTCACTCTTGGGGAAAACGAGAGTGCAAATAGTTAAACCATTGATTTTCTGAAAGAATAAATATGATAGTAATTATTACTTGATCAAAATTATATGGATATTTTCAATCTGTTAATTAACAATTTAATCCGTAATTTATTCCATGTTAAATAATAAGCTGGTAATTAAGCTTTATTGTGTAATTACATTCTACCTAAATAAAACTTTAATTTTTTACAATAATAACTACAATATGCTTTGACAGTAAATTACCTCTCTTGATTTAATTTAATGCTGTTTTTTTTTTGTTAACAGTATACTTCTTTGATTCATTAATAAATAATAGTAAATGTGGATTATTTTACAGTGATAAATATCACATCATTTTATCATTAGAAATTCTTAATAAGAAATGAGACAATAATTGTTAATTAGAATCTTTTTTAAGACAATGAGATGCATTTTCAGTCATTACATTTATTTAAAATTTTACCTTGACTTGAAACCAAAATGCAGCGGGTAAAAATATCGCTGATCCTATGACCCATGTTATTAAACCTGCTCCTACGACTCTAGGGGCTGTTAAAGCACTTCTATAAGGAATTACTGCCAAACATCTATGTCTGTCCATTGATATAAGCGTTAATGTCCAAAGTAATACAAACCCACATACGAACTGAAAATGAAAAATATTATAATTAAAAAGAACAATCCTCGAAATATTTTCAAACAAAAAAAAAGTAAAATTAGCTGATATTATGCAATTCAGTTTCTATTGTTATACAAATACAAAATGAAAAAAGTTCATTTCAAATAAACAAGGTAGTCAAATAGGTTCTCAGAATTTGGGTTGTTTTAATAATTTTTATTTCAGTTATTTTACGTCAAAAGCGTAAAAACTTGAATGTAAAACAAGCTTTTTATCATTTTTTTTTGTAATTCTTTTTTCTCATTGAAAAATTTTTTACCCGTAAGCAATATGAAGAAAATTTTTTTTTAAAGTCCAACATTCATACAATATACTTGGATACTTTTTTTTTTGGTTTAAATAATTGAATAAAATAGAAATTGAGGTAAAAACAAATTATAGAAGTTGAAATAAATGACGATATCAATAATAGTAAAGCTATCAAAGTTGATATTAAAAATATTTCAAGAGGGTTGGAGTCTTCTGTAATAGTTCGCGTGCGACATATAATAATGATAAAATTGAAGAACAAATATAAGGAGTTTAAGTTTTAAAAATATTATAAAAAAAGAAAACATTTATTTTTATCCCTAATATTGTCATTATTTTATTATTAAATATTATCATGGTTATTTTTTTACCTGAGAGTAGGGTAGCAATTTACATACAGTATCCCCTAGACGCCATGACTGCGAAAGCCTTGTGTATGCTACAGCTGGTACCCCAAGTGCAAAAATTAAATCTGCTGCTGCCAAGTTCACTAGACACAGATTTGTCGGTGTTCGCATTTCTTTATATCTTAATACACAAATAGCTATACCAAGATTTGCTATCACTGCTGCAACGAATGTTACTGCTAATACAATGACCTAAAAAAAAATTTATCAACAAAAGTATTATTTTTGAAGGAACTTTCAAAGCACTTAATTGAAGAAAAAAATTCCTGAAAGAATAGTCAAAAGTAGCTTATGTGTACCTATGTAAAAATACTAATGCGAGGTACTTGACTTTAATAAATAGCATCAACTTAGAAATAACTTCAAACATTGAACAATAACCCCGTATAATAAGTCTTGATATGAACGTAAAATTATTGTGGAAAAGTTGACAGAGTAATTTCAGTCAAGGATCGCGTCTCAATTTTTATTGAAGTAATCAGTTCAAAGAAAAAGTTCGTTACAAATAAAATATGAAAAGGATTGGGTAAGAAGTTGGATATATGATGAAATTAATGATATAAGAAAAAAACTTTCATAAAGCTATTGAAATAGGATTCATGATAATAGTGATATTGATTTTTAGTCCAAATTTTATTTATTCATTTTGCCTTTTTCATGTACAATTTTTTGGCCTCTACTAGTACAAGATGTTTAGATGAAATTAATTGGTGGAAGGTTGAATGTATATGAATGAGTGAGTATAGAATTTATATAAACATGTATAAAAATATTTTTAAAAAAATCTAACAATATCAAAGCTAGAGATTTAATTAACTGACTTGTTCCAACAATCAAAATGAAAAATTTAAAAGATGACATGGCCAAAAGATTCACTGTTTCAAATATGCTTTCAATTTTACCGTACTTTGTAAAATATGTTGTGTATATATATGTATATGTTGTGTATATATATATAAATCTGCGATGTATCTCGAAACTCGATTAACTGTTTACGCAAATAGCAAACGAGAAGTTCTTTCCTTTGAACTATTAAATAATTGGTTGGTATGTATCGAATCAAATGCAAGTTAACATCAAGTCAATTTGGTGACATTTTTTTTTGCAATTATCTATTTACATTGTTACTTTAAACTCATGATTGGTTGTAACATCAATTAATATTATTTTCAGCACAAAAAGAAAAAAAAAATAAAACAAAATCAATTTCCCTCATTAACACTGTAGATTAATTGGAAATTAGCTTTTTAGAGTAACTATCTTTAAGAAGTTTTTAATTCGTTTTTAATTGAGAATTTCCATTTTTAGCTTGTTACATAGAAATTACGAAAATTAGCACAATTTTGTTTCTGTATTATAAAATTGCAGAAAATCTGAGTGTTACAAAGGAAAGAGAAAAATCATCTGTTTAATTTAGATGATAGGTAAAGTTGGTCTTGGATTTTTTTATCGGAATAATACCATTAAGTGATTTCCAATAATTTTAATTTCTTCTATTGTAATATCTACATTTTTTTATGTGGAAATAATTTCCTGTAATTACAGATCATTCGTTAATAGGTGAAAATTTCTACTCGATCTAATAAAATTATATCAACGTAACCGGAAAGAATGCATTTTTTTAGTACTGCACTATCGCTTTATTTATAAAAATTATTTCTCCTTTCTATTATTAATAATTATCTATTTTTACGAAACATTACGGGTTGCAATGATTTATCTTTAGTAGAGGAAATGTATTTTTAGTGTACAGAGAATAGATAATCGATACAAAGTAAGTGAATAATCAACCAAGCATATAAAAGGAATTTTCGAAAGAAATGAAAGATAAGAATTTTGTTTTTTTTTCTTTGTAATTTTTTGTTTGGATCATTTTTATACTTGAGAATATTTCTCTTTATTTTTTGCTTCAACTTCATTTTTCTAGTGTCAAAAGTTTTTGTTAGACAAAGTAAGAAAAGTCTCTCGATTACCCCTAAAACAATAGTTTATCACGATAATGTCATTTTGAGAAATCTTTCGTAATAAATAAAAATAATCTTAAAAAAGAAAAAATTAAAAATAAATATTTACCTCAACAGCACTGGCTCCCTTGCGATCTCCAAATTGACTGTAATATGTAAAGTACTCTCTCGCACCCCAATTTTCATCTTCACCAAATAAATATGAAGAATTCACAGCACCCATCATTTTCCATTCAATTTTTCAATTTTTTCTATTCAATTATTATCGAGATTTTTTTTTAGTTACTTTTCAATCAAGTAACTATGAAATCGAGTCTACGTTTCATTATTGCTTTTTTTCTTTCCTCTTCTCAAATTTTACTTTTATTTAATTGATATCAACAAATATTAAAAAAATCATTTTTATTTCAATTTGCTTGTTCTTGTCATTTTTAATACTCCAAGATGTTTTCAAGATCTCAATAACTGAGTAATGTGGAGGAAAAAAATGTGGGCGAGGAGATAGTAAAAACTAGATGAGCTCGTTCTGAGTTCTCTCCAAGGATTTCAAGATTTTTAATGTTCCTTCTCTATTGAAGCTCAGTAAAAATCCACATAGAAAAGTTTATTGTTAGTTTAAAAAATATCGAGAGTTTTAATGTTTTTAATGACGCAAATTTGTATCGTAAATATCCAATTGTTTATTCTCCTGAAAGTAAAAATTGAAATAAATTTGTTAATTTGTTATTTTAATATGAAAATGTTGTATTTAATTATGATATTTATTTTAATCGTCTTTAGTTTTAATCATTTCATTTATAGTTTAATTAAATATTTATCTTAAAATATGTTATCTAAAGTGTTTCCTTTATTACTAAACTATATCTACAGCTACCATTTCAAAGTTATATCTAGTTAGATATCCTTTCATTACTGTTATTTTACTCTTCACTCTCTCTCATTCATCTTTCTCTCTTCCTTGCACTTTCATTTCGATGTTTACCAACTTTTTAAAGGCGCATATTCAAATACTCATTTGAAATACTGACATGGTATGAGAAAAAAAATATACAAAATAGATTTTGTTATATGCATATTTTTAAAGCATCTCTAGAATGTATGATTTTAAAATATTTAAAAAAAAATGATTTAAATCAAAAGTTATTTTATAAATCACTTCTTTCTGATATAATAGTGTAATGTAGTGAAAAAATTAATTAAGAATTTTAATTCAGAAGTTTATTTACTATAGAAAGAAATTGTATTATAAAAAAAATCTTTGCTCTTATTTTGAAGAAGAAGAAAAAAATAATATTAGCTAAGTTGTATACCTTTTATAAAGTTTATCAGAGTGTGAAATCGACAAGTTTGATCATCCTATATCTCATAGTTGAACACAAAGACAGGGGTTTTACTGTTAACATTTGCTCCTAGCTTGTCTCTCTTATATGTCCTTTGTGAAACTTGTCTACCTATCATTGTTACTTTACTGACAAGTTTATCTCATAATGTTGTTATGTATTTTTTATCACATACTATCGAAACCTTGTTATAATTGTTTTTAATTTAACAAAAATACAAAAATTAAAAAAAATTTATCACTGTAATTTGAATATCTATTTTTGAACACGACACTACAAAAATAACTTTTTAGATAATGAAAAAAAAAATTTATAAACCATTCAACAAGACACACCCATTATCATTCTCAAGTAATTATTACCATCCCTTAATGTGACAGAATGGGTTGGTCTACATTGTATCCATGCATGGCACAGTACATTGAATCTAAAGAATATTTTGCTTGCCATAAGAAACATCAAAGGGCTGCTAAAAGCTTCTTTTCAAAAATTAGAAAATTTATATTGCCCTACTTTAATTGAAATTTCTCAATCCTTTATCTTCTTAATTCATTGTGTTCCTTAGAAAATTATTTTCCATTAAATTAAACCTTTAAATTTTTTTTGATTTGTCATTTTTTAATAATTTATTAAATATTGTGATTAAAGTAGTTTTGGGGTATTAATCACTGTGTCTATTCTCTCGTAAAATAATCGATAATTTGTTATCTATTATTTACATAGTGTATTTTGCTTCATTATTGTTCGTATCAGTTACCCCATTTTTCATTAATAAAAACGAATAATTTGTGATTTAATAAAAAACAATTTAACAAAAATTCTATTTTATTCACTCGTAATATGTGTTATTTATTATTTACTTTATTTACTTCCGGAGTAATAATTTATTAAAAAGTGAATATGATTAATTTCTATGTTATAACATGAAATATTTTAAGAAATCTCATCTTATATTACCGGTATGATGTGAAATGATTAAATGTCAAGTCGAGTAACGTAGATTTTCAAAGACTTGACGTACATAATAATAAAGTGACATTTCAAAAATTAATTTTTTCCTCTTATCATGATAAAAAAAAACTTTTGTCATTAGAATAATTAGCACTCTGATTAATTAAATGACCGAAAAAATGTTTAGCTTCAATACCTTGAATTCTTTCGGATATAGACGAAATTTTTTGGTCTCCTTTTTTTTTATCGCGGTGACTGCCTTGTTAGGACACTCACCTTTTGCAAGGATTTCCGGTTGTCGTAGAGCAACGACTCTTCTTACTAGGAGCTAAGCAATAGATTCACAGGCTGGTCGTTCCTCTCGAGGGTTCTTTCACCCCTCTGGGGTATACAAGTCTTTTCTTTGTTCAAAGATCAGACTTTTTGTTTTTATTATTTCCTCCCTTTTTATACTCTATTATTACAAGTCAACTTACACTCTCTATTTTATAATTTTATTTCAACAGTCATTTCTTATGGGTAAAAATCGTTTATATTTAATAGAGTGCATTTTGTTAAATCATAATAACATTTAGAAATTCCAAATTTATTTTTTCTTCGATTTTCATGCTTAAAAATACAACAAAAGATAAATCTCTGTCATAATAAAAATGATTTAGTGTTTGTAGTGACTTTAAAAATGGTAAGAAATAAGAAATGTTCTTTGTGCTTATATTGTATTAGTTATTTGTTTAAATATAATAAAACCAAAATCATTTTACGATCTAATTTTGGAAAAATATACTTTATCTTCCCTTTATAAATATTAAGATAAATTGTAAGATTTAATTTATTTAAAAATTAAAATTTTTATTTATTTGAAAGTTTTTGAAATAAATTTTTTATAGTTCACTGCATCATTAAGTACTATAAAAAATTTATAATTAAGAAAATTGAAGATCTTTCGATTGAATAAATATTAATTACGATATTACTTTGAAAGATAATTTGTATAATTTTCCTATCGCTTTTCATCATTTCTTTTTTTTTCAAGAAATTTAAAAAAATAAGTGCATAAAGAGTAACTTTATAAGGAAAAATGTAATAGTACTTGAAAGAAAATGTAATATCGCTTGGATTTTCAAGGAATTTATGTGTGATTTACTATTCACAATAGGTTTAATAGAAAAAAAAGAGAAAATATTCTACTTTTTAAGTAAACATGGAAAACATTTTCACTGAATGTCCCTGCAATCTTTTTAAATTTTTTTATATTTATTTTTATTCGTTCTTACTTACGATGAAAATTCTTATATGAAATATTTTAAAATAAATGATACTCGTATTTTAAGTATAGATTAGGATAAAAATAATATTATAGCACCTGTTGAGTCAACTGCATTTTCTTATTAGAGTTAAATGAACGAGAAAATATCTAATAAGAAATTGAGTAAACAATAAAGACAATGGAGGACAAAAGGAAGAAGAAAAATAAGATAAAAGACATAGGTCAAGGTTAAATTAATAAATTTGCAATAGTCACCTTTGCTCCACTTATTTCTACAAAATCACCAGCTATTTACACACTTTTTAATATCAGAATAAATCAATTCTTTTCATTCTTTCAGTTAGTTTTAATTTTCTTAAAATATTCTATGTCAATTTCTTGTACTTTTGAGTTATTTATTTATTTGTTATTAGCAAATAATTCTTCTCGTACTTATAAATAAATTATTTTTTTTTATTCTAACGGTCAGCCTCGGTGTCTTTATAAAGAAAGAGGGACAAGTACTGAAGAATCGTATCGCGCGAACGCTCCTCGCAGACTGACGCGGTTGGGTACTATATACCATTATTCCAACCGTAGGCATCCCCCTCGTTATTGAAATCGAAAAGGGAGAGGGTGACTCAATCTTTAAACTGAATTGTATCTTATGATTTAACGACTTTTTCCTTCAGGTATTTTATTTCGAGAATGGATCTTCAATAAAATTAATTGTCTAGATTTTTCACTTGACAATATTAGTAACTTTTATTTTTAAAGGAATTTAACAAGACTCAAATTTACTTTTCACTTGAAATTCATTAAAGTATTGGTTGGAACAGTAAAAACATAATAACCAAATTTGAAAGTAAAAAATGTAAATTATGAAAGGTAAATTATTAAATTAAATGAAATAATTAACAACTCAATTTAAAATCTGAATTTTATTACTGTAAGTACATAACATTTCGTTAGTTATTTAAATCTATTGAAAAAATGCAAATTTGACTTAGATTTAGTTTAGTTTTTCTTATTTATTTATTCTTTATTTTTTAAACGCATAATTAGTCTCTGAGCTGAAAAATTTGCACATACTGTTCTTGTTCATTTACATACACTTCATAACATGAATTATGATGATTTTTATTTGAATTTTCGTCCTATAGAAATCGATTTAAATAAAATAATTGATTTTGTGATTTTCTTGACGATAATGTATATTACAATATAATCATTCAAAAAAACAAAGTTTTATAAAATTTCATTCAATATGTTATCAAAAAATTTTAGAAAGTCTATTTGACAATAAATCAACATAAATTTTAACTTAAAAATAAAATATATAATTTCTTACTTTAATATCCATGATTATCATTAATTAATAATTATAAAATTTCAACTCTTAAAAAAATCAGTTTTATGTTAAGTAATAATAAAAAGTTTAAATTTAAAAAAAAAACTATCGAAAATATTTTGTTCTAACAATTTCATTTTCAATACATAATTTATTTGGTAGTATCTAACTATAAAAATAAAACAATCTTTATGAATCATGGATAAAATTTTTCTTGAATTTAAATAAATATGACCAGAATGAATTTCGCTGTAAACTGATTGTTTATGTCTCTGAATCTTAAATAATTTAATATTCTACTGGTTCATCTACCATCATTATGATTCTTATTTCTTGTGAATTCGTAAAGTTTTATAATGAATTTCTCAACAATTAAGTTTACTTCATTCACACTCATTCTTCAAAATTCATTAGTAAACTACTATTCGGATATAATAGTGAAATTCAGTATAAAAAATAAAGTATCACTTGGAGGTATATTAAGAAAAAGGCGTATTCTATCACTCAAAATGGTACATTTCATGGCTATATAAAAAAGACTTTCTATTTTAATCAACTCTTTTTCATCTACATCAGAACAAACATTAGCTTAAATATCTATTAATATACAAAGAAAAAAAACAACGTATGAAATACTAATTTTCATATTTTTTCATTTGTTATTATCATTTATTCGTTTTTATTCAAATGACTAATTTATTGTTTAACGATTTGCTGAAATTACTTGCAATCTCCAAAAATGCTGGAATGATATTTACAAGTAATGAAGGATGATCATTAATAATCGATGATAAAATTTTTATTTAGTAAAAAGTTTTCTATTTCGTTTATTATTAATTATTTGTTGATTTAGAAATCGATAAATTGTCGTAAATTTTCTGATTATATTTTTAAAAATATTCCAAAAATTCTAATAAACATCTAATTTAATTAAAAATTGTATGAATAGATTGGTTACTAAAATTATTTATAAATTAAAAAAGTGCTTTAACCAAAAAAAAAGCCTTTACGTAGAGGAATATTTCACTCTTGTTTCATAAATAGTTCTAGTCGAATGCACTATTGATAAAATATTAAGTAATAATTCTTTTTTTAAGTCTATATAAAAATTTTTATGTGCATTATAACGATGATAAATTAATTAATTATGGAGCATTTATAAATTTTGGCAAATATTCCCTGAGCGGAAATGAAAAAATCAAATAACTCGGCAGTAAAATTCAAAAAATTGAATAAGATTGAGTTAATTCTTCTCAACCACATTTAATTAATAAAGTTAATCAAGTAATTATGTAGTTTATTATCAGTTAGTTGATCTAATACTTAAGTATTTTTGTTATTTTATCATCGTATTTCTTCTCACAATTCTTTTTTGTCATGCGACTAATTCATTTATTAAGTACCTAAACTCCTACTTGTAACAGAAAGTGTCATGCTGGCACTTGTTTCATTTTCATTACTTCTTTTTCTTTATTATCTGCATCACCTTGTAGATTCTTCTCACTTTGATTTTCGCTACATTTATTCGTTGTCACTTGTACAGCCGGGAGGCTTAATCCTGCCCAGCCATTTTGTAACTGTTAAGAACGATCTTGTTTAGGTAACAAATTTGTTCGTTCTTCTTCATCAATATTACTTTTTTTTCCAGATAAAAGCCGAGCTGCTTCAGACTGTCGTGATGCTATTTCTGCATCTAAATCTAATTTCCCTTGACCTTCCAATGGACTTGGAATATTTTCTAACTTAGGTAAATTTTTTAATTGTCCATTTGGTTCATTCTTTGACGTTAAAAATTTAGCATTCGTAATGGGGCTAGCACTTACTGGAACGGGCGATGTAGGTGCTGTAGCACTTTTTATCGGCGATTGATTTTCGGGTGATTTTAATTCGTCATCTTTTCTACTAAGAATTGGTGATGGTGGGGTACTTCGATCGTCTTCGTCTAATGAATGAAGGAGCTGAAAAAAAATTGTACAATAGCTTTAATGAGAACTTTTCAAGAAAATTTTAATGCTTTAAATACAGTTTTAATTCATTGGAAAACGTGTACCATTTGTCATTATAGGAACAAAAATTTCCATTGATTGTTTTTAATTATTTCCTTTTTTTAAATAGATCATTACGATAAAATTTATTTTAAAATCGTTAAAAAACAGTTCGTAATTGTTTAGAATTATTTATAGTTCATTGATTATTCTGAATGTGTTCACAAATGGCACATCTATTTTTTTTTTTTCAATTTCTTATCAATACCTTTTCAACTTCGTCATCAAACTGATCATTGCTTGGTGATGGATCCTTCTGGCTACGCTCCAAAAGTGTGGCGCGCTTAGCAGCAAGGTACAGAGATCTTTTAACTTTTAAATAAAATACTTCACTAACTGCTCGTACTGAATAATCAGGAACAAATGTATGACGAAGCATCGCGTCCAAATTTATCGATTGGATGCTTCCCAATGTTTGAGGATTTGCATTTGTGGTAGGGGATTCAGCTGAAAATAATTAATTTTAATCTTTCTATTTACAGATTATATTCATGAATGTAATTTGAGTCTATTGCTACGCATACTCAATTATTATCGTGAATTTCATTTTCTCACCTACGCCAATGTTTGTAATCAATGCTTGACATCCAAAGTATGTAAAGGGTCCACTTTCAAATGTTAAATTTTCCTTTCCTACTGTTACCTCTACTCTTCCCTCTATTATTAAAACGAAATAGTCAACTGGTTTCCCTTGTTGATAGATTATTGCTGCAGGGTCATTTCGTGCTTTGTCTCGTGATTTTACTTTGATATGATATATTATATCCTGTTTTAATAGACGACGTAGAATTGTTTCGGATATTGTATCAGGTTTGAATGGGGGAACAGCTAAAATAGAAATTAAAAAATTAAATATTAGGTAATTAACACTAGCATATTACTAGAATAATATAAAAACAAATAGTTATTTACTTGTAGATAAATATTGAAAAACTGCTAATGTTAATTGTGGTGATATGTGAATTCGTTGGTTTTCTTTTTTTTCAGCAAACACCGTAAAATCTGGCATTTTTGGCCGATTATTTAATCTTTTGCGTTTGCTTCTATTGTCCGCTGTAATTTTTAAATATTGTTTAAAGACAAAAATGAAGTATTAAATGTTTATAATCTTTGACTAGACAGAAAAGAAAAGTTCTTACTGAAAACATCCGTTTCATCCATTATTTCTGCTTGAATCAGTTCTTCAATAACGTCTTCTAGTGTAATCAACCCAATGACTTCATAAAATGGATCACCTTCGCCTTCATTATTGACTCTTTGAACAAACGCCATGTGCCCTTTGTGACCTAATTGATTTTTTATTAATTGAACATCATTTTTTAATAAAAAGAAAATTGTATTGAAATTTATACCTTCTTTAAACTGCTTAAACATGACATCCAATGTAACATCTTCAAAGACAAAGTTACAAGGGTTTTGATAAAATTGACAAAGTGTTTTTAAAGGAGTATTATCATCAGGATCAACAAATGCTAAGTCTTTTATGTAAAGCATTGTAACAATATTATTTCTTGTTCCTTCGTAGACTGGTATTCTTGAAAAGCCTTGTCAGAAAAAAAATTGGTTATTTTTAAAATAAACTGATGACCTTATTAATATATTTATATATACGGTTGAGCGACTTTTTTTATTAATAATTTAAAAATTAAGTCCTTGGTGATAAGTCTTTGTAGTCTTGTGATTAGGTCGATGATTATTTTCCGGTATCACTCGAACTAATTTGATAACTAACACTCATGGTTTTATCTGTTTTCACATGCCTAGAGCAAGATAAATATCAAAACCCGGTTAAATTTCTGCCATTACCTGATTTCATGATCTCCGACACAGTCTCGAAGTCAAGGATTGCATTGTAATCCAACATGTAGACATCTTCAATACGTGTCATTACATCAGCAACTGTTTTCTTCCGCAATTCTAAGGCACCTGCGATTATATTGACCTCATCTTTTTCCAAGTCGTTGTAGCCAGTTGTTACCTGAAATTTAAAGAAACAACATTTATTTTATGATAAAATTTTTATCCTTAAAATATATTCCACCATTGTGAAGTTTGATATTATTGTTATAAATTCATGAAGAAATATTTCAAGTTTAAATCGTATTTTGGAGTTGAACAAACTTCTGATTATAGTCCTACGTATGTTAAATGATGAAAATTTCCTTCTCTTTAGCTACTATAAAGGAATCAAATTGCTGGGTTATCATGATCGTTCGTAGAAATTGGAGAGTCAATAAGTTAAAATGACTTTGCGTGTTCAATTTTACTTTTTGGTAGTTTGCTCCTATATTTTGTTATGTGATACGTGGGTCGTGATAAAAAATATCAAATTATCAATCATAATAATAATGTTGTAATTAAATTTTTTAGTTAAGTACCAACATGTAAAAACAATTCAGTGTTCTCATTTACTGAAGTATTCAAAGAAAAAAACATTGTTGATAAAAATTGAGGAACTTATAAAAGTTCATTAATGTGAGTAAAAATTTCAAAGTAAATAATTGAACAAAACATATTAATTGAACATTTAATTGTATATTTTATTGAATAAAAGCTAATAATGAGTTAATTATTATGTCTTTCAAAGAATAAATATGTAATTGAAAGGTATTAATGACAGAGTCAATAATCAATAGAAAATCAAATCAAGAGAAATAATTAGCGATCTGATCGAAATACTTTCACTGTAATATATAAAATCATCAACTTCCAGAGACTTTCTAACTCTCACAATCACTCTTACCTTAACAAGCTCCTTCAATCGTTCGCGATTGTAAACATTTCCAATTTCCTCGCCCAGCATCAGGTCTAAGAATTTACTGATTGGATAACTAAGTGGAAATGTTATTCCCATTGTTAATTTCGTTATATAAATAGTTTTTGCGCCAACACACAGACCATGTCGACTACAAAATGCCTAAAGTATAAAAATATAACTTTAAAAATTGACCAAAAATTTTTTGAGTCATTTATTTAGTTAAGTGTATTACTTACTTGAGGCGATATTTCACCAAAGATAACGATAGCTAATGTAGAACAAATGACAGCTACTAAACCGGATGTTAAATCATCCAGAAGAATTGTAAAAATTGAATTAACCAGCACATTTGAAAATAATATTGAGCATAATAAATAATTTCCATGATTTCGAACTGGTTGAATTGTCCTTGCATATTTTTTTTCCTAAAGAAAAAAAATTTATCAATATTTTTTGCTTTTATTTTCTTGATTAACATGTGGAGAAAGCATTTTTTTTATTACTTTTTCTGTACCAGTATTGCAGAGGATTTTTAATTCTGTCCGATCCATAGCCATGAGTCCTAAATTTAATCCAGAAAATAGTGCAGAAAATCCCAGACATACTAGTATAATTATTATTTGGAGCCATAGAGGCAAGAATTTTTTATAAGTACGAATCTGTAAAAAAAAGTACATTATTATTCTTATCAGAATACTTTTTCTTGATTAAACAACTTCAATCTAGATATTTATCTAGAGTATAATACTAGATTTCATTGTATATTCATTTATTGCAGTAAAAAAATTCATATTTCGGCTTTACCGCTTTGTAACTCTCTGTGCCTTGATGTACGAACAACGCCTTTTCATCATTTAGTTCAGAGTATTTCGGTTGTTTCACACAAATATAAAAGGGTGAACCCAATGGGAGGGTAACATTGATTGTCGCTGTGTATCTTTCGACATTATAAACCTGAAAAAGAATCGTAAAAAATTAGCTAATTATACTTATTGAATAAAATGGAATTTTTATTCATACTTATTACTCACTTCAAATTCATTGGATTTAATTTTATCACAAACGGTGCCACGTTTTTGAGGAACATCTGTGAAGCTGATTAGCGTATCATTAGTGATTCCAGTACCAAATACTCGTATTATTGCTCTGCTGTCAATCAAAATTTCTGGTACCCCATCATCTGAATAACTTGGCTCTTTATCAGCATATTCGACTCGTAATCCTTCAATTCTTAATTCTTCTTGATGATTTGGATTTTTTAGTTCAATGCCGAAGTCATTAATGTCTCGTTTATTTCGACTTTTTTTTCTATCATTAAAGTACATATAAAAATCGTTAAATATTTTTGTACAGAATTAAAATAAAACATGATAAAATTTTTATTAAAAAAATGTTCATTTTTTTGAGTATTTTCAATAAAGAAACATCATCTGTGTCTATAATAAAGTATTTAATTATTTCATAAAGCGATATTTCAAATTTTTACTTTGTCCTGTATTTAGTGAATTACATTCTTTTTGATCTCGATGAAAACAGAGCAAAATTGTTGTAAACTGAAGAATATTCACTGATTAAAAGTCAACAGAGTACTCAGTGTATGGAAAACATTGCTCAAAGGAATGAGGATTCAAAATATTAGGGTAGGATCCAGTAGTAGTAGGTCAAGGTCACCGGTGACTGTTGATATAAAAACGAGCCCGCCCTACAGAAGAGAGAGAAAGATTCATTCAGACGTTATAGCACCAACTATCGATTGTCTCGAGTAACCCCCGAAAAATGGACTTAACCGATTGCAGAATTACGATGCAGTTGATTCAATTATATCTATAAATATATTTTAGTAAACAATATATTGGTATGTGTTTGGAATTTAATTATTGTTTATGTGACACTGAGTACAAGGAAGTCAATGGGTTGATGACCAGACGATGAATCATCACTCAATCAGAAGAGAAATTGAGAAAATACCACAAGGGCAAGAAAATGAGGAGAAAAAATTGATTTTCGTCAGAACAAAGATTTAAAAATATTTTTTTAATGTGACTTTAAGCAATGACTTTTTAAATTTGGCAGTTTAAATTTAAAAATTATTTTTCAGTCTATACATATGTATAATTGCAGTAATAGTGACGTAGAGAATTATGTGAACTGTGTGAGTAAGTGGTGTCATTGATGTATTCCATAATTCATGAGAATCAATTTGATAGTCTGTAGTCTTTCCTTATCATCTTTTTGTGTAATTTTTCTCTTGAACACTTGCTCACAGAGAAATTATAGAAGATTATATTAATTACAAGTAAATTACAGAAAATTGGTAATACATGACTTCGTGAAGTTAGAAGTCTGGCATATCAGGAATAACAAGATGTAGGCCACAATATCTATTTTTATTCCTAAGATGTTAGACCATCCTGCTTAATTTGTAACCACAAAATATGTTCGGTTCATCTACAAACACGTAAACAATTTTATTTATCATATTAAAAAATTCTAGTAATTTATTTGACACATAATAGTGTCTGGTAATTTTTTTAATAAGCGAACAGTGTGATAATGCTGATATTTATGTGTGTCACAGAGCATTGAACTTGAAGGATTGATGCCTGTGACTCGTAACCTTAACACAAAATGTGATCATTTCAATTTTATTATTGAAACAATAATAAGAGAATAATTTAATTAGTAGTCTCATAAAGAATATTTGTAATATTAATTTTGTTTTTATAGTTTGTTGTTAAAATGCTGGGAGTTTGAAGTTATCAAAATAACTGAACCGTCAATGAACATTTTTAATCTCTGGAATTATATATTAAATTTCAAAGCAAATGGAATTTATTATATATAGACAAGTGTATAACACTTGTTCTCACATGTAAACCTTCATGTTTATATCTGATCCACTCTGGAGTAATTAAATTGTAGCTTAGAAGCTATTAACGATAGACTTTTCAGTTGAAAAGTAGATCTTGTGTTTTAGAACTTGTGTTTATACTATTTTTTGTTGTTTATTTAATATTCATTGATTTATTTATCATCAATAAATAAATTTTCTTCAAAAAGTCGGTGATTAACTGGTTTTTAAACTCACATTTTTACCGCATATGTATCACCAAGATTGGTCCATCGGACGTAAGATCCGTCAATGGTTGGTAGACAAAAATAGACTGTAGTATCCTCAAGACAACAATTTTTTGAGAATCTATAAATGGCTTTATTTTCATTATTATCAGTTCGAACTTTGGTTAAATAATTTTTTTTATTATCACAATTATTTTTGTCTGTCGTCCAACGAATATCGACATTTCGTAAAGAAAAACCAATCACTTCCACTAGAAGTTCATGTTGCGAATGGAGGGGAATATTAGATGGAATATTCAAATTTTCGCGGTTGATTAATCTCACAGAGGTCACACTTGGCGATAAATCAGTTACTGTATCATGTATTGTGAATGCACTTATTTGAGACAATTGAATAAACACAAAAATAATAAATAAAAAAGCCGGCAATCTACACGTTTGACCAACATGTTGCGCCATCATGCAACGAATGGCGTGTGTGTCAGGTTCTTCTATGAAAAGCGGGACCAACCCCACGCTCTTCATCGCACTAGTGTATTTGTGACCTTGAAGCACGTGACTGCGTATGCGCAGTTATCATGTTGTGCGCAATGGAACCGCGGGAATTGTGAACAATTTTTTTTGATTATCACTCATAAATACCGAATTAAAAGTTCAGGTAATATTTAATATTTACTGTCATAATAGAAAAAAATTACGAAAATTCTATCCTACAATTCAAGATTTTTTATATATTTTTTTTAAGGAAGGATCATATGTTTTATTAATTATTACACTGCAAATATAATAGTGGTCTTGTATATTGATTAAATCTAACAATTCGCAACCACAATAATGTTTTTATACAATAGTATGTTTTTACAAGAAAATAAAAATGGATAGACTTTTAATAGAAACTGATTTCCTACGACAAATAGGTCATTGCATGATGTCAAGATTGATAAGTTTATTAAAAAATAGACAACGACTTAGTACTGAAAAAACTGGATTTAAAGCTATTAATTGTTCATTAGAGTTCAATCTATTTTGAGTATTTATTTAATTTTATGAAATTAACTCATGTGTGGATAAGGTTTTTTCAAAGAAATATTTAATAACAACTTAATATTTATGTAATAAAATGAAAACGTCATGATGTGATGTATTTATTAACAACTCACCATCCGATTGTACTATTGTTGATAAGCTACATGCTATTAATTAGTATCTTTACCTTATTATTGTTTTCAGTAACAATAAAACATATAATGTTCAATTTCAATTTATTACTTGAATCGAATATCGAAATTAATTATTAAGAAATTAAAAAGTGTTGAAATAAATAAGTAATTGGGTAGAACAGTTTTACCTTACATTCATCTATTCAAAAAGTTTGCTTGTTAAGTAATAAATAATTGGTTCATTTCAACAAGAAGTGCTCTATTAAAAAATTTGTTGATGGAAATTAAATATTTAAAAAGCTTGTTGAGAGGAAGTAATTGATTTAAAAGAGATAAAATATTTTTAAAGTATGAATAAATTGGCTTTAAGAAGCTGAAATATTATTTAAATATTTTTTCCTTTCCAAACGCGCTTAACTTCTTATCGTAGATCTCCAAAAAGGCGTAGGGTGGCTGGATCAATATATAAACACTGTCTAGCGTTGATATCTATATATTTAATATTTTTTTTAAGTAATAGAAATTCGAAAGAAGCCACATTTAAAATTTTGTCAATAGATTTATTCGCGCATCATTAGAATTGTTCCTAATTTTTCAATTATAGGCTCTAGTGAAATAAAATTTTTTAATACAAGAAAACAGTTTATTTTATTGCTTATTTCTTTTTATTCATTCAATGAAAAATTGTTTTTTTTTCCATCATTATTATCAATCGATAAATATGGGAAGTAATAATAATATCATATAAAAAAATTAAATACATCAAATAATTTTATAAAAAGTGTATCTTAAAAGATAATACTTGGATGGTTTTAAATGCGATAAGTACAGTTTACCAAGCGTAGCTAACATGGTCATTAGCATTGCTGTAGGTAAAATGAGAAACTTCAGCAGCTGGAGAGTAAGCTACCTTAACAACAGGTTGATGATGAACATAAGGTGAAGGTGCATAGTGCATCATGTGTGCAGAGTAGACTGGAGCTTGAGAGTAAGCGTGAGGGTAGGCTTGAGAGAAGACTGGAGCTGATGAAGCAACTTGATAGGCTGGTTGGTAGTGTGGGTAGGTTTTAGTGAAGACTGGAGCTGAATAATATTGGTTGGAATGAGTTGCTGGAAGAACGTAGTCGTGATTATAGTTGCTTTGGGTGTAGCTCAAGGGTGCAGAAGCTTGGTAATTGTAGGTTGGTTGAACAGATTTAACAACTTCAACTGATGGAGCTGGAGATGCATAAGAGATTGCAGGTGATGCTGTTGCGTAGGTTCCTGAATTAACACGGATTTCGTTCTTGCTATTGCTGCTGGAGTATGGTGTTTCAATGCTTTTAGTTTGGGTGGAGACTGTAGCTAAGTTTCCGTGACTACGATAAGTGTTGTCTGAGGTTGAAGTATGAGTTACTCCTGCACTGGCGGTTGCCAAAAAAGCACAAAGAACGATGAACTGCAAAACCAATACGCATTAATTACATTGTTTATATATTATTGTATTCAGATTTATTTAATATTCGTAGATTAAAAAAAAGTAATTTCTAATAAAGCAATTATTAATTACAATTTAAACATATGATTTAATTTCTAGGCTGATTTTTTTTGCAATAAGTTTCTCTGGCGATAATTTTTCTTAATAAACTTAAAATTTCAAAAATACCTTGAATGCCATTTTCTTGATATTAGAAGTTCTTTTTTCAGCTGGTGAATACTAGAGGACTGAAGACAACTGATGTCGATTAAAATCCCGACATCTCCTTTTATACGAAAATCAAGACTTTCTTTGTCATCTGTCTACAAAAGACCGAACTTATCCCCGCCTCAAACTGATACTACCACCCGTGCCTTTCTTTTTTTCGGAGAAATGAAATTGAGCCTAAAACCTGAATCAATCATCATCTGTCACATTAAATTCATCTAACGATATGATGTAGATCAGGTGAATTCTCTAAATCTCATATCACAGTCATATCATAGTTAAAGTTATGCTTAAAATGTATCGATAAATCGAGAGAAATTGGAAAGTTTTTCGAATAAATTTAAGTAGTTTTCAAATCTTGATTGATTGTGCAATATGTAGTTCAGCATAGGACATAAAAATGTCAAAAATGAATTTTTAATAAGAACAGTTAATTAACCTCTTTTTTTTTTTAAATAACTCTTATGAAGTATAATTAAGAAATTATGAAATTGTAAACTTTATTTCTTTTTAAGTTATATATTCATCGTAATAAAAAAAAATAATCATGCTCAATCGAAACAATATATGATCAATTTAGCAAATATTGCTTTCATCTTCTAAAATAGAACACTTGGACCACGCCTGTAATCGAGAAAAAGCCTCAGGCATTTTTCATCTATATACATATGTATATGTATAACTATGTAGCCTCACTTTTACTAAATTACTTCAAATTATTTTTGCACTTATCATATGAAAACTAATAATTCTTCAAGTGCCTCAGGCATTGGAAAAAAAAAATTTTACGACAAAAAATGTTATAAAAAGCTGATTTAAAAAAATATATAATAATTTTTTAACTTGTTATCAAATTGAGATGTAGGTGGTAGTAGTCTATTCAAGAAAAATTTTTTGAATAGTCATTATAACATTTTACTGAATTAATTAAATTCTTCTCGAAAAGAAATTAGAAATTAGAACATCGAAAAAAAATATTGATTTAAAATTAAAATAACTGATAAAAGTATGTATAAATTAGTTTAAAGATTAAAAATAATATTTTTTTTTGATGAGTTAGAAAAATTTAGATTGTTAAAGAAATATTTACAAAAAGAAATACATTTGAATAATTTTTTAGTAGTTTATTTATGATACCACGTACTTAATACTATTATTATCAATTAAAAATTTGACAAAAATTAAAATCAAGTCATTCATATAAATTAGTCGTTGCCATACAAATGAAAATATACCACCAATAATGACTATTATAAACATCAGTAGTAATTACCATCCGTAATTAACATGATTTTGGTACATTGGTCCATGAGTATAGGTGTGGGAATATGGGACTGAGTAACGAGCATGATAATTAATAGCAGAGGCTTGATGAGGATAATGAATTGCTGCTGGAGTAGGATGATTAACCGTCTGAACAGATGGAGGGATGACATTGTGATTATAAGTAACAGTAGGAGGAGAGATAACTGGTGGTGGAATGTATGATGATGCTGTTGCTGCATGAGAGTAACCAGAATGTGCGAAACCAGATTGGTAGTTGGCGTTGATTGCATGTCGGCTGGCTGCAGGGTATGGGTTGACAATTGGAGCAGGTGCTATTGTCTTAGCATGAGCATAAGGAGCAACTGCGGTTACATGGTTGTAAGAGTGAACCGCTGGGACCGCCGCTGAATGACTATATCCTCCGTAATTCCCAGCATAGTGACCGTAATTAGGTGGTGAGATTATTGTGGGTCCATGGCTCAAATAAGCATTGGCAGTTGCCAAAAAGGTAACTAATAATATTATCTAGAATATCAAAAATATTTATTAACATCAAGTTAATGATAAAATTTCGAAAAAATGTAGATGTTTCAGAATACTCACCTTCAGCATGTTAGACAATGTAACTTAGCAGAAGAAAAATAAATACACCTGTCTTCTAGGGGATGTTAAGTAGCTCTGAACACTGGAAACTAGCTGGAGTGTATTTATACGCAGAAAAGTTGCGGAGATAGTTTATATATATATTTTTATGTTAAGAAATGGAAAACAGTAGTGTGCATTTGTTGCATTATAGATCAGAGGCGTGGTGTTATATTGCATTTTCCTAAGAGCGCCTTGAGCTTGTTTTACACACGCAGTACATTGACATAAATTGGTAGCTGGCAGTGTTTTATTCGATAAAGAATTACATCCGCAATCAGTTTTTTAATCCTTAAACTTTCCAGTTTACAATAACATCAATGACTATTCAAAATCATCCAGAACAAAGCGGTTAGTGTATATCTTTGTGACATCATCGTGATAATTAATGAATAAACAAATTACACTTGTGACATTTTTTTATGATATACCACGACTAACAAGGAATTTTGAGATTTTGTTTGTGAGGTCGTGTTTAATCCTTTGAAGCCTCTAGGCTACATGGTGTTGTAATCTCGGTTAAACTTTACCGCCGGGCATGACCCAACTTTTATATTCTTATTTTTCTCCTCTTTCTTCAAGTCTAAAGTCAACTCAACAGGATATGGTTGTTACACTAGTCCTCAGGCAAATATATGTATTTTAAATAAATTTTATTATTTTTTTTTTACATAATTACATTTATATGTATAGTCAATAACTTAATTTAAGGCAATTAAAGCAAAGAATGTTTTAAAAAAATATACATAAATTTATATACTGATTAAACAATCATATCTGCATCACATCACTGCATGAACTTGTTTGATTTGTTGATGATGAGTTGGTAACATTTCTTCCTGAAGTTCTTTTATCACTTCTTAAGCATGAAGTGCTAATCAAGTTATTGAAATACTGATTTTGAGCAGAACCATGTGAAAGAACATTTTGATCTCGAGTTATATCATTTTCTTTGTTATCATTTTCATTTACAATTGAAGAAATTGACTGCCCTGGTAACTGATGAGTATCTGACGATGATTGAGTATGATCATGTTGAGTAGCCACTGAATAAGGTGGAGGATTTGATGGCCTTGGTGTAAAAAGTTCTTCTACATGCATAGGATAAGCTCCGGTTGGTGGTTGTGTTCCTATGACTACAGTGTAAGATGGTGGTAGATCATTAATCCAATATGTCTGATATGCTGGTGGTGCAATAATCTGGAATAAACGATAATTAAATGATAAATTTTATTTCTTAATTAAAGTAAAGTAAATTATTTTTTAACTTCCCATTAGGAAGTTATTATAATGGGGTCGATTTTTAAAATTTATAATTCTGTCATTTCTTTACGTTTTGAGACATTTCAAGATATACAAGAAGGTTCAAATATTGATGCATGGATGTCAGGTTTTTTTTTCATTTTCTACGTCTCGAGAACCACTGAAGATATCAACTCCAGACAAATTTTATTCGAAAGATAATACAATGAATACAAATTCGGTCTAGCCTTTGTTTTTATAACAAAAAGAGTGTAAAATAAGTTGAGTAAAAAAGACATTTGAAATAGATTCTACTTATTGAATAATTAATATTATAATTAATATCAATGCAGTATGGTTGTTAATGACTTTACATGACTCTAAATAATTATAAATTGTCTATAACAATTTCAATTTGTTATTAACAATTAAAAATGATTATAAGTTGTTTAATAATCATAATATAATTATAATTATATTCGATAAATATAAATAAAATATTGTTATAAATAACGTGATGTGATTAAACAATTTTATATTGTTTATAACAATAGTAATTTGTTATAAACAAAAAAACTAAAAGATGACAAAATTACGGATTTCTACGAATGGGAAGTTCATCATCAGGGCATACAGTTCGCTTCAACCCATTTTCAATTTTTTTTTTTTTGAATTACTTACATCTGTATTGTTATCAACACCTCCAGAAACGGTTGGAATATTTCGATTTCTGCCATCAATGATTCTAGTTTCCTCTCTAGATGTACTTCTTTCAGTATTTCTTCGATGAGTACTTGCAGCATACCCACAAGCAATTAAGAATAATAGGGTGAGCACTGCTAATGCAATCCACATGTATTTCCATCGTAGAAGTACTGATGCAACCAATGCTGCGCTTACCCAGGCAATAAGAAGGGTCGCCAAGGAACGACCTGAACATTCTGATTGCTGTAAAAAGTCCATTTTATTTTTTACTTTATAATTAGTTTTTTGTCATTATGAAAAATTCAATTATAATATTTCATTTCTAATCATGTAAAAAAAACATTTGGAAAATGTTGTTTAATTTATTCAAGGAAGTAAGAATGTGTTCGAGATAATTGAACACTTTTTTATGTTAAGAATATTTACAAATATTATTGTAGGCGTTAACAGGTTTGGAGAAATTAAAAAAAAAAAATAAATGGGTTAGTAGAGAAGTATGAAAATGATTAGTGTAACAGACATACTCGATGATCATAGGTGTTGACAGTGTCGTCCATTGCAGATCATCTAAGACGTAATCGATCAACATCTGCGGACCTCCGCTTTAAAAAATTTCTGCAATAACGAAAATGTTTCTGTCGTTAGAGATAACTTTTTTTAATCAACCTCAATTTATATTGATCATTAACGATCGTTTACGTCCTTTTTTGTATGCAGTGTAAATGGGCGTTTCTGTCATCTATTTACAAATTAATTAATAAGCATCGAAAAATTATTTCAAAATAGATTATTAGAAGAAATATAGACGTACGGAGAGCTCACATTAATTTATTATTATTATTTAGACATATTTTTTTTTGTTTTATTAACGTACGGATTTATTTTGTTGACTTGTAGATGAAGTGGTTACTATATAAAGATCAGGAGACGTTCGTAACATCCTGTTGTCTCTCTCGGAATCGAGATACGCGTACCGCAACGAAAATGTAAGTGGCATTGATAATATTTTTAGGATTATCTTCTTTCTTTTTTTTTAATTTTTTACAAAGAAATGATTTTTAACCTGTGTGAAATATTGAAAATTTATGAAGCATTAAAAATGAAAAAATTAAGGAAAATTGTGATCGTCATTATCTTATCTATCACTCATACGTATTATGAAAAGATAATATAGATTATATGCAATAAAAATTTGCAAAATATCATTTAACTATATTTTCTAAAAAAGAATTGAGAAAAATTGATTTATCTTTTAAAGATAATATATTTTTGGTTAAAAAAAAAATTGATTAAAAGTATAAAATCGATTATTAGACAATTAAATTAATAAAACAAAGAAAAATGAAAAAACTAGACAAAGTTGAGAAACAAATAACGAATTTAACATAAAAATAAACGTTATCGTAAATATGTGATGTTCGTTCTCACATTACTGATAAGAAATACAAAGAAAAGACTATAAATTGAAAAAAAATAATAAAAAAATAAAAAATTTATTATTTACGGAATTAGATTCCTGTCTTGTCAACATATTTAATAGAATAATTAGTTCACACCGTATAGAAATTTATGTAGATTGATCGTCTCCCAGGATTCAAATGTTGAATTGATTAGATTCTTTGATACAATAATTTTTTTTCACTAATAATTTATTAATATTCTACTCTTTAACTATTGTAAATTTCTCTTGAGGAACCTTGTTCCATAATTGAATTTGGACAAGGTTTTTGACTGCTTAAATCACATCGCACTGTCACTGATTCGTATTTTTGATGATAATTAAAATTTATTTGAAAATAAAATTATTATTGGTTTTTTTAATAAAAAGATGAATCTGTCAATATATAAAGTAATTTAGACCGACGGATTCAATGCGACTGAAAGACGTTGCACCTTCGAGGTCTTTGTAAGATTGATAAAATTGATAAGATTTCCCCTTCCTAATATAGTTAGCGTTTTACACGTAAACCAACAAAATTGCAGCCTTTATCACCTGTGATCAATGACTTTGTCTATATATGTTTGATGTCTCACTTGCTAACAATGATTGTGATAACACTAAGCTGATTAGAAACAGTTTGTAACTATATAATGACTCTATTACAAACAAATAATCATAGATTTTAAAAAAAACTTTACATTACACTTGAAAAGTAAACCTAAAATTAGTACGTAAATTTTGTTTTCATTTTATTCATGAATTTTTCTACATGACTTACAATTAGCACTTTGAATAATTAATTATATACACACATACTCGCTCATTTCTCGACCATGATAAAAAAACTCAATCATTTATTTATAATTCATTCAACTAGTAAAATCATTATTTTAAGTTTATGATTTAATAGTAAATAATCGTTAATACTTTACGGTTAACTTATCGATTGGTTATTACGTTAATTAATTGGATTAACATCAATTGCATATTTCATAATGTTGATTTCGATCACAGACCAAATTCCATATTCATTTTATTAAATAATCATTTGGACAGTGATCAAGATCTTGAATAATTATTAACCTTTTTTTCGTGATGTATTAGTGAGTAAAGAATGATAATTATTTCAGCTGAATTACACGTGAATAAATAAGTATTTTTCATACAAATAATTTTTTTATCATTCTTGATACAACACTGAGTAAAGGAAATATTTAAAAAAAATAATAATAATAAACTGAAATATTAAAATTACGGTAAGAGTCGAGGATTAAAACGTCCCATATGAAGAATTAATCCTGTTGGATTATGTCTTACAACATACAGGAATGGCCTATCTAATTTTAATCTTGGTTTTTCGTTTTCTACTTGTCTTGAGAATTTAGCTAATCGATTATTATCTTCATCGTCATCATCACTATGATTTCTAATATCTTCGAATTTATCTTGTTCATTCTTTAGATTATTTTCATCAACTCTAGCATTTCTTTGCGGACTTGCTGGGTAAATTTCTTCGTGGTGTTTACCACTCAAAATATTTTCGTCTCCGCATGTGCTGAAGAGATTCATCTGAAGTTGAAAAAATAAACAATCAGTGAATAATATTTTTAATTGATTTAAAGAATTTTTTAGTCAAAAAATATGGCAAAATATTTACCTGGAAAACATCAGCAAGATGAAGATCGTGCCCAATACCATTAATTCCTTTGAGATCGGCATGCTTATCAAACAACTCGTGTAATCTTATTGATTTTAGTGCTGAAGTAGCATTAATGATACTTCTGTGGCTGAATTTAGGTATTTGTAGTTCAAGTCCTGGTCTTGGAATTATAACTTTCAGTAATTTATTCCACGTTCCATCATGTAGGGCACCCTCGACTAGTCTGTGTTCTAATTTATACAAATTATCTCCTGGAGCAGTGGCTCCTGGTTGACCTGGCACTATGAAAATTGTGGAAACAATTTTATCAAGACCCCCAAGAGCAATCGCTGTAGCATCAAGATTAGGCTCGTATCCAGCTAGAACTCCAGCTTTCCATAATGTCGCTGGCACTGGAATAAGTTTTCTTTGTCTAACTGCTGGAGAGACAGCAAAATAAAGTTCTCCGTCTCTTCCTTCAGATGTGGCATCACTAGAACTGCAATCAGTCTGAAAAACATTAGCAGATAGAGCTGCTAATGGTGATCTTAAAGGTAGTGGATTACTTTTTACGAAATCTCTAATTCTTCCTCCAGTTTGTTTTCGAACCATCAAATTGGTTCTTCTTCTAATTACATCACTTACAAATGCAAAATTAACTTCAGCAACAATTCCATCATAAAATTGTTGTGCTTGTTCTTTATAAAACGGTAAAAGTTTACGAACTTTTATTTTATCAGCAAATAATTCTCTTACAAAAACTGCATTGGCTATTCCTTGGTTTCGGGCAATGCTTACTGAGTCTGAAATATTCTGAAAGACTAAGTGAGGATTGAATGAACTGACATCGTCAAGTTTAAGAACATCATTCATTTGGTTAGATGTCGTTCCTCGAGCTCCCAAAAATATCATAGCTAGCATACTTGTCATTCCGAAAGGAGAAACTGCAAGAGATCTAGATGTACTGAGACCATTATTAATTGCAGTCCACAGAGTGAAAGCTAAATCATTGCATAGATTTGAAAAATAAGCAATATCTGGTTCAAGATTTTGAGTGCTCGTATCCAATGCAGGAGTAGTTTTAGAATGGTCTAAAGCAACAGGTGGCTGAGCTTCTGTTTCTCCAGAAGGTTTAGAAATATTTAAAGAATCATTACGACTTTTTACTGGTTCATCTGGTTGAGGTACTGGAATCCAATTTGTTGGGTCTGATGGTTTTGGAGTTGTAGTTGTCGAGAGTATTTGAGTGTGTTCAGTCGAAGTTGGAAAAGCTTCTTCAACTTTAGGTAATGCTGAAGGTGACAATGTTGATACTTTCTCTACAATCTCCATGCTCGTTTCTTTCTTTTGATCTTTTGGTCTGTTTTGTATTTCCGATGCAGTTGAATTAACATTTTCAATAGCATTTACTTGGGGTATTTTCGTTGATAAAACAACAATAATTGGTGCTTCAGTAGATGAAACTTTGTTTTCAGTATTTACGATTTCATTAATCGTAGAAGAAAATACTGGAGCATCTGTTTTATTTTCTGCCAATGGAGTAGATGTATTTAACATTTCCAAAGTACTCTCAGTCGAAGTTATAGGTAAATTCGAAGTGCTTTCTGTTTTATTAGTCTCTGGAGAATTTAAATAAGATGAAGTATTTTTTGGTGTATCAATTGATAGAATAGCGATGTTTTCTTTGTTTTCTGCCTCTAAAGGTAGAATATCTTTATTTATTGATACCGAAGTTGTCGAAGTTAATTCAGTAGTGCTTTCTTTTGTTGTTATTTCAGTAGTAGTTGTTACATCAAGATTTTCAAGCTTTACTGAATCATTAATAATTGGAAGTTGATCAAATTGAATTGTTTGCATTGGAGCTTCAGTTTCTTTGATAATTTTCTTATCTGTGTTCGACTCTACGTCAAATCCTGCTATTAAACCACTTGCTAATCCATTAGCAGTTAAATTTTCTGTTGGTGGTAATGTTAAAGTTTCGTATATTGGTGTAGTATTTTGAAGTGTTGATGACTCAATCATAGCATTTATCGTAGACACTGGATTTGTTAATTTAATTCTCACCATTGTTGACTCTGTGACATTTTTAATATTTTCAGTATTTTTTGTAGGCTCGTCTTTTTGCATATTATCATTTTCTTTAGAATCTGACACATTAATTCGAACAATTGGTGATTCAGTAGTGACTTCAACTGGTTTCTTGTCATTTGTTGGCTCATTATTTTCCGCTTTTGGTGCTAATGATTCATTTAATGTATCTGTCTCACTAGATTTATCTGGAATTTCTGGAGTTTTTACTTCAATAAATCCAGACGTTGAAGTATTTTCTACTGTTTTTTCAGAGCTTAGAGTTGTGATTTCTAGTAAAGATTCACTTGAAGTAGTTATTTCAGGAATTTTCTCGACCTTAACATCTTCAACTGTATTTAAAGTTGTATTGTTTGATAAAGTTCCATTAAGCATATTAATTGTTGATTCTTTTACTTCTAATATTAATCCCTCTGTGCTCGTAATATCAACTGGAGTTGTAGCTTCGTTTAATTTATTATCTACTTCTGAGTCTTTGTTATTTACCTTTATATCTTGAGTATTTGAGGTATTTGTCTCTTTGATTATATCAGTGACTGGCTTTTTTTCTTCTGATTGTATAATCTCAGGGCTTAAAGTTATTTCAGAATAAGATTCTTTCAATTCTACTATCTCAGGATATACAGTGGTAATTATTGTTGGAGACTCAGTTGAAATATTTATTTCTGAATCTTTTTCTTCGAATTTATTCATTTCAGGCTCTGTCATTATAGCTTGAGTTGTAGTTTCATTAAGATAATTAAACTCTGTACTTTTTTCTTCGATATTTGGAGAATTTGTTGCAGATAAAAGTTCATTATAAATAGTACTTAATGGAATCTCTGTTGTTATCAGATCTTCTACTTTAAATTCATTAGACTCAACCGACTCTTTACTTTCAAGCTCAGTATCAACTGGCTCTATTTTTGTTTTGTCAGCATCTGGATTTCTGGATTTCTGATCTTCTCCAGATGGAATCCTTGATGGCATAGCTTCAGATACTTGGTTAAGCATACTAGATAATGAGTCTGTGAGTTCCTGAGATATTGATTCGGTTTTAATTGAAGATTCAGTCGTAATTCCAGATATATTTTCTTTTTTCTCGGTCAATTGAATTACTGGTTTTAGAGCAGGAATCTCTGAATAAAGTTGTTCAGAATTTTCCACCTTCTCTTGAGATTGTTCAGTTGATGTAATGAGATTAAAATCACTTGTTGAAGCATCTATATGAGTATCGAGAGTTATATGAGGTGGTGTTGAAATATTCATATCAATAATCTCAACCGGAATTTGTGAAGGATTGGATAATGTTGATGCAATGTTTTTAATAATATCACTTTCACCATTAATAATTAAATCAACTGATGATTCGGAACTTGAAGGAGTTAACGAATTATTTGAATTATCTTTATCATAGCTTGATGAAGGATTAATTTCAGAGCTGGAGCTTTCTTGAGCCAATTCAATAATAGGTCCTGAGATTGTCGTGAATTCGGTTTTATCCAACAGTGGAGCTTCAGTTAATTTTTCTGTAAGAATTTCAATCATTGGAATTTCTGTAGGATCGATTGTGACTTCAGTTTCTTCTATCACAGTGCTATCTGTTTTGGACAAATCTTCTGTCTTTTGCGTAGTACTAGAAACTACTGGCATTGGCTTTAATATTTCTTCTTGATGGATTTTAATTTCATCCTGTCCGGAAATCTTTACAGATGTTGAGGATGATTCTGCAATTACACTAACAGTATCTTTTTTATTCTCTCCATTAGAGGTATCTTCAGGGCTAACAGCTGTATGGAGGATGTTATAATAATTTTTATCATTATTCAATGATTCAGGTTTACTTGTTGATGATGTAACTAGCACAGGTTTTACAGCTTCGGAAGCACCAGCAACTTGATCTTGATCAACAGCAGATTGATTGACACTTGTAGTACCGGCCTTTTCTGCTGGAATAGTGTTTAATATTTCATAAACAGGTTTTCCATCTTTTTCTTTTTCATGATGGTTAGGCTTCTCGACTGTAATCATTGGAACTGGAATCATTGGTTTCTCATCAGGTTCCTGATACGAACTTGGATAAACATCTGGGTATTTTACAACGCTTGGCTTTGCAGATTCTTGTGGTTGAGAGATAGGTTGACTTGAAGCTCCGGAATCTGATTCTCCAGAAAGAATTGAGGGTAAAATGTTACTCCATTCTGAATTTGCATGACCTGGAATAGTTGGAATTGCTGTTATCGTTGGTGTTGGCTTTGACAATTCAGATCCCACGACTTTTTTAACATTCGTAACAACGTCTGACACCTGAAAGATCAAAATTATTATGATGAATGGTGCTTTTACCGTTACTTTTATGCTTTGTTTTTATTTTTAACCTTTGTTCCTCCGGGCTGAAGTTCTTCAACCTTCGATGATTCTTGCACTGGTACAGGCAAATTTCCGCTTCCTGCTGCGATCAAGCTCTGAATCTCTTTTTCGGTCATTTCTTTTACTACCATTCCGCCGTTAATGTCATGAGTATAGTAGTAAATTTTGTCAGGACTAAAGAAATGGATTGGTGATGGTGGTTGGGTTTTTGATGAATATATCCTTTTTTGTGGGTCAGTTACAGTTATATACCTCGATACGAGTCGTCTAAAAACATACATTTGGAGAAATACTTTAAATAAACGATATAAAAAATCATTAATATCTTTTCTTTTAAATGTTTTTGATATTTCAATTATTTCTTCATAGTAAAAATTATTTTTACTTACCCTTTACTGCTAATTGTCATTTCATCTTTTGAGACAGGAATAGAAGAAGCCCATTGCAAATTTATTAGTATGGTCGCCAAAATTGGCAGCCAACCAAATAGTATCTTCATTTTTCACTTCGATCTATAACACATGACAAATTTTATGAATGAAATTTCCAATGCAACACGTCTGTAGCCAAATATCGCAAAGCCATTGACCAGCTCTATATACTGCATTACATTTAGGGAAGTTTATAAGTATTAATGACAGTAATACTTTGTAAAGTAGCATTTAGTAGTTCACCCACGCGTGACACGTTCCAAATTCAGATGTGATTGTCTAGACTTCCGTGTACAGAATTCTCACACGTTGTTCGTCAAACACGTTCGACCGAATTATCCAAGTCACGTTGGTCTCAGTCGTATGTCTTTTGGTTTTTTTCTTTTTTGCTTCCATTTTTATATCTTTCAGGTCAAACTGTAGCATCTTCACATAAATTTACATATGAATGGTGGGGTCTACTGACCCAAAGACAGGTGACAAGTATTAAATTGCTGAATAATATAAAGAAAAAATCAAAAAAGGAAAAATGAAACAAAATCAATGTCAATGAACTTCTCAAGTTTTTTGGCCATGACATAGACCAAGACCGGTTTAAGACGAGTTTTAAGTTGCTGTTGGATCCATTAACTGTTGCATCACACTCGTAATCTAGTGAGTCATCTAAACTATCATACTTCACCCTCGTAATACCTTTTATATTATAAATTTATTTAAATACATAACGTGATAATTTGGATATAAAAAACGTACAAATGACTACATCAATTCACCTATTACCTTGACGAATTGCTACCGTTAAGTCATTAGGAGACCCTCAATTATTCTTAATGCTTTTTATCCATCATCGTATCCATCTTTATACTTCTTCTCATATAATAATATTGACGTCATACTTGAAAAAAATTATTCGAAAAATTTTAGTAAAATATTTGAACAACTTTTCAGCACTCCCACATATTATTCTTTCTCTATGACTCTTTCATTTCTAACTCCTTTCGTTTGCCAAGTCGTTAGCAAATACTTTGTTCCGTTAACATAACACTTCCGGGAGCAACGATCAATTTATGAAAAATTAATTTTTATTCGATGATTTAAAAAGAAAAAAAATCCCTAAATTTATTCTTCCTTTGATGGTTTTTTTTTTCAAGATACTTAATAACTAGCCGGTGTCTAGTTACTGTCTGTCGAGATTTGATGTAGATAAAAAGTGATATGGTGCATCCGAAAAAGTGATCTTGTAGGAGAAAAATCTTAGAAATTTCTTCTGAGAATTCGGAAGGTGTCCAGAGACTGGATATTGACTCGTTGCGAGACCTGGACCGTTTCCAATACCGTTAAGTGGATTCATTCACTTATACGACTTACGACATGTCAAGAAAAAAAAATAAAGGAGATAAAAAAATGAAAAGTAAAATATGCAAGAAAAACTGTGACTTTAAAATTTCCAATTGTGGTTATAAACGACTTTATATTCATTGCTGTCATTGTATTACGTATTTTACGTTGCTTTTGATGATTCAACGGTGCATTGACGGATTTAAAGCTTTTTTTTATTCATTCAACCACAAATTTTTATTTCATTTAATGAATCAGAATTTACCGATAGGAATATTTATTTTATTATGATTTGAAAAAAAAAAAAGTTTTCCTAATAAAACACATGATAGGTCATTTGTTCTCTATTTTTACCCCTTTTATCTGCTTTTACAATAGGACGAGATAAACAATAGGACCGTTCGATCGTGTAAAATGTGTTACGCTTACTAAGCACAAATTGGGTCAAATCCTGAATATATCAATGGTATTATTTTCATTGACAAAATATTACAATGGCTTTGCTTATTCGAATTTTCCACGAAAAATTACCAAAAAATATTTTTGTTAATTTCGTATTTCTTGCTGGATTTCTAAAACTACGACAATTCAATATATTTATATTATTTTCATTACAATTTCAAAATTGATAATAGAAAATTCAATTAAATTAATATTATGATTAATTTTCAAATAAAATAAAATAAAAAAAAAAACTTACGTTAAATTTTTAGTTAAAAAATTTCTTCAACATCCGAATTATGAATACATTACTGTTAGACTCACAATTATCACATGAAAGAGTAATATTCGTGTTTTCTCGTTCGCGTCGATCGCCGGATGAACGATCTTGCAGTTGACCTTGCCACTGGCCGAAGGGTAGTGACCCCGTTGTAAGACCTGAGGCTTCGTCCTCTCTCTTTTACTTAGTTCAATGCTCTTTTTTACACTTTATTCCTTCTCTTTAATAATCTTTCTCTCTATCTAATCACTTACTTATTTTAATGTCAATTATTTATTTGATCGATTCTCCGTTCTACTGTATACAAGTCTCTTGTTGTCTTGCAAGTGATGAGACTTCTTTGAACTCTAGTGGCCGTCGTGTACCCCGGATAAATGTACACTGCGACGTGGGTACCCTTGGCGTACACAGGGAACCAAAACCGGGGGGAATGGATGGATAAGAGGGAGAGACTGGGAGAGAGAACCTGTCGGCAAGTCCTCGCAGGCGTGAGGAAGACAGGGACATGTAAATGGTCATACGGGAGGGAGAGTACATGAGTTAATAGGGTGGGAGGGACATTGGGAAGGGGTTGAATCTTGAAATTAAAAAAAAAAAACGGGACATTTTTATTACAAATTGATAAATATTTATAGAGAAGATTTATCCAGATGATTCGTGATAGATAACTAGGGTAGTAGAAATAAGTTCATTGTCAGACTTTTTTTCATCAAGAGAAGTCATGAGTTTGAGTAACAATTAGTGTTCCATCATTTATCCAAATATTTTTTCATGAATCTGTATTTTTTATATAGATAAAGAATCTTGCGAGAAATTCTCAGGTGTCTGAGTGAGAAAATTCCTATGCAGATGTCACGCTCCGTTGAGCTAGCATGAAATTCCAGATTATCGTCTTCTCTCTCGATAAAAATCGAATAAAAGTGAAAAAAGGATAAATAAATAAATTATTATTGAATATAAATAACTCAAAGATAAAGCTTTTTTTAGATGAAAAAAATTCTTGATATTTCTAGACGTTTTTCAGATGATTTAACAATTTTTATAGAATTTATTGTAAGTAGTTAGAATGAAGGGCCGAAGAAAAAAGTGTAATTTACTTAGAATAACATGTCGTGCTATGTAAGTAGATTCAGACGTGCTTGTTCGGCCTTGCGGCTCGTCTTGATATTCTTGTACATATATATACATATATATACATATATATTCATCCTTTCCTTGATAAAAGTCTTCACCCTTCTACTTATTCTTTTCTGTTTTTTTCTATTTTTTTAACAGTATCGCAATTTTTTTAGAAACAATTTGTTTTTTAGATTGAAAATGGATTGGAGTAGAAAAATTTTGAAACATGAGATTCATTAGAGAAATTTATAATCGATCAAAGTAAATCAATATAAAATTGTTTGAGGAGAATTTATTACTGATCCCGTTACAATGTAATCGAAAACGATTGATTTAGCGCGTGACTAGCGAGAGTGTTATCTCACGATTGATCATAGAGATAACTTAAATGATTGAAACGATCGTTACGCACGCTTATTTCTAAAGGATATTATATTTATACGTAAATGTATTAATAATATACATTAATAGTAAAATGCACTTACTCCAATGCAGCTAAACAAATAATCTAATTTTATGGTATTGTTATTAATAGAAAAACAAAAAGATAGAATATACACTTGGAATATATGCAAAAGGATGCATTATTCTATGCACAAGCTTTAACAATAATCAATTTCATACTAATCCTACGCACAAACTTATGCGCTTCAATTACCACTTGTTACTTCTTTAACATAATAAAGTGTACACTTGGCAATTCTAAATTACCTGTAAATAATCTTTTATAAATTTATGGAAAATTTAATAGTTTACAGTTTAAGTACTAAATAAAGATTTGTATGAATGGAAAAAAGATGAAAAATATCCTCTAAAAGCATAGCAATGCTCTAGTCACTTTTTTAAAGTGAGATTGCATCCACAATTTTATCAATTTATTTGTTGTAAATAACTAGCCAGAATTTTTTAATATACGCAATATTGTTTGGGATAAAAAATATTTGTTTTTAAAATTCTGAAATTGGTATTTTTTCATAAAATAATGTGTGTTTAAAATATTAATGATAAAAGCGTGCTTTTGAACAAAGCTACTGGAGTATGTTAAATAAAAAAGAAATTCAAAAATTATCATCACAGTGAAATATTGAGAATGATTTTTTATAATGGATCTCCAATAATTTTTTCATCCAGTTTTAAAAAAATATTTATTTTTGAAAATTTGTCATTATGAAAAGCTAATTTTTCACGGTTTAAAATAATTCTTTTTTCTTATTACTTATTGTTAAAGAAGAAAATAGATGAGTCAGATGTTTTAACGATGTATTCCGTGTTTGATGTTCTATCAAGAAAGGGAAAAAATTAATTGATAAAAAAAGGAAAAAGCAGGGAAGACATTTTCGCGTATGAAATGACGGTAGATGGGTAGAAGTTGTTGGACTTGTTCTATCTCTCACGTCGACACGTAAGACCCGACCTGCCCGACGGTTATTACTTTATAAATAGCTCCTTAAGACAGCCGGGTAGCGCGAGGTGCCTTAGATGCTGCTGATGCTGCTAGAAATCATTTTACATCCTTTTTAATATGAACTTCTGAGAGTGAGAAATTGAGGAAAGATAATTATAAGTTTATTTATATTCTTTTCTATGTTTCATAAATCTAGTTAATTAATGTTTACATCTTAATTTAAAAGAATTAAGTAAGTAAATGATTTAAATTTGTTATTTTTTTTTTCATTTATTATCAATAACATAAAATTATAATTAGTTTAATCAATTTTGTTTTAATCTTAAAAGTAAGATCGATACAAGTTTTCTCTTTTAAAATAAATAAAAATCTATTTTTATTTTTTATTGCAACGGGAAAATTTCATACGATTAAATCGATTGAGATCGTGAGATCGGGGTCTTATGTGACCGACCGACCGATCGACCCGACCTGGGACAACGACGTGATGTCTTCGGAGAAAGAAAAACCATCGAACGGAAGATTTTCAAACATGTAGCACAGAAATTACAATTTCTTATCGATGCATTTTATTTCTAGAAAATACCACAAATATGCAATATTTTTAACAATTATATTTGCATGTTGATCCTGTAGATGTACTTGTTTTTCTTGATAGTATTTACGATAATTGATGAGAATAATATATTAAGCAGTTGGATTAATAAAATAGTTTACGTTTATTTGATAAATAAAGTAACGTGACTAATAAGATAAATTGGTCAATGTGTTCAGATTTCCTAGTAACCCATAATTAATAACAAAGTGGTTGGCTTCGTGGGAACAAAGTCGAAACATAACGGTCCTCTCTTCGTCTTAAATTGCTTTACAAATGTGGTCAATAGTCTCATGTTTATTAGTATTTCCATTCTTAACTTAATATGAAAAGACATAAGTACTTGTAAAAAGATGCAAAATAATCGTAATCAGTTGAAGATAATATCAACAAGACTTTTTTATATGTTAAAGAAAATAAAACACAATGCCTAGAAAAATTTTAAATTTATAAAAAAAAATTGGGCATCATCTAAATCATTATCCTCAAAATTAATTGCTGATATTTATTGATGTTACATAATTTATTATTGTAAATACAATACAAACGATGCAATGATATCCGTTTCCGTTTAATAGCACAATTTTGCTATAAAATATCCGTTAGTGCGAAATACGATGGCAAATAGAGGAGAGTTCGAAAGAGCAGTCATTAATTAACCAGATGGCATAGACATCGGTTGGTCTCGCATATTTGCACGCTGTCCTGACAATTCGTTCACTACACGCGTGTTTCTCCTCACCCTTTTACAATCTCTTCCCTCTCGTCATTCATTCGTGCACGCAATAATAACGAATACATGACACACTACGTACACGTATTACATATCAACTGCTCCATTGATTATAAATGATTTAATTGATTGTTAATTAAAATCATTTGAATGCATTTTAATATCCAATATATTATATACAGTGATATAATAAAATTAATTCGCACATCTGTATAATTTATGATGACAAACGAAAGGACTCGTAACTACTATTTAAATCTCACGTAAATGTCACTGGAACGAGAGTTTAATTAATTGTGGACATTTATCGAAAGCCTCCACAAGTGCTTTCTCTTGCATCTTTCTTTTTTGATAAATATTTTTTTGCATTTTTAATTTTATTACTAAAGATAATATTATTAAATTTCATAACTTCCTGAATTATGTAAATGTGAGCAATTTTTTGATAAATTCATATTTTACCAATTATAAACTTTATTTCGTTATCAAATTTTTTTTATTTTCATAAAGATAATAGAAGATTATTATTAAAATTATGACAATTTATCTTTTATTTACAGTTAATGGAGGTAGAAGTATGCATAACTAACGACGCATAAGTCATTAGCACTGTTGCATCTACCACATAATCTTAGTTCAAGTTATCCAGAATTATGAAAATAATTTTTAAAATTTTCAATTTATTTATTCAAATAGCTATGACCTTATTAGTGGAGATTGTTTTTCTAGATAAAAGATCTTTTCATAGTTAGTAAATAATAGTTTATTGCGATAGTATAAAATTAAAATTTTTTCTTATAAACAGGATTAATAAACTATCTGTTTTTATTCTCTAAGTACGTGTTACAAAAAATTGTTGTTATCAAAAAATTATTTTATTTCTATTTCTTCACATTCTTTTACTTCAGTTGGAGCATCAGCTTTTCGCTTAACGTTGAAAATAACTTGAAGTTTTTTTGGTATACATTCATTAGTTTTGCACACAATTAAATTTAAAATTGCACTAATTTTATCAGTTGTTTCCGTTCCTTGAGGAAGTTTTATGATAATTGGTGTTTCTATGGATCCTGACTTGGCTTCAGCCATCCAAGACATTGGTAATTTATCAAGAGACCATTTTTGAGGAGCTTCTGGTGTAAATTTTAGGTCAGCATTAAATTTAGGAGTGAAAGAAATTGTTAATTCACTTTGTTGTGTACTTATTTCTGTAGAGAATTTGAGTACTTTTTCTGCAGGTCGTCCAATATCTTTTGGCAGCTTCACAGGTATCTAGAAAGATCGATAATGGGTAAACAATGATAAATAATATCGGTGAAGAATTCACAAAAAAAATTATCCGATTAGAAATCTTACCGTTGTTATCGAATGATTACTCTTCTTGATAACTTTGATGCAATGATTGTTGGTATCGGCAATGATAATGACATTTTGTCGTTGTGAGACAGCTAGGCCACTTGGTTCATTGAACTAAAAACATGTATTAACCAATTATCGTTCATTGTTACGTAAAAATGCGTCATCTACTTGAAACAGTTTACCTGGTGATCTTTAGTTGGTTTTCCAGCACCGTATAAAGTCTCACAGTTTCCGGATGGATCTAAACGTTTTATTTTATGATTATAAGTATCAGCAACGTATAAAACATTTTCTGCATCATCCCAAGCGACTCCTAGGGGATGTTGAAGTTTAGCTGAAAACTGGATTCCATCAACATCTCCAAAATTGTGCAAATTCTATGAGAAAAATTCTGTTTAGAGCTTATTTGTTCTTTACTCTGCTGAATTTATTTTTGTTAATTGATTAAATCTAAAAGATTTTACCATTGGATTTTTATCAGCGCCAGCTACTGCGGAAACTTTACCATCATTTAGATGGACTCGTCTGATTGAGCTGCTCTCGCTGTCAGCAAAAAATATGGCTTTATGATTTTGCGCAACCGCAAGACCGGATGGTTGTGCAAGACCAGCAGCATGAGGGTAAGAATTATTCCTGTTTTCTTCTTTGCCACTACCCACAATTGCTGCACATGTATTGGCTTTATACTCCCTACATCATTAGAACAATATTCCTTTTAAATTAATAAAAGACATAAAGAAAATACTTGAAAAACGACAATATTCATTACTTATTTTTCCACCAAATGGTGTCTTTAAGAAATAATGCCCATATTTGATGTATACCAGCTATAGCTATTAAGAGAACTGGAACGGTTGATCCCTTCTGCTCGTGGTTATAAATAGCAACGTCCCAAGGTGACGAAAGAATTTGTTCTTTGCCAACTTTCCCACCTACATAATCGTGCCCTTGTTTTCCATTTCCTGCTATGGTATTTACAGTTTTGTTCTTCATGTTAATCTATCAAAAGAATCGTTTTTTTTTAATTACTACAGTCATTTAATTCTAATGAATGAGGCTATTAGAATATTTTTTACTTGTCTTATGGCATGATTCTCAGTATCAGCGACATAAATAGAGTCTTCTAGAACACATACACCTTGAGGAGCGTTGAATCTTGCTTCATTATAGTTACCATCTTTAAATCCTGGTGAATATCCACCTATAACATCCTCAACACTTCCATCATATTTCATGACCAAAATTCTATTGTTGCCTGTATCTGAAACGACAATTCTTTCACCATAGGATTCTCCAAAAGTTGTAACTTTTCCAGGGAACAGAAGAACATCTCTTGATATGGGTAGTAAGTGTTGAGCTGGTTTTAATGGAAGGTCATGCTTTGATATTTGGTCGAGTGATTTGAAGTAGGACAGTGCAACTTTAGTGTATAAAAAAAGCTCTTCGCGATGACCTTCACCAACGAGGACAACAAGCGGTTGAGCTTTTGGCCCTAATAATAATAATTATAAGTTTATAAATCAATTGATAAATTTTCTTGATTATGGGATTTAGTTATCACTATACCTAAAATTACGAGACTAGGCCAACAACTTATCCCAATATCTCTCCACATGGACAATTTAGCATCATTAACAACGGGGTGTGAAATGTTGTATCGTTGAACAGCGGATAAAATGTTTTGCGAGTCTTTTTCATTAGAAAATTTTGCAGAATGGACTCCAATCTGTTGAAAATATTCGATGTCATTTCATTAATGCATAAAAAGTATAATTTAATTTTAGCTAATTTAAGAATCTTTTAAAAACAATATTGCAAGACTAATAAAAAAAATTTTTTAAGCTTAATTTGATATCAAAAAGAAGTAAACAAATGAACGCACAACAACAAGTCCATCTTGTACAGAAAACTTTTTCTCCAGTGCATCAAGATCAGGAAGAATATGCATACAATTGATGCAACAGTAAGTGAAGAAATCAAGAGCAACAACTTTGCCGGTAAGATGTTGAGTGATTGACAGTTCTTCAGAGACGTTGAACCATTCTAAGCCTAAAGGAGTGAAAAATAAAAGTGCAATCAATTTTTTTGGAATAAAAAATAGTTTTAATGTGTTAACTAAGATGTGACATGAAGCTTAACAAATATTTCAATACATTATATGAATGTGTAACAGTATTAATTTATAACAATTACAACAATAGCTAAAGAATTATTGATAATACAAAGAAAAGAAATTATTAGTAGATGTCAACTTCAGTCTTCTTTAAGTGGAACATTAAATTCTTTGTGCAAACTGGCTATTGTTACGCCATGCATAGTAGCCATCGCTCCCAAAACAACTTGAGTGGCATCTTTGATGTCATTATATTCATGAAGATCTTCAATAGTTTCTTTTATTGATGGCCCTGCTTCTAATTCAGCTTTTAACTTGGCCAATTCTTTTTCAAGTTCTCTTTCAGTCTCCAACAGTCGATTATACTCCTCAGTTTCCTTTTCTGACAATAGTTTGTTAGAATTAATTTTTGTTGTTTTCTTCATTGATGCATTACTAGTACCCATTTTTCCTTGCGTCACCGAATCATTCATTCTTTGATAACTTATTTTGGTTTTGATTCATCAAAGAAAAATTTTATCAATCAATTTCACCTGAAGTATGATTGTTTAAGAAAGAGAAAGAATATGTATGAATGTTATTATTATGTTTAACGATTTATATATGAAATATTAGTATTAATAAAATTGAAATAGTTAATAATAAATAATAACCTTTTTGGAAGTCGTTGACACAATTCTCAGCGTTGGCCCATTCCTTAATATGTTTTAAAACTAATTTTTCCTTCTCTTTAGAATCACGTGTTGCATCAAGCTCTCGACGTAGTTGAAGACACTCTTGCGTTAATATTTCCACTTTATCCTGAACACTCATTTTTTTATTCTCTTGTCCACACATTATTGAAAAGAAATGAAAATAAACCAATTTACATACTCACCTTCTATTTATCAGCGCGAGGAGTCATGATTTTGCAACAAGTTTTATCAACTGATGATCAAAAAAGTACACTCTAACGACATCTTACAGAAATTTTTGAAATTAAAATGTAAAAACAATTCATTCATGAGCTTCAGATTTTTAAATTAAAAATATCTATTTATTTATGTAAAAAAGGTACACAAAACAAAAATAATGCGAAAATGTCTTTGACAAGTGAATTGCAGTCTTTAAATTTTTACAACAGATAACAAAATTAAAAAATAAATCATTCTGAGCTAGGTCGACAACAGGTGACCATTCTGAATTTGAAATCTTCAAATGCATCAATAATATTTTCTTTTAGTTCTCTCAATTTTTCTTTAACATCTTCTCTCATGAGATTATAACACATGGCAACTAATCCTAGACCAAGAAGCAAATAAACAAAATTAATAACTAATTTAAGATGACTACCATTGCCATTTTTGATTTCAACATCAGCTCCTGGAACAAAATCTCCCATCCCAATTTTACAAAGTGATGTAACACAAAAATAAGCACTGTCTAGATAATCCCACTTTTCCCATTGAGCAAATAAAATTGTACCAATGAGTATGTAGCCAAACATAACCCACAAGCAGGCTGTTGATGGAACTATTATTCGTTGACCAGGCTTTTTACGACCAGTGCATTCATGGAACCATTGATATAACCATCTGGAATCAAAAATAATTTATCAAAGCAACTACATATAATTGAAATAAAACAAATGTACCAATAGTAGATTAGATCAATCATTTTTATCCATCATCAAAAAATGTTGATTTAAAAACATATTTATTTTTGAATATTATTTGGTTTTCTTTTATTTATTTAGCTACCAGGATATTATAATTAGCTGATGGTTTCTATCACTCGACTATTGGTGCATTCATCTTAAACCATTGAAATCGTAAAATATTTTACCTAAACGTATGGGCAAGAACTTTGCCCATATTCAGGAAGTATAAAACATAAAGAGGAATTCCAAAAATTGCGTAGACGACTGTTGCGCCCTTACCCCACGGTGTTCTGGGTACTGTATTTCCGTATCCGATCATCGTAAAAACAGATAAACAGAACATAAGTGCAGCAGGAAGGGACCAAACATCTTTAACAGATTTTCCGTTATAGCCTTTATATTTTATAGCTTCAACAACGTCTTGTTGAAAATCTTTCAAAATACCATCGGTTTGTCTTTCAAATGCTGTTTTATTAAGTATGTTAACATTACGATCAGCTGCAGTTGCTGACCATAATTTTTCTGAAAAATTTTTTCTTAGTTCTTTCATTTCCTCTACATGAGGATATTCTGTTTGCAGTTCAATGTTAGAGAATCCAATAGCTCCAACAATAGCATATCCGACTATTAAACCACCAACTCCAACTTGAGTACACATAAATGCCACGAGTTTTCTGCAGCAATCTTTGATTTTTTCCTTTGGATTAACGTTTACAGAAGTACTTGAAGATTCATAACTTCTTACAGATGATTTCACGTGCATTCGCGCCATTTTGTTGTTTTCAATTGTGTCACGATGGTCACTAGAAGGCCACAAACTCAACTGAAAAATCACCTTCTTACTCATTCTATCTGTTCCTCAGCCTCCTCCACGCGGTTCTTTCTATTTTTGCTCTGCGAGCTGTGGCTTGCAAATATCTTCGCTTTCAGTTAAAGATTATACTTGAAAGCACTTTATTGCGTATTTGAGATCATAGATCTATAAATCAATAACTTTTATTATCTTGTATCACTTTTTTCATCTTTTCAAGCATCAGATTTTTTTTTAAATAATTGAAATGGTACATTTTAACTTGAATTGATTATCAAATACTCTGATTTATGATGTTAGATTTTTTTAAGCTTGATCATAGTGAATCTTTAATAACAAGTATTTTTACGCTTCATCTTAAAATATTATCAATAATTTTTTGAGAAAAAAAAACAGAAAAAAATTAATTCGCTATCTGGTAGCCTATCGACAAGTTTGTTTACTTTAATGTAGAGTAGGGCACCAATTATAAATTTGTGGAATAATTAAAAGGTAAAAATTCCAGTCTTGATAACTTTCAAGATAATAGATATGATGATAAAAATGTCTGTATGTACTAAATGTACTTTTTACTACTGAAAATTTTTTTTAATAGATAGAAAACATTCTGACATGAATTTAAGATTGATCTGAGTTTATTCTAGATAAAATAAATAGTTTAATGTACTAATTTTTTAATCCTTATCAAGGGCTATTTTATAAATGTGTAAATATGGGTATTTGTTATCAACAGGATTCTGAATAAATTGCATTAATAATCGTGTACATATAATACAAGGGGAATACCCCTTTAAAGCTCCCACCCACGTTTTATCAATCCTGAATGCCTATGTTCTAAACGGTGGATAAAAATAAACTTTCTGATTTAGAACATAACATTTGGCCAGGTAATCAATGAATCAAATGAATTTATGCCAAGTTAAGTAGGTCATGGTTGTAAAAAATTTATTAATCATTCTATTTAAACTACCAAATAATCTTGGAAGAATATGTTTACTTGCTTCAATTAAAATCCTATCAATTGGACTATAAACTTTGATGATAGATTGTCAGGTCTGATGATACCTTTGATCATCATGATTTGACAACAAACACCTGGAAAAGAAAATTAAACATTTGGAAAAGAAGCAAATTGATGGCAGCATAAAAAGTAATTGATGTCGGGTATGTTTTTGATTTTCGTTCTTGTATTTATATTCAATCAAGTATTGTAAAGATATGTCCAATTATCTAGCCTTTTCATGAGATAGTACAGACAAGTTAGACTAAATTGAAGCTGAAATAAAAGGCAGACAATCTTTTGAAGTAGAACGTCTGATACCGATGATGATCTTGTGCAATATCTCGGGGGTTGTCCACGTAACATGTCATCTTCAGTCGTTGGTCTGTTGTCGAGCTGATCAGACGCTCTGTTAACTTTATTTCTATTTTTTATCTTTCAATATTAAATTTCGTTTATACTTTTTTATACTGCTCTTTTAGATACAAACAATTTTAGTGTTTTTAAAAAGGAAAAAAATTTTATACTTTACTTTTTTTTAAAAAATATATTGCAAACAAAAATGAAAATGAGAGAACTTGATTTTTCTATAATACTTATTATCTCAATATCAAGTGAGTAATTAAATGAATTTTTGGATAAGTAAAAGAATATTAGAGATTTTTTTAAAAATTTGATATTGTGAAATTAAAGTGATCTTGTCAAAAAAAAATTGATTTAGGTTTGGGTCAAGTATTTTTTAAATTGTTCTATTGACTGTAAGGAAATGTGTAATTTACTTAATATGTTTCTGTCTTTATAAATTCACCAATGGGAAGGATCTACGAGTGCTAGCGAAATCAATTGAATTATTTTATTTCATTATTTAACTCTGAGAGGAAAGGAGTGCCTAGCTATGATCTAAAATTGTAATTCAGATTTCAAGTAGCGAATAAAAAAATCCAAAGAAAATTATTTTAACAATAATTTTTACAGCTACAAATAAAATACCTGCTCTAAATATAATAGCTTGTCTTTTATTAGTCTTTAAGTAATATTTTTTATACGTTAATTTCCTTTAAAAATTAATTCCCCAACAATTACACTGATAGGATAATTTCTGGTATTACGTTATAGATTAAAATAGTTAAAAAAATTAACTGTTCAAAACATATTAATTCGTATCGTTGAATTAACGTACAGAGTCACAATAAAAAAAATATCAATTCATCTTTCAGTATTATTTATTCGACAATTAATTTTTTTGAATTTAAAAGTATAAAAATTGATAGTTATTTTTGAAACAAAGTGCATCTATGTCTAGATTGAAATAATCTTTCTCGTGCTAAATTTTATTTCTATTCTTCTACATTTTTTTGCAAATAAATTACATGCTCATACTTGCAGTTTCTTTATACCAAAATAAAGAAATAAATAAATAGAACATTATTTATCATCACAGTAAAGTTTACAATAGTATTTTGCACTGATGTTGAACTATCGATGTTTAATTTCTTACAATAATCCTCCTCAATCTATTAATCAATTTCGATTGTTTTTATTTTTGCATTTCAGGCATTTGTTTAAGTCACCAAAGCTCTGGAAATTGGACATATTCAGGAGAACATGGTAAAGTACTGAAAAATAATCACGTGATAGATAAAATAGAATTGAAAAAATGATGAAATTTGTAGTTTCTATAATGAGATACTGAAGTAGTCTAGATATATATCAGGTGTTTTGAATAATAAAGAATCATGGGCTCTGGTCTAGTTCACGTGTCAATGGCTGGCGTTATGTCGATCGGACATGTACCAGTTAAGAGTAAGGGATATTGAGGATGTCTAAGGGGAAAGAGGAACACGAGGGAGGGCCTTTGAATCGCATCATTCTACCGCTGTCTAACTGATTGAGGAAATGATGTACAGCAGCACAGATTAGATAATTGTCAATTTGCGAATATTTTCTTGTTTGACGCCGTTTTGTTATCATTAGATTTTCATTTTTTGTCCTATAAAAAGATTCTCTTTATCAATTTGAGGGTTTAAACTTCCAAAAATAAAATTTTTTTATTTTTAAGGCCCAGAAAATTGGTCAGGAGTATGTAAGAATGGTAACCGACAGTCTCCAATAAATATTGTGACTGATGATACAGTCAAAGCTGATTTAGGTTCTTTAATATTTACTCGATATGATTTTGCTTACACTGGAACTTTGACAAATAATGGACACAGTCGTAAGTAAACAAATATTAATTAGAACATGATTAGTAATGAAATTGATTTTACATATTGAATGAATTTTTAGTTCAAATCACATTGTCTGGAGTGCCAGTAGTTTTAACTGGTGGTGGTCTCACATCTACATATGTTCTCGAGCAAATGCATTTTCATTGGGGAGCCGAACACACAATCGACGGTGTTCGTGATGCTTTAGAATTACACCTAGTTCACTACGATAAGCAATACGGAAATGTATCAATAGCTTCACAGTCTCACAATGGCATCAGCGTCGTTGCAGTACTTTTCAAGGTTTGCTGCAAATAAAGTTGTTTTTTTTTGTTATTTAATGGATTTGTCGAGCTAATAGTTGTGAAGAAATTGATTTTCTCGATTTTCACATTTCTTTTCTATTATTGCAGTTGAGCGATGATGACAATGAAAAGCTATATCCCATTTTAAAAGCAGCTGAAGCTGTTTCAGAGTGGGTGGGAATGAGTAGTGTGGAAATACAACGAAAAGTAATTCCTATGCAATTACTTCCGAATGATCGCACGACTTTTTATCGGTACGAAGGCTCTTTGACTACTCCTGGATGTCAGGAAGCTGTTACTTGGTTTATCATGTCAGAAAAATTGTCGATATCTGAAGCACAGGTTCATTTCATTTTCCTAAAAGCTTTCAGTCAAATGATCAAAGTACTTGTTATGGAAGACAGATTACTATATCCAACTTTTTTTCACGAAATTCGATGACTTTTTAGTAATATACTTTATAAAGAATATCTATCTGTAATCTGTCTTTCATTTTTTAGCTGGTATTGTTAAAAAAAAGTTTATTTATTGAAAAAATTTTTTGCAGTTGAAAGTGTTCAAAAGTATTCGAACGAATCATGGAGTGTTGAAACAAAATTATCGGCCAACTCAGAATATTGGAGACAGAAAAGTCTACCATCACTTATTAGGATATACATCATCCTCACCAACAATATTTGTTAATTATCTATTCATTTCAATGATTGCATTTTACATTATTTTAAATTAAGAACCAATCAAAAAAACATTTTCTAGTCTACAAAATCACCAACGAATTATGATAAATCAAAACCAAAGTGTTGATAGAGATAATAAATTATTCTCAGGGTTGAGAAATAATATTGACAGTTTAAAATACTTTTATTTATTGTCTTTGATAATAAGTAAAAATTTACGTGACAAAGCATTTTATAGAAATTTATTATTATAAATTTTCTTGATTCTGGCCTTCCTTTTTTTACACTTTGCTGTTTTATAATCTCCTAACCGATCACTACCACGATTTTGACGACGTTGACATCCATTTGTCACAAATTCCACTGCTAAATTTCGTTCTTCAGTTTCCCAATTTTCACTACGTTCCAAATCATTTTCATTTTCTTTTTTATTAATACCATTAATACTCCGAACATTTACAGTATATGTACAATTTTTGTCCAATCCTTTTATGTCGAATCTAGTCTTCTGTTAATAAAAAATATAATATTAAATGTAAACAATTTAATTTATTATGGAAAATTGAATGTTTAAAAAAAAAAAAAGAAAAATCAATAAGTATAAATAAATAATTTTTTAAAGTTCATTTCAATTTATTACTATTTAGTAATCGTATAATCCTATCTAGCAATGGCCATTGTAGCTATTTAATCTACTTTCTAGTTGACAGCCAACAATGAAATCCACTTTTCTAATTAAATTAATTGGATTCTGATAATACTCTCACAGTGATAATAAATTTATTAAACCAAACCTGTATAATTTGTGATGATGATACTGCTGATATTAAATTATGAATGATTTTAGAATTTTTCGTAATCCCGCATGATTCTTTTTTCCAACTAATATTGTAACTCGTTGCCTCTGGGTCTCCGGGCCACACTAGACGTGCCTCAATGTCCTCCCCGCATTGACAAATTAATCTGCGTACTCGTAAGCCAACATGATGTCTTTCACATCTGCTAAAGCGTCCCTCTACATCAGCTTTAAACAAATCACTCTAAATTAACATATTTTTAAAAAATGAGTTGTTAAAAAAAAAGTTTATATCATTGTTTTATTTATTTTCAATTAAAAGCTTTTATCATATAAAGAGTTATAGTCACTTGATAATTTTTTTTTCTGGTACATAATTAATTAGATTTACTCCCTATTCTTACCTATTGCTCGTGTCCCTACCGTATTTCGGGTAATCCGTGCTGTTGAAGACCTTGGACGCCTTGCGGGAAGCTAAATGACGACCTCCGTAAACTGAAACTGCCTGAACTTGCAGAAAGTATTGTACACCGATCTCCAAATTTTTTATTTCGAAACAACTTTTATCCTATTAGAAAGAAATATTATATTATTATATTACATCATATATTATATTTTTATAACGATTATTTTAATTAACATTGATAATTATTTTATTTTCATTGAATAAATAAAATTTAAAAAAATCAATGTATACTGACTTTAGAAATACTTCGATGATAAATAAGAATCGACTCGTTGGTAGGTCCACGTATCAATTGACTCCAGAACAACTTGTAAAACATGATCGGAATGTCAGAAGACGGCTGTTTCCAACGAAGAAGAATCCTCAGCTTCCCATCCGCTGGTTGGACGCGTGCTCCGCTTAAAGACAGGTTCCGGGGTTCTCGTGGATTCTTTGGTTCTTTAGTAATACAAAAAAAACATCATATCCTACGTGAGAGTATTGCAAACCTTTAGGGTCCTTGCCCCCCAAAAAAAAAAGAGAAATAAATTATGAATGAAACCTGATGTTTTGAAGGGTATCGATGGATTTGAATACCCTCGGGATCCATTTTCATTCACAGCAGCTACTCGAAATTGATACCAGTGTCCTTTTTTTAGTTCGGTGTATGTAGAAAGATGAGATTTACTAGAGACATTGAGAACTGACCACGGAGTTAATCGAGAATCAAGATATCTTGGCCCTAAAACATGTCTTTCTTCTATTAAATATCGAACCGGTGTATTAAACAGATCATTTTCTAGAGAGTCCTTCTTTTTTGTGGTCCAATTAAGAGTGATTTTATTGCTTTTTTCGCGACGTATCTCAATGGTATCTGGTATCGAAGGTAGATCTAGATAAGAAAGAACATTTTTTTGTAATTTAGTAAAAAAACAAGCAATCATTCTTTATTTTATTGAAATAATTGTCGTGTAGAACTTAAAAACCATTGAGTCTACAGTATAATAAATTGTGATAAGGAATATAATTTGTAAGACTTTTAAAAAAACTCGCCTTCGCGTTTTCCCAAACCTGTGGGATGCATACACGTGACTCCACAATCATTGGAACAACACTTGGCCAAGTCTGGACATTCCGAGTCGTTGGAGCACGCAATTAAACAAGCAGCTTCGAAAGGTGACATGGAATTTCTTTCGGGACAATTTCCTGGCTTGGTGTAATTCGTTGATATGCAGAGGTCTATACACTATAAATTAATTAAGCTCTCAAATGAAAAAAATTAATTTAAAACTGTTTTAATTAAAACTATCTGATAATGATCAGTCAAAAAAAAATTATTAATCAATTAATTGCAATGAGACCAAGTTTCTTAAAATACTTAATTAAACGTGTTTTAATCTTTAGATTGGTTTGTTTTGAATCTTAATCATGATTTCTTTTTAAGGAATTCATTTTTTAATCTGCATTCCAGTCTATCTAAATAATTTCTAGAATAATGAACGATTAATATTCACATTTATAGCATGGTGTTTATATATTGTTTTTTGCAATCAAGGGAGCTTAATGCTGAATAAATTGGCATACGTAAATCCATGGGAATTGGCAAATCTTTGACCACAGGAACCGTATAAATCGTATTCGAGTCGGGTTAAGGAACAGGTTCGCTTACTTATTGGCCTACTTTTTATATAGAACCAACCACGATGCGCCTGCGGGTGAGAGAAGCTCTCTTCCCCGAACGAGAGACCTAATATCAGGGTCCACGATCTTTTGCGATGCTTCTTTTGTATCTCAAGCGTGAAAACCTGTTTTTCGATACTTAAAGAGGGAAGTTACTCTTTTCTTTTATTTTGCATCATAAAAAAAGGGATGCAAACATTTTTTTTTACTAATAAATTTAAAGTTAATTAAAAGTATATTTTACCTCTTCTATTGGCGAATATCCATCACACTTTGCATCACACCGGACAACCCTTATCGGATCATACTCTTCGATGTATTTTATTAATGATCCAAAGCAGTTGCAAATAAGTAACCATGGCCATAGTTCTAAAATCATTCGAAAAAAATTCTAATTAAAAAAAATTCGAATTAAAATTTTTTTTTTTCCTACATGAAAAAAAAAATGATTCGATTAAAAAGAATTATTAAGCAAAATTTTTTATGGAATGATTTTTTATTCTAACTTTTGGCGCGAATTTTTTGCTATTTAGTAGTTGATTAAAAAAATTCATACATACTTGCAATCGATAAACCGAACATTAGAATGAGCTGGTAGCAACTGTGGGGGCTGAACGCTGGCAAATGATAGCGTGATTGATAGAAAAAGAATAAAATATCACGTTCTCTCTTGTAAATCTGATGAATTATTGGACTAGTATGCTGAGAGACTGGCGCCTATCGCGTCGATGCGTTCGAACTGGGATCGAGTTCACTTTTCTGACCGGTCGATCCTTGCGACCAGGCTTCTCCTACTCTTTTACAACCCACACCAAGCTCCTTCCCACTACCCTAGCAACCACCTTTCCATGTCCATCTTTTATCTATATCCTCCAAATTAGCCTTTTTTAAGCTTGAATTTGCTTATCCTAATATTATTCATCTTTTCCATCAGTTTTACGAAAATTCATAAATCATTTTCCTAACTCTGTAGAAACTATTTAATTGCATTAGATCCCCTCAATAATTTAGCTATAAATAACTCACACTTTGAACTCTCATTTTACGTTCCACCCAAGTGTGTAGTTAAATCGTAACTTTACTACCAATATCCTGGTTACCTTAGACTATAACGCAAAAGCTTCTTTATATATCACATCTTTTCTTCACAACTACAGCCTTTTACCTGTTGCAACACATAAATATTTTAGCACAAGAAAATAATTATTTTCATCTTTTTTTACTCAGCTATTATTGAAGTAACAAAAAAGCAGAAAAAAAATTCTTTTAAAATTTCCAGTTTAAAGCAGACTTTAAAGAAAATTTGCATTGCATTAATTTGCATTTTTTAGAAAAACAATAACCATTGTAATTTGCCGATGGCAATGACCCAAATTCTACGGGTCTGTTATTTAGCATGAGTTTCAAAAGTATGACCATGAATCAAAACTACGTATTCCACAATGTTCATGTGGGTCCACATGTGAAATACGAGCTTCTAAGGCATCTATTTCAATTGTAGAGTATAGTAGTGCACGTTTTATTTTAGCATAACAGTTTTAACGATTTGCAATCGACAATCGATTACCCAGGAAGTTGTGAAAGCGGATATCCTTATAGCATTTACGATTTTGCTAGTTAAAAATACTTTTTTCGTCATTCTGCTAATTTTTTTTTTGAACATCTTCAAGATTATTTGGAGAGACAAATATAAAAACATCAGCAATCCTCCATTGCTATAATTAGATTATTTTATTTAATTATATTATAATATATTTTAGGCACAAGTTATGAGTATAATAATAATTATTATATTTTATACATTTTTGTGATAAAATAAGAAAAAAAAAAAACAGTATGAAAATTGTTTATTCACAATTCCTTTCACCTCTGCTTCTCCTTTGTTGTCTTTGGCTTTCAAATATTGGCCCGACAATAAGCCAGTAAATAGCTAGGGCCAAAATAATGACGCACACGATAGTCAGAGCAATGGGCTTAGCTCTTGGTTTCCAACATTTTGGCTCATTCGCTTCTGCGAGTCCATGTCGACGTGCATAAGCTTGCATAGTAACTTCAGCAATTCCTGAACAGAAAATTTCGAAAAAGTTCTTAGTAGTTAAAACTTATTAAACAAAGTTAGTTAATTGAAATAAACAAGTTATTTTTATTAATACCTGGTGTTCTCCATCGGTTGTCCATATTGTATTAAATTCGCGATGTTTACACAAGAAAAAAGAAATTCACAGACTCTTGGTGCTTGGTGCTTGGTCACGGACGAGGAACTACTGCCAGAACTACGAGACGAGCATCTTGTGTTGACCAGAAAAGCCCTTACGAGCTTAATCTATCTCCCTTGCGGTTTATTACGATCCTTGAGTGTCTGCTTCTTGAGTACGTCTGTTTTTAAACTGATGCAATCATCATCAACATACCGTATATAAAATTCAATTATTAAAATCATTAAATTATTTACATTAAATATTTAATTGAAATATTATTGAACATACAAAAAGCTCAAAAGTGTTTCTCTGGAATAAATTAATATTAAGTTCTAAATACAAGTACTTGATATTTATGTTATAAGATCTTCTAATATTTAATTAGATTACTCATGTTAGCTGTTGAACTTTAACATCAAAAAAACACTTTGTGAGTAATAAATAAATAACTTGACATTAAAATCTGTGCTTCTCATTATCTCTTAGAAATTTCTCACGGTTTCAAACTTTCTCAAGCTCTCTTTTACTTTTATTAACTTTTCTATTTCTAGTTTAAAAAGTGAGAAAAAATTTCTTGAATAAATCGAAATCACTGCTCATTATTTATTTTCATGATATATGATGGATATCTTCATCGAGAGTGTAGAGCATATTTGCATCCCTTGAGTTGATTAATGCCTGCATTTTCCGTGGAATCATCAGGACCACCCTAGAGACTATTTATGTATTTGCTGACACAATTATAAAGGGTAAAGTGCTATTAAATAACTCTAAAAACAATGTGATTTCCTAAAATGGTTGGAAAAAATGTTCTCTCCATCATTTGGGTGACCATCGCTCTTTGAAAGTTGGCTAAAAAAATTTTAAGACCGCCCACTATTTGTCGTTACTTTCTGACATGTGACATTCACACTTGTTAACCCAAAGATGTTACTATTTGCAGACTGTGATTGGTTAGTTTATAATGCGAAGACGTATCTTTTTCCTCTTCCCTACTCCTACATTAATCTCATCTCTCATTCGAGGCTTTTTATTCATGCATCTCAAGTGTAAGCTCGTGATTACTGGCCCTGACCACTTTCCAGTTTGATACGAGACAAACTGGACGATATTGAGGAGAAAATAGAAAAAAAAAAATAAATAAATTCTCAGTTTGATTATTTTAATTTCAGTGTTTATGCTTCTACATGTTTGAAAAATCAGACTTAGTGAAGAGTGTTTTATAATTTCGATCTCAGTGTTCGTAAACTACAAAAAGCATGGATTGTTCTTTTTCTAAAGATTGCACTGTTTCTCAATATTATTCAGAACCTGGAACATTCAATAATGAATCTTTTGTTCTTCCACCTACACCTCCAGCATCACACAGTCCATCTATTTTATTTTCCAATTCACTAGAATCTTGTTGGAACCAAAGGCAGTCAAATTACAATGATAGTAACCAAGCACGGTAATAGTTGATTTAAACTTTTGATAAACAAATAGTTGGATAGTTTTATTGGCCAATTTTTATTTATCAAGATGATCTTTTTTTAGATGGGACTATTCTACGAGTAATAATGTATTTAATAGCTCAGAAATAATATCTATTGATAGATTACCTAGAACTTCATCGCACTCGTTTCTTGGGACAAATGTTTCTTATTTTCAAGGATCATTATCAGTATCAACAACTGAGCAAAATTACGATTACCAAGAGTTTCCAAACGGTACTCAGATGTTCGATGACTTGGAGTTAACTGAACGCATCGAGGAAGACTTGATGGTCGAGTCTTCAACATCCGAATACGGCAAGTTGACTTTTCCTTCGTAATACTTTGATGAGGATTTTTGTGATCATTATTTTCGTTTTTATTATTTTTCTTTACATGCTATGATGACATTTACTCCGCCATTATGGCTATAACTGACCATTACCTAAATATTTGCATCATAAATACGCTTGGTGCGTAGTAATTTATCAGATGTAGCATTATATAATCGTTAAAAAATTTGTTCATCATTATTCGATGAGAAAGAATTCGAAATAATTCATCTATCGAAGAAAATTTTATAATAAAAAATTGTTAAATATTTTTAGATTAAACTTTTAGATTTTCTTCTGTTTACTAGATATTTCTTACAATTGAATATGAACATTAGCAATATTATGAAAGAATTTAATAACAGTGTGTGCAGTAGTGAAAATTAATTTAAATTGATAACTAACATAATCGAGTTCTTTATCATTCGTTGATGTACACTTACAAAAAGTAGTTACTGACAAGAATGAGAGAGAAAGAAAGAGACTCGTTCTGGGACACATCTTGCAAGAAGACGTTGCGATAGTCAACTAGTTTTTATTACGCTGGATTTTCTTTTGGATCACTCATCAGAATTTTTAGCGAGATTAAAATGATGTCATAAAAGCAAGACCGCTCGATTACGATAGAAGATTTGATTTTACATGTATAATCTTATAGACTTCATCTCCGTCCTTTTTGTTCACAAAAAGATGAAGATAAACTTGGTTGTAACTTTCTTCATCACCTTGTATTATTAGATTATTATATCTCTCATAAAATTTAGAAAGTTATTTAAAAATTATTCTAGAGTTTGATATGTTAACACTAGTTATAATTTATTGAGCAAGTGAAATTATTGAAAAGCATTTATAAAAATTATTAATAGAATTTTTCTTAGTTTTATTCATAAGGTAAACCACTTATCTTTTCAATGAAATTATAAAAGTTTTAATCCTTTCATAGATTCCGGAAAAAAAAATAATAAACGGGTTACTGTAAAGGTAAGGAAGGAGAGAACTGCATTCACAAAGCAACAAGTTCGACATCTTGAGCTTGAGTTTACGCATAGTAATTATTTAACGAGACTTAGAAGGTACGAAATTGCTGTTGCTTTAAACTTGACTGAACGTCAGGTAATTATACACTAAAGTCATTATCTATTGTTCAATGAAGTTTGTTCTCAATTTCGCTTTTGAGTTTAATTGAGAAGATATTGGTTTTAGGTAAAAGTTTGGTTTCAAAACAGAAGAATGAAATGGAAACGTACCAAAAATATTTCTACAACTCTGGAAGCAAATGTAGGACTTAGAGACGCATCTGATGATTAATTTTATTATTTAGACAATATTCATGAGTTTGTAACTCAGGCATTTTTTTTTAAACCAAAAAAAAAAGTTTATATTTTTAAAGACAAAATAAAAACATATTATTTAGATAAAAATATTTATTTAGTTAATTGCGTTATGTTATAATACAAATAATTTTGTAATAACATGAAGTAAAAAAACAATTACAACTTAAATTTGCATAGCGCCTAATTTTATATTATAATTAATTCCTGACGCTTTTAATTTTTTAGATAATTTCGTTAGGCTATTAAAAGTTTTTTTAAATTCATCTTTACTATTATCAGTTTCTGATAATGAATTTATTCTTCTAATAGCTTTTTTTCTGTTCCATAATTTTGGGTAACTTTTTGATGACCATGATCGACCGCTGAAGTATTTATCATGTTGCTTTTCCGGGGGAATATATTCTGTCTTCACTAGTCGACCGAACATTAAATAATTGTTCATTGATTCAGCTGCTATTTTTGCTACTTCTGAATGTGCAAATTCCACAAACCCGTATCCCTTAGATTTACCAGTTATTTTTGATCTTGATACCCGAACATTTGTTACTACTCCAAATTGTGAGAAATATTCCTTCATCTGTGGTTCGTAAAATCCGTGTGGAATGTGGCCAATATAGATGATGCCTCTTTCGTTTGATCCCTTGGATCCAGAAGATTGAGCAGGTACTTTTTCGGATTTTTTGATTCCTTTAATTTTAATAATATTTGCTTCTTTTTTTGGTTTTATGAGTGGTTTTACTAGACCTTGGCTGTCTTCATCATTCTAATAAACACAAGAATATTTTCTTTATATTAAAAAAAGAAATAAAAACTAACATGTGATTCAGAGGTTATGTTATGGCGTGTGTTGCATACCTTTAGAATTTTTTTAACGTTAGAAACCGCTTTCTTTAAAGATGATTCACCAGATTTAGGAACACTTGTTAATTTAAGTGTTTTTGTTTCTCCACGGTCTTTTTTCACTTTCATTTTGATGTATTTTCGCAAAATATTCACCAAAGCGTCTGTTTGTTGTTTAGTATAAAACGATTAATGTTCAACTGCGTCTCAACCGTGAGGAATGCGCTTCGAAGTTTACTTGTACAGAAGTAGGGGGGGCGCTCCTAGTCATTGAATACAGCGCCTCTATAGTCGCAAAAGATAACTAGAAAATGAGAAAACTGTTTATTCGCAAACAAAGTCGGTAAATTAGTCTGAATGATTGTGATGCGTATAGTAATTGGACGTGGGAGCAATTTTTGAATGAATTTTTAGATAAATCAACGATAAAATCATGTAATTGTTAATGTTTACGTTATTATTTAGCTTATTAACTAGTTAGGCTCTGTAATTATAGTAATCTTTAATCAATAAGAATATATTTATCCTCTTTCTATTGTAACTAAAAATTTGCCATTGTAACCTTTTAGGCACTATACGTATTTTATGTTGGAAAAAAATTATTAGACTTCTTCGAAAATAGTATAATTTTTAAAGAAAATCTAAGAATAGATTATGTGTCATTTTAAAGTTTGGAATGTTCATGAATTTGATATTTTCTATTATTTTTATTTTTACGGCATCTAACAAATCCCCAGTGTACACTGCGCAGTTTCATGCGCAAAGCTTGAAAGTAGCTTATCCAAGCTCATACAATTTTGCATAACCTGAGAGTTTGTTTACGAGTGTAGTGTTTGCACTGATTTTACTTGAAGTGTCAAATAATATTTAGTTTAAATTGGACAATGATTATGGCTAATAACGTAATTAGTTCAAAGGTAAATATTTTTAGACTATTTGATCTCTGGATAGTAGTATTTTGATTTCTGTATGACAAATATCTTGTTTTAAGGTAATAATTCTTTTTTTTTCATACTTTCTAAAACTATCGTAATTTTTTTTTCAATTTTCTGTGACAAAAATAATATAACAAAGGTACACTGAAGAACTTTCATTTATTTATCATTAAAATATAACATACAAGTAAGTTTTTTGTCGCATTTTTCATTAAAATAACTCAATGTTTCGCATTCAATTATTTCATATTCATTGCTTTTAGGAAATCTATAAAAGAAATAGTTTAACTCTTCAAGATCGTCTTCAAATTTTAAAACGACTAGGAAATGGAGAAAATGCCACACAACTAGCAGACGAATTTAACGTTGCAAAGTCTACTATATCCAATATTAAAAAAAATAAAAATGATATACTAGAACGAAAAAAAATATTAGAAACATGCGGTGGAAGTTTAGAAAAAAGAAGATTCAGAGGAATTGAAGACAGTGCACTGGAGAAAGCTCTATTTGATTGGGTTTGTCAGCAGAGAAGCAAAGGAGATCCCATAAGTGGTCCTATTCTTCGAAAGAAGGCACTATATTTCAACAAGATTCAAGGGGGTTCTGACGATTTCAAAGCAAGTGCTGGTTGGTTGTCTCTATTTAAAAAAAGACATGGAATTGGGTGTCAGTTTGTCCAAAGAAAGAGGTAGATGAATCACGTAGATTGAAAGTGATAAATCTATTGAATGTTTCATGCTTTTATTTTCAAAAGGAACATTCATGAAGAATTATTTTTACAAGTAACAATTTTTTCAAGGAACAGGTAAAGAATTAGAATATTCAGAAAATAATTTTTATATATATACCTATTATTAACAAACGTCTTATTATTCGAGCTTATAAAGCAAGATATTTACAGACACAAAATCAACATTGTAAATAATATGCTAAAAATGTTGACTGCAATTACTTCATGAAAATTGTTACTTGAAATTATCAAGTTTGTTGTAGCCAAGTCATCTTATTGAGTATTCTCTGTTAGTTGGAAACATTCATTATAGGAATATTTCACTGAATCGTTATCTTCGTTAAGTACATATGCAAAGTAGAAGTAAATTAACTTAGAAGAGTATTCTTTTATCAATAAATAGAAATGGAAATTTCATAATTTATAGTATAAAAATTTTTTAATGTAAAGCTGTAATTTATAGCTTTGTAAAAATTGTAAGCTGCAAATCAACTCAATTATAATTCATAAATAATGTGTATACAGATTACAAATGATGTACATGCAGATTCATGAAAGTCTTTTTTAATAATAAAAATTCTTTGCTAATAAATTACAATACTTTATTACTAATATTTCACTATTGATTTTATTTTACTTTTGTTGAACTTTTTATCTTGATTTTCAATAACCTTCACATTCATTGTTCTGAAAAAATATTATTTTCACTTTCAGAGCTGTCAAAATGTCAGGAATAGTGCAGTATGTTGTAGTCAGAGGCGACTTGATGAAATCAATGGGATGGCCTGTTGGAGCAGTGATAGCTCAAGCTTGTCATGCATGTACAGCAGTTACACATCTTTTTTATGACGATCAGTATACAAAAGCGTACCTAGAAGACCTGGATAATATGCACAAAGTGGTTTTAGAGGTAACGCAGTTTTTTTTTATTAAAAATTATTCATATACAATGTATATTTTATCTTATCTTTATTATTATCATCATCAACATTATTATGTTACTTATTTTCTTTGTGTCTATTTTCTTTTATACATAATGTAACATAGAATATAATATAAAGGAAAATAGATGGTATAAGCTGAAAATATGATTTGTATAGGCGCCGGACGAGAAAAGCTTAAACGATTTGCACACAAAGCTGGCGGAAGAGAAAGTACATCATAAGCTTTGGATCGAACAACCAGAAAATATTCCAACATGTTTAGTAGCTAAACCATATCCAAAAGACGTCGTACAAAAATATTTTAAAAAATTCAAACTTTTTAAAAATTAATAGTTGATGAGTAAGTGAAGTAAATGGTGTGATATTATTATTGAAAGGAGCATTTATTATTTATCCTCATAAAGAATCACTAATAAATTTTTTATTAAACATCAACATGTGTACATATTAATCGATATATTATAATTATAATTTTAATAACATATAGAAATATATAATAATCATATTTTTGTATGGTATAAAAATAATATACTAAGAAGATTATTTGTTATAAATTAATTATTCATTAATGATTGTTTTCTGTCCAATAATTTTTTTGTTGTGATTTTATTTATTAATTAGAGCAATATTCTATTGGTTTATTTTATTATAATTAACATACTATATTTATTTTTGTGTTTTTTTTCCACAGATTATTTTATACACACACACATGGACTCACGATATACACGTACACACTTGGTTGCTTGGTTACACTGTAAGTACATTTATTTACAACACTTACGGCCAAGACCTGGAATTCACTGGGTATATAATTATTGACTCGTTTGTCGAACTCGTCGAAATGCAGGCCCTCCCACGTGGTTTATCCTTGGGGGATTGGCAAGTAGAGATGAGCGTAGAAATAAATTGGTCGTTTTCAATTGCTTCCTGATGAAGTTTTAGTGTCTTTCTCTTTTATGAATCTTCTGTTGCTGCTTCTGTTGCTCTCCTTCCTCCAGTAACCATTCACGTAATATTCTCGACTGCAAAAACACAATACGCAATAAAAATCTACTAAACATTAAAGAGGTCTTCTGGCTTGAAAGTTTTAAAGGGTAAACTTTTTTATTTTCATAGAAAATATGAAAGTATTAACTGTTACGGGTTTTTAATGTGTTATTTATGAATAATTGTTTGTTGATTTGATTAAAAATTCCTTTTAAATCTATTCAAGCCAAAATTGCTCATAAAATTATATTCAAAAGCGACGAAACTAATGAAATTTTTTTGCGTTAATACATCATTCATTTTTTTCAGCTAACAGTATTTCATAATATTGTGTTCGATATTATATTGAATACATAAATACAACACGAATAAAATGATTTTGCAATGCAACCAATGGATGTGAAAATTCCAATTTCATGCGTCCGCCCCATGCAAGTTAAGACCCGAAATTCACCCTATCAAACGGTATTACATTGTTACGGAGGGATCCAAAATTACCGGATGGGTGAGTTAGTTTGGTAGTGCAGATGAGTTCAACAGTAGCAGCATCAGTAGAACTAGATATCGATGAGTGTAGGTATGCTTCGGCGTTGGTAGTTGTGATGATATGATAGCGGAGATTGTCGATTGTGTAGTAGGAGGGTTGCGATTTCGACGTAAAAAGAGAAAACGGGCATTATTTCTCAGCGAGATTGCCATTAGGGTCTGCGTATTCCTCGTCGTACTCATCCTCCTCTGTATTCCGGTTATCGTAGTCTGTTTCTGCTGGTTCAGGTTCTTCATGGGTTGAGCTTGGTGTACTCACGACGTCCTGCTAAAGACACACTCAATATTTGCACAACAAAGCACCAAAAATCCCATTTTTTGTTAAAATTATTATTGCAAAAGCCCAAACTGATGTTATTTTTAAATAATTTCATCATTAAAATTTTTAGACTTTTAGAATAATTGAAAGTGAACGTTTTAAAATACTAGAAATATTTATTATTTGATTAAAAAGACTTTTTTGTTTTTAGAATAAATACTAATTATCTATTATCATTTCAATCCAAATTTTTCTCATTCAAATTTCTATTAAATATTAATCTACTTATATTTTTTATCCGTACATTTTATCTCAAATTGAATGAACTCCCATTATAAATTTTTCTTTACTTCATACATATTAAAATGGACTATTTATAGATAACTAAAATGTTGGATAATAAGTATTAAAAATTATTTTTAAACATTATGTTACTAGAGAAATTAGTTAGAATTAGTAATTTTGCCCACTGTTACGAAAAAGAAATGACAAAATTGAATGAAATCGAAGTAAATCGAAAAAATACCTGAGGTCCTCTCCAACCACATCCAGCAAGTGGTAGACCATCATTTCCAAGAGGACAAGGAGCATCTAGTCCAGGAACGCCTTGTTCACCTTTATTTCCTTTGTCACCTCTTTTACCTTTTTTACCTGGTTCGCCCTGGAATTAGTATTATTGTCAGTGGAATGATTGTGGTCTTGCACAATAAAGCTTGGTTTATTTTATTTGGTACGCGCGTGCAATTAGGCCAAGCAATTACATATTAGCTGAAAAATTTCTATGCGCTCTGAATTTACGTAATTGTGGGGGGAGCTGATGTGCAGAGTGCTCTCGTCTTGAGTATGTAGTTTAATGAATTGACAGATATTATTATGAGAGATGACAATATAATGTATATATAAAAAAGGAGTGTTGAAAATTTTTTTGCTAAAAAAAAAAAAAATTTAGTTGGAGGGTTAAAAAAAAGCTTTTTACGTAATTCGCATGCAGAGGTCCAGTGCAAAGGGATGCGTAGCGATTCCCTTGGCAAAAGTCCATACTGCAGGGGAGTTGAGAGCTTGGTATAAGGGCTACGACCCTCCATTGTCTAGCGAATATGGTGGTGGCAGCGACCTAGCATCGCGTTTCTGGATTCGACAACCGACAGATATAGATAGGTATTTATCTTGCTCTCTCGTTAGTACTTTAGGTATATATGTATATGCATATACATATATACCACACAAATAGTACAGATAAAGTAGTATAGATATTACGTCTATATATTCGCAGACACAAGAGATCATCGAGCGTTTTCATACCCGTTAAAGCCGACAGCTTTACTCGACGCACTTAATAATGGGACATAACTCGTGTTTAGGATACTCACGGTTGCGCCGGGGGCACCTTTGTCGCCTTTGGAACCCTGTAATACGGTCACATTGCAGGAGTGATTAATCGCCAAGGAAGTGTGAAATTGTTGGGAGGAAGAGCCGGATTTCCGGCAGGCCCGGAGGGCATGCAGAGCCATTGATAATAGGAGTGACTGAGACAGAAACATGCTTGGAGCTTGGACTAGGGTGTGAGTTGGGATAAATGGAGAAGTAAGATGGGCTTTCGTGAATTAAGGGTAAGCTGGAGTTAGTTTGACTTCTCTCCAGCAGTGATCATAGGAGAGTGAAAGTTTGATTGCGGTAATGGTGCGACAGGTGAGCGGATGGGCTGTTGACAAGGTCGGAAGCTATACCTGAGCACCAGGAATCCCATCAGTACCCTGAAGACAGATGTGAAATGTAATTAACTAAGCTGAATGTGTTGTACACCAAGTTAATTTGTCTGGTTAGTTTATTCAACTTATCAAACTGTTTTTCTGTTTATTATGCTACGAACTAAACTTACGGGCAGACCTGAATCCCCACGTTCTCCCTTGATTCCCGGTTCACCTTGGGCACCCTGTAATTTAGTCATCAGTATTAATTCTTCTTTTTATCAAGAGAAAAAATAATTTCCAAAAAGATGATTTCTTTTTCGCCATAATAATCAGTTAATAATGACTCATTAAAGACAGAAAATTTTTATTTACCATCAATTATCTGAGTTAATTGATAAAGTTATTATGTCTTTTTGAAAATTAATTTTTCTCTTGAGACCTTCTGTAATATTCGTCAAGATACATTATTTTTTCTTACCTTCATACCATCTAATCCTGGTGGTCCCTGAAAGGGAGAGTAAACCATGTCAACCAAAAGAATGTATTCAAATAATGACAAATGTGAGGAATTTGATTTCTGACGTTAATAACCGACGAGCGCACACTATGCACCGCTACCTCACACTGGATGCTTATACTGATCATCAATTACTATGTTTTTACTCTGTGTAGTTTTTAAATAATAGAAATCATCATCATCATCAACAACAGCATCAACGCCACCATTATTACATGATGTCATATTGTGCTATTTTCATAGATACTTATCAGCACAGGCTGTAAAACAGAGTACTTCTGACCAGAGCATGTGTTTCGATGAGTGTTTTTTGCAAAAAATTATGAAGGAGCATAAAAAGATGGACAAGGCAGTGAACTAGCACGAATGCTTTCTTGCAGCAATATAGATATTTAGAACGAGCAATCGTCTTGGTCGTAGCAAGAAATAAACGTCGTTGAGACATTTATTTGCATATTCGTATCGCTGTTAATTTGAACTAGGAAATAATCAAAGATTATATTTAGAGGGTTTATTTTATAGAAGCAAATAAAGCAACAGGCACATGCACATTCTTATTTATTAATCAGGACATTATGAAACAAATTTGTTAGTAATTTGTGGATTTTTTTTTTCGTTTGTTGCAATGTTATCATCATCGTCATCATCGCCTTTTTTATCAATCACGAAATCGTTTCGATTAACAAATACAAGATTACACTTAAGATTAATGATTAAGAGAGATTGATAAACTCTCTAATTTTATCTTAAATATTAGTAATCTAATTGTTTCAACGTAAAATTATAAATAAGATAAATTATGACGATTACATTTAGAATTGGAATTTTGTTTGTATGTTACAAATTATGTGAACGAATATTTGTGTGCGTGTTTGTGTTTATTATAAATAAAAAAAAATCTTCTTAATTTTAAAACTACTATTAAGTACTAATCATTATTAAGTATTAATATTTTTTTTTATATATAAAAGTACAACTATAACATAATTAATTAATTACCAATCGCACTGATACAGATATTAATTATATATAAATAACCTCGAGAGTACGCCAGCGTAAATCTTCATCATTTCGTACGTATTAATAATTAATTACATAAACTGACGAAAAAATAAACAAAAAAATATCTCGAGGCTTTTAATTATTGGCACACATGAGCCACACCCACAACGAACTTCCTTCAATTACCCAGCAAATCTTTCTTCCTTTTTTTTCTTTCTCTCTTTCTCTCTCTCTCTCTCTCTCGCGCGCTCTGTCACGTTCTTTATTAAGGTTTGCACACACATCCTTTTCATTTTACATACATAACGTCATTTTTATCCTTATTTCTATATTAAATTAAATAGTTAGCAATTATTACATTTTTTTTTAAATGTCCCATGATAAGAGAAGCGTAGGCCTTTTGACAGCGGTTATACAATCAATGTATTAATGTCCTCCTTTCCATTATATATTTTTTTAAATATTTATCTTTTTTTTTTTTTTTTAAGTAACTAGAATTCGATTTAATTGTCGGAACTTTATTGATTTAATTTCTAGACATTTTAAATTGTAAGTAATCCGCTTTTAAGTATTCTTCTTTTTTTATTTGTATTTTTAAGTACTTACATAAGAAAGTAAATAGCCCATTGTAATCTAAGGAATAGTTTCATAATATATTTTATGTACAAATAGTCAGTGGGCTAAATTACTTGTGAAATACTTGGAATAAAAATAACATTTTTAAGAAACAAAAAAATATTTTGATAAAGTTGTTGAGTATCGATAAAGTTCCGATGATATTTTGAACATTTGCTCCATCAAAAATTATGCTATAAGGACGAAAGAGGAGAACAGGTGTATATATTTATAATATATATGTATAGGATTATAAATGTAGAGGATATACAGATATAGATAAAGACGAAGAGTGCTTTGAATAAATTTTGTTAGCAATTTTTATCTAGCCTAAATCAATTAATTCCCATTCATCAAATTAAGTAGCCAGTTTGTCTTTGTCAATAAATTATCTTTTCTTTACATTTCTTTTGCGTAAGGACATTTTTGTTTTCCCCCCTTCTAAAATCATTTTGACAGTTTGATAACAGTCTGCACGGGGATTCTCAGTACTTGAGTACACATTACTACTTTGAATCCACATATTAATACTGCTCTTATTGAGTGACAAAATATATATAAATATATATTTACTGTATATGCATCGACGCGTTCTCAATAGGTTGCGGATTTTTTTCTTCTCTGTTATTATTCATGTTAAAATTCAGTCAAACTTCTTTAATTTCAGTCTTTCTTTACTTTTAAATAGCACATAAATATTATTATATCTTTCTTGATATGAAAAACAAACTGATAGTATTTTTTTAAATAAAAAAAATCTTTACCAGCGTCGAATATTTGTAATTAAAAAAGCTTGACTGTTGATTACCTAAAGAGGCGAATGCGTCATCATAATTATCGCAATCAATTCACAGTGGAGTCTCCATAATTTCTTTTGCTCTGTCGTTTAAATTTAAGAATAAAAAAGAAGAAAATAAGAGAGATAATTTTGATTAGAGAATCTGACAGAACTGTGCCGAATGAATAAAAAAGTGAAGGAAAAGTTTAATTGAACTGATAGAGAGGAGAAGTTTAAATGAGTTATGATAAAAATTATAGAGACTTTTCTGTATGAGATTGATGATATTTTTTAAATATGAAAAATCCGCTTGATAGATGTGTATTATTTGTGCAACAATTTCGAGCACAGTTAGATAGGTTTATTGTCGATTTATTCTGTTGGTAGAAGTAGAAGAAGTAGTAGTTGTAGCAGACCTATCCCATGTTAGTTGTTAGTCGGATCACCACGTGCCAACCTGTTGTCAAGGCGCCATTAATATTGAGAATTATTCAATAATTATTTCCTCAAATCCGGATGATGTTATACTTTCAAGTTAATGTGATCAATAATGAAAGCACAAGAATGAGGATTTGTTATATAAGAAAATGAATTCAATAACTTATTTAAATTATTCCTGAGCTTTCATGGTAATAAATAATATTCCCATGAATTGAGAAATACCAACGACACAGTCAACTGATAGATTCTCGAAAAAGAAACTTGTACTCGAATATAAATTGAATTGGATAAATAATCCTACATAGGTTTACGTAAATTTAGTTATCTCTAATAAATATTTTGATAAACAAATTGGTAGATCTCTGAGTTGAGTAAGCGAGCGAGCGAGATACAATATTAGGGCGAGTTTCGACAATTGACTGATGAATGCTAGTATTGGATGACGTTAGGACCGCGAGGCCCGCTTTCTTACCATCGCCCCTGGTTTACCAGCATCTCCTGGTCGACCAGATTCACCTCTCAGTCCCATAGGTCCCTAGAAGTTGAGGATTTTTTATGCAAATTTTCTACAAAGTCCAACATCATCAACTGAACTTTTTATTTTAATTTTTATAACTTTTTTTTTCCATAAATATCTCTTTTAATTTTACAAATCTCATGTAGGATTCAAAGAGCTTAAAAAATTCAAAATTGTATTAAAAATTTATGTGAAATAATATCACTACTATCCATTATCGAAAATCTTTTTCTCAGAAAATCATATTCCTTTTCCATTTTTTTTTGTTGTTGTATTTTTAATAAACATATGGTTTTCTTTGACTTTAATCCAAGTTGAAGAATTTGATTTCATACTTACGGGTAGTCCCATCGGACCAGGATCTCCCTTAGCGCCTTTCTCGCCCTAAAACATTCAAGTCAAGCCATTAGTGATTCGTTTTGATGCTCTTTGAGCCCTTAACCTGGCGCTGTATTCTCAAGAGTCTATTATTTATTCAAATAAAATTGTATTTTTAAACATCTGTCAGGCCAAGTTAGAGCTACAGAATAAAATACTTAAATAATGGTAAGCAAAGTTCTACTGACAGGCTCGCCTTTAGCACCATCATGTCCTCTATCTCCTTTTATGCCTGGAGGGCCTTGAAGTCCTGGAGCACCAGCGGGTCCAGGTGGTCCGGGAGGTCCCATTATCTAAGAGTGAACAATGAAAGGATTATATTTCAACTATCAGCTCGACACGAGCTACAAGTTTCAATCGATACTAGCTAATCGAATCTCTGATAGATGTTGATAATACTCACCACTTCACCGGCGTTAACTTCGAATGTTCCATCGCCCTAAAATCACACAGAGAATCCATTTAGTTGATGTAAAATTAGCCAATCACTAAATGTAACATTCTATGATGCATTTAAATTAATAGAATAGATTCAAAGTCATGTGGAAAATTTACCTGTCTTCTTCTTAATTTTTTGTACTTCTGCATTGTTCATTTTCCCATTATGAAACAAAGAGAAAATTTTTTTTAATTTAAGTTCATCTCGTTTAAAATAAACGATACAATTGAGAGAGTGAATCAATTATTTTTTTAGTGAGGAGAAATTTTTTATTTATAGATACTGGATTAAAAAGAATTGTACTAATTTAAAATAATCTGTATTAATTGAAAAGAAGTACATTGATAAAATAAAAAAATTGTATAACTTTCACGTTATTAAGTTCATCAAAAGTTTTATTTCAAGCTTGAGCTTAAAAATGATCAGTTGCCATGAAAATTTCATTCAATTTGTTCATCAGTAAGATTCTAATTTATAATTATAAATAAAATTTGAAATTAATAATTATTTAAATAATTCTATGGAAATCTGAAAATTTTCAATGATTCAATTAGCATGAAATGATTATAATTCTCTCTCTCAATTGGAGTAATTACTTAATAACTAACCGATTCTCCTTTTTCTCCCTTTTCGCCTTTAAGACCAGGAGCACCCTAAAAACGAGAATATTTTGATATAATACTGCTGAACGAAATTGTAGCAGACAATAATCTGAAAACAAGTCTACATATATATACATAAAATGTCAATACTTACTGGAGGGCCGGGCAAACCAGGAGGTCCCATAAGACCTGGTGGTCCAATATCTCCATACTCTCCTTTTTCTCCTTTTGGTCCAGCCGATCCCTAGTAGCATAAATATGCAAAAGAAACAATAAGACTATCCCATTTACATTTATAACGACTGAAATGCGCAACGAAAGGGATTTTAACTCACTGGTAATCCAGGTGGGCCTTGTATTCCAGCCTCTCCATTGATTCCATCCAAACCTGGTGATCCTGCGACTCCGGGTTCTCCCTTAGGTCCTGAAAATGAAGGGGAAATGCAGTAGGTCAGTATACAAGTGTCTCATGGGGGTTGTTTCTATGATAGAAATCGTGAGGGCGTGAAAATGGCCCATCGGGAATATACTCCTTCTGCTTTTCTTTGAGCTCCTCTCTCTGATAAAACTATAAAGAGATATATACAAAACATTGTTAAGGGGGAAACTTGGTTTATGTGAATTACTTGAAAAAATATCTCTGAATGTTATTTTTAGCCCATAATAATTTCCATTGTTAATTTTGTTCTCTGAATAATCAGTTATTGTTCGCGGCTCTGCATTACCTTGCATTCCTTGTTCGCCTTTTTCACCTGGTGGACCAATCATCGCATTGGGACAACGGCATTCTCCATGCAGAGCCTACAAATGATACTGCAAGGTGAGATCCAACTCGGTCCTCCGTTATTGCTTACTCTGGTGTCTCTTAAGATTTTTTCTTTTTTTCTCTTTTGTTTTAATATTGGTTTTTCTTGTTAGCATTGGTAAAAGGGTTAGTAGCGAAATAGAGGAAACAAGGGATGAATGATGTGTTTGGAGAAGGGATAAATGAAGGTAAAATAGTGAAACACACAGAGCGCTTATAGGAGGGAAGATCTACGGTAATACAGAGCAAAAGATAATTAATACTGATACATAACTACGTGTTTAGATTGAGGGTAGAAATACTTACATTGAAGAATTGGAGACCCAGGCTTTTGCCTCGTAATGCCACAGTTGGTAGGACATATTAGTGATTAGTGGATTCAACTGACACACAGGGAACTAGTGGAAGTTACTTGCTACATAAACACACATTAGTTGTAAGCTAACTATCCTACTAAATTTATCACTCTGTCGATTTCACAAAGGGTACATATTCCATATAGTAGAATTAATAAGCCACTGACTGAGAAAACATTAATGCTACATCGCAATTTTACTAGTCACTGTGACGCAGATAAAACAAATATCTACTTTGTTACATGACTAATCCCTTGTGATAAAAATATTTTTTTCATCTTTTACATCAAAATTTAGTTTTAATATTTTATTTTATTATTTATCCATTTTATTGTTAACTAGTTGCGGTTATTAATTGTTGTAAAAAATATTTTTTAAAAGGGATATGTGTGTTTAATAAACAAAATTAAATTGTTATTAAGGTACTTACGTGTTAAAATATTAAAAACGTTAATTTACATCCTTCGATCGCCGCATTAATTTCCTTTTACATAATTTATTTTCTTTTAAACAATTAATTCTGCCCTGAGTTATTAAGTCTATCTAAATTAAACAATTATTAATTATAAATAAAAAAAAAATAATATTATGTTAAAAATATCGCTGCCACCAAAATATAATCGAAATGATTTTGTGATATCAAATGAAAGAAAGAAAAGCGATGATTTTGACGATAAATAAATCTATAAATTAATTAAAAAAATAATAGACCAAGACGATAATTAAATGTTGAAGAAAAGCATAATGAATTAATATTAAAAATAAAAAGCCATGCTGATATTTTGACATAACAACTCCAATCATACGTCAAAGCGGCGATCGATTTTCAATTCTGAAGCATTTCACGGCTTTGTATAGAAATAGCTACACCCTTGCAAGGGTGACTCTCCGTTACGTGTAAATGCATGCATTGTCATGTGACGCGCGTCGGTCTTATGGAAGTGATATTAAAGACACGCCTGGGCATTCCTCGTGCCAGAGTATTTGACATGCAACAGACACATGCATTCGACATGGTCAAGGCAGCTTGAGGATTGTACAGGGAATTTTCTGAAGGAAGATGACCCCAGATTCATTTCTCGGGTAAGTTATAAATTGAAAGAAATTCTTTTCAGTCAATTTAATAAACGCTAAGTGACGTAAACTCTCTCGAGAGGTGGAGTGTGGATGTCATCCAGGAGTACTTATAACAGGAGTATATGCAAAAGTCTAGGGATTACAGGGGTGCTTTCCACATCAACGATGATCTCTAGACGACAGAGGGATTTTCTGTAAAGTAGACAAGCCCTCTGGCATCTGTTAACCAAGGTCGTCATGGAAGACACTGACCAAAAGGGGGATGTATCTGTAGCTCAAACATGATCCAGTGATCTCGATGGTCGGAGGACCTCGCTGAAGCTTACCTTTTTGCCTTGCTTGCCCCGAGGACCCTTTTCTCCGGGTGGACCGGGTGGTCCAATGGGACCCAAGTCTCCCTTTTCGCCTGGGGGTCCTGTAGTTTGGATTTATGTCAGCATATATATTAGTTATCGTCTCACTCACATTTTCTTATCGAAGCAGAGGAGACAGAATGATGGAAAAGTCGAGTAATAGAGACGGATTTGCATAGGATTTATATCCTGGCTTTTTGTCTTGGGGATCATTTGAAATATTTTTCATGCTTCTGTGCTTTATCTGCTCTTTTATCATCCGATCTTCTCCATTATTCGCGACTCGCAATTATTATTAGCGTTAGTCGGATTCCCGCACAAAAGGTTGGGGACAAAGGACGCTAAGCCGAATCGATAGACAGTAGGAAGGAGAAAATGGGGAAAGGGGGGAGACTGAAAAGACATTTTTCTTCGTCGTTGTGGTGAAATATCGACATCGATCGGTGTGCTGCGGAGAAAAGTATACGCAAAGGAAGGAAAAAAAAAGTTTAAGAAAAAAGGGTATAAAGTGAAAGGGAAAAGAAGAAGACTGTAGTCCGTCGGGCGCAATCTAAAAGTTACAATTGAACAAAGTTCTAATTGGCGAGAATACGTGAGCGGAGACGAAAGCCGCGATAATCGGCATGGAGCCTTTACCAAGCTAAAAGACTAAGTTTTACTTTGAAAGAAAAAAAATTTTAGATAGTTGTCGAGGACGCGTGGTCCCTTGATATGTGTGTCGTTAGAAATTAAGGAGTACGCCACTTAGACATCAATAAAATGAAACTTTTACATTTTTTTAAAGCACTATTAAAAAACTTTTATTACTCTGTTATAGTGTACTATGGATAAATTCACTATAAACTACTTCACAGTTTTCAAATGACACTTTTTTTTATGCTTTTACAGTTCTATGAAAAATTCAGAATATTTTTCCAATTATTTTTTTCCTCATGAAAGAATCATTTATCTTGTTTGTCAAACATTATACAGCACATAAAAATATATACTGATGTTCTAGCAAATTAAAATTTTTTAGAGCGCAAATTCTCTTGAATCATTCTTCAAGTTGATCTTTTTAAGAAACCTTGTAAACTAGTATAATTTAATTTTTATCAATCAATAAACGTTGATAATAAAATATAATTAAAATGGGAGCTAAACACAGAGTACATGATGAACGACTCAAATAAAAGATAATATAACGTAAAAAGATGATTGAGAAAGTTGTCACAGTGGCAATCCCCTTAGGGAAATTGAAGATGTCTGTCATCTCTCTATATATATTTATACACATAGCTACATTGATTTAACTATGTGTATTTAGCAAATGAGCCAGACATCATCAAACTGTAGAGTGTCATTTAGATAAAGTATTGACGTATTTACTTACCAGGCGGTCCCGGAGGACCTGGAGGTCCTTCGAAGGCTCCAGCAGGGATCTGCTTTCCGTCCAATGATGTTGTCAAGCCACGGTCACCCTTGTCGCCCTTGTCACCCTATTGACAAGACAATAATATACTCGTGAGCAAGTTTTTCGTCGTGTTAGTACGTGAAAGTGCTCGAGCATGAAAACACATTTGACTCTGATTTGAGATTGATTGTCGGCAGCCACAAGGGACCTGGAACCACGCCCAAAACCTAGTGTGTTACCCCTCAAGCGCATTTGGTGAGAGCGAAATGTGTTGTAATGTTAAGAGCAAGCGACGGCACACAACAATCTAGTTTCGTTAGTCGAGTTAGTCAAGTTTATATCCCCCGCGCACATAAGCGCACCAACACCTTTGGATAATATATCATGGAACACCACTTCGCAAAAGAACAAGCACTCACACGTCTTCCTGGAAAGCCACGGGTTCCATTGCGTCCTGGCATACCCTAAGAAAGAAGAGAGAAAAAAATGGAGATAAGACTGAGGAACTTGGAATCTTTGGAGTAACTCGAAACGTTTACTCTGCAAAAGATAGCAAAGTCTCACTGGAATCCCTGGATGTCCTGGTAATCCCGGCAATCCTGGAGGTCCGTAGTCACCAGATTTACCCTGTGCAATCACCCAGTCTATATTATGACAATGAATCGATGCTTTTCCCCCTCAAACTTTTTCATCTGAACACCAGACTTTTTAAAATATGACCATTTTAGTTAGTATTTGATATGTTCCTATCTTCCTTTCTTTATTTACATATATTAAAAATGTTGAGTTTATATAAGATGAAATAATAATGATACAAATATTTTTTAGTTGCTTTTGGTTAAGAAAAAATAATTTCAATCACCGAATTAAAGCCTGGACCTTTACCTAGGCGTGAGAATTCCTTTCACACTCGGTTTATAAATGACAATGCCTCACAACAAAATTTGTTTCACAATACCCAAGTTATTTTCTTGTATATCAGATTGTGAACTATACATCCCATTAATATTCTGAAGAGTATTAAAAACAGAAAAAAAACAATTTTTTACTCAATCAAAAAATTTTGAAAATGCTCCAAAACCCTTGCCAGACATATTTTACACTTAAATAATTTATTATAATTAAAAAAAACATATTTCTGAAGCAATAAAGGAATTACCTTGGGTCCTACAAGTCCTTGAGGTCCAATAGGCCCAAGTGGACCTGGGGGACCAGGTGGACCACGTTCTCCAGGAGCTCCTGTCTGTCCTGGAATTCCTTGTCTACCATCTTGACCCGCAATACCTTCAGATCCTTGTGGTCCGGGTGGTCCAGGTGGGCCTGGCTCACCTGGTTCTCCCTACATTCAATAAAAAAAATAAATCTCACATTCAGATGCGAATCTCTGACGTAGATCCACTGAGATAGAGATAAATCACACTCTCTTTTTCTTGGATCAAGAATACATTCCATTGTGTATTGTATTACAAAGCTCTAGACGACCAGATTGGTCGTCTGATGATCGATAATCTATAGCTAGTCTTGCAGAAAATAAATTGATGTCGAATTATGTACATTCTAGTGATGCAGTGAATATTAAATGCATTTATCATAATAATGTATCGCGTGCAAGTGGATAGAAGAATAAATACTTTCATGCACGCTCAAGCATTAGTAAGAGACCTTGCCTATGATTACTGTAAAAATAACCCTCTTGTAAGTTTATAGATAGATTATAGACAAACTATATTTACTGAAGGGTGATTCACCTATGAATTAGGGTAAACTGTATCCACTCATCTTGTAATATTTAACCATTTTATTTCTCTTTTATCTACGTTGTAATTTTATGGTTATTTGTAATCATTTCGATGCACACTTTTATTAAATATTCATCATGTTTTCATCATTACGTTATTTACTAATATTTGAGATATTCAACAATATTGTTAATGCAATATTGTATAAATTTATTAATATTTTATGAAGTAAACATATTTGTACTGCATCAAGTAAGGTATTTGAAAAATGTAATTAAATAGAATATAAAAATCCAACAGATTATTAAAACATTTTGTAAACTTGTGGAAATTAGTTGAGTTATTTAAATGAATCAATTAATTTGCTGTTCTAGATTTTTTCAATATTTCTAATGCATGCATTAAATTTTTTTTATCTGCTCTTAAACTGATTGCTTAGTATTAGCATAGCATATTAATCAAAGCTGATCGATACTTTTTGCAATTCAAAAAATAAATCCTTCCCTGAAGACATATTAATTACGAAAGCAGCATAGCTTATCCTACATGAGGATGTTTCAGATGGGTAAACATTCAAGTACATGCAGCAATCGATTAGTGAGATATAACTTGAAGGAAGGGAATGGTAGCCAAGCGAATAATTATTGCACACTTCAAATAACCGGATTTCGTCTTGTTTCAGAGGGTTTGATGTTGTCTGGCTTTAGAAGTTAGTTAAAAGCAAAAGAAGAGAAAAGAGTCCTGTCACGTTCAAGAAGTGTCCTAGTTGTAGTTGAAGAACTTACTTTCAACTGGATGATCGACTGCGCTGAGATATTAACTCCACGTTCTTGAAGGCCCTAAAAGTAAGGTAGGAAACTACTAAAACAACCAAATCTCTACTATAACTTAAAACTTAAAAAAACAACTTAAACGTTAGGATCAAGTCTGGATTTTTGGTACCGTCTTCTCTTGCATGTTCTTTTTCATGTCAGTTCCATTTATGTCACAACAAAATAAGGCACATGCCGACATATAAAATTCTAAACGATTTCATAGAGAAATCAATACCGCAAGCACCGCAAATAAATCCTGAAATAGCTACGGGATTTATAAATAAATATCTACAGAGAACGACGAATATATCAAAAGTTCAACTAAAACATAGAGCTAAGACAAAAATAAATACGAAGTGGGCCATTTTTCTAATTACGATTACCTTTAGTGCGACGATTTCCGCGTAGCCGAGTGTCCCACCGCGAAGCGTTGTCACCGACCTCTTTAACCCCAATCCCTGTGCATTGACCCGTAGGGGCGAAGAGATTCATTTTATTCGTCATGTTTTAATATTTTACATTGTCAAATATGTTGCGTGTTTATTTTTTGTGAAGCATAGTAACCTTCGTCAAGTATGTCGATGAAAATAAAATAACTATGGAATTTTCAAAATGACATACATTGAGCTTTAATATTAATGAAACCACTCATGTTGAAATATATCAAATGATGAACTTCTAATGATGAATTTCCATTTAATAAAACTATGTTACCATTAAAAAAAATATTTTTTTTTTTTTCGTTTTGCTGAAGATGAAAAAGAAGATAATAGTAGAATTTAAAAAGTTGTTTAGTATACGATGTTGAATAAGCTTTTTGAAAATCCTAAAACGAAACTCACGTCGAGAGTAACCTGTACTAAAAGCGTTAATATTTATTTGAAAAATAAAACCGCAAAGCTGACTTGAAATGAATACAAAATGCAGTAAAAATGTCAGGAAAAACCATGTCAACGTTTAAAAAGTGTAAAAATACTTATTCCAGTAAACAAACTTTTTTCCCTCAGTTTTTAAAATTTTATGGCAGTAAAAAATATATTTGAAAATGATTCCCTTTGATGCATGGTTAAATCATTTCTACATGAATGGTTTATTGAAAAAAAAAAAAAAAAATTATTCAGAAAATTATTTCATCAAAACCAATCAATAAAAATTTCCCTTTTGAATTGGATAGCTTTTAAGATGATAATAATTCATGATTAATCCATAATTTCTCTTTTAAAGACTTATTACATATTTCAATGTGTAATATAAAATGATAGAGATGAGCGATATTAATGATTAGTCAATGATTCTTGTATTCTGTTGAACCGTTTAGTAGTTTAGTTGTACTGATGTCTGTATATCCTTCATGAATTTCATGGTCATGAATACGTGACTTGAAAGATATTTTGATAAAAGAGGATGATGACTTGGCAGTAAAGGTAGAAGGTTACTTTGCTTCTTGTACTTTTTTTTTTTTCTTATTTGATGATATATACAATAATCGGACATGACATGAACACGCAATTGAATAAGAATCGGTGAGCCAGTGTACCGTCTGATACGTTCTTCCGTATAGAAGTATTTTTTTTCTGATAGAGTCCCCATTGTTTATGGTAGCTACCTTTACAGCTGAGAAAACGTCGAAGCCTGGACTTCCAAGTTCTCCCTTTTGTCCCTTGTCACCTGGTCGACCCTGTGATCAGAGAATGTCGATAAATTAATTCAACTTTAGTTTATTAATACAAAAAAAAAAAAAGAGAATAAGATTTAAACATGTAATCCTAGACTAAAATAACTTACCGGATCCCCTTTGGGTCCGTCTAATCCAATAGGGCCCTGAAATTTGACGACCATTAGTAAATATTATTTTAAAATCAGTGTAAACATTCGGCGAAGCAAAAAGAGTAGAGAAAAGAGGAGTTTATTAAAAAAAAATAATGACCTAGAAATTTCAAAGTGAAATCTGTAATGAATTTGAAAACAAAGTTGGTCTATATGTGCTTTAATAAGGTAATAAAAGTAGTTTTATTAAACTAAAAACAGTTGCTACCACATGTTACTATATTCCAATATCGTAACATGTGCTGCTCTTTTCAAAAAGTTTGACACTAACATCAGTTGATGGTTTTTGTTTGGTTCTTGTGAGTTTTCTTTTTAATATCATATCAAAAAGTTATTGGAAAGAATATAAACAACATTTAGACCAACTTGGAATTAATGCATAAGCTTATAAAAAATTCGATAAAGTGAGTTTTAATCCTATGCTTCCAAATATAATTGAAAATAAAACAAAGCTAGTTAGGTGGTGTGAGTAAAAATAATGAATTTCATGGGTTAACTGGTTGATTTAATAAAACAGAAATAAATACTACGATGAAATAACGAATTTAAGGGTATTTTGAGTTAACAAGCAAATTACAAATAAAATTTTGTATTATTTCATTGTGTAATATATCAATTGCAAGCTAGTTTTATTTTTTAAGCTGATTTTGTCATTCAATTTGTTTGTTTGATCTCATTGGTAGTGGAAAAGTTCATTTAAAATCATTTTTGATAAAATATATCAATGAAAAAAGACCATTACAATGATTGCTTTTTCATCATTTGTTATTTTAACGTAAAATCGAGAAAAATTTTTAATCATGTTAGTTTACTTTTTAAAACTATTCATCTAACTTTAAAGTACTCTCATCATGTTCCAATATTAAAACATTTTCAGGGTGTACTTGATAAATAATTGTACTCAACAATTCACCGTAGTGTTTATATTATAAAAAATTCATTCTTTTTCACTTATCATTTTTCAAGAGCTGTTTATTTAAGAATTTTCCAATAACTACTTAAAATCAATAGTTTATTTCATTGATAGTTTTTTCATTATTTTTTAACGAGTACATAAATTTCATTAATTGTACAATTGAACTTGAATCATTATCTACAATAAAATATATTGCACATTTATGTGCACGTGTTTGAATGGAATCACTCTAAAGATAATTGAATAATAAAGTTTTGATTAATAGAAGAAATAATATTATAAATTTAGAGATCAGGAGATCAGCAAACGGAACGCTTATAAGATTAGTTGAAATTTGATTTTCGGTCGACCACGAATCGAACGCGAACGAGGTGACCAATGAATGGGAATGTACGGTAGGGTTTCAACGAAGTTAGTTCACAAACACGAAAGGGTTATTGAGGTAGTCAGAGGCAGAGAAAGACACAAATGGAGTAGGAGGACCAAATTTCACGTTGCGTGATTCGGTCGTTTTGTGCTAGGGTAAATTGCATTAGTGGTTTGTCCACTGCATGCCGACGTCAAAGTCTGGATTTAAACAGCCTTTTTTCCCACTTGATTCTACCGCAAAATGTGTAAGTTTTATGACGACTAGAGCCATTATAATAAATCTTTATTTTATTTATAAAAAAAATTATACAACAGAGAAAAAAAGTTTCTCAAGTCAGTGAGTAGTTTAACTTTAAATTTTAAAAAAGAATTTGCAAAGTTTTTTTTTTTTATAATTTTCTTTTAAAAAGTTTAAGGAATGAAATTACTTTAAAAAATCTTCTCCAGATGAATTATTTATTTAATGTTTTTTTTTGTCAACAATTTTTCTCTTGTCTTCAAAGCCAGAATGGTATTGCAATTATATAAAACTTTTTTATCAGTGCACGAAAAAACACAACTAGTTAGCTATAAAGGGGTCATTTTTTGAATCTTACCATTTCACCAGATTCTCCTTTGTCCCCCTTAGATCCCTGAAATTCCAGGATTTATTGAAGATATTTTCCTGATTAATACACATTTATTTGTTTTTAACTAAACATCTAAATATACGTCTATTTAATGGACATTGACTGTTCAGATAAATGAAACCCCCAAATATTTGGAAGCAGCTGTATTATGACTAATGATGTATACAATAGAAGAAGAAAGAACTTATTAAAAGGGAAACGAAAGTACATAAAGTCAAGTAAAGGCAGAAAGCAAAATGATAAAACAAAAAAACAATATACCGGAAAACCATTCTTGCCCGGAGTCCCTGCAACACCCTAAAAAAAATGGGGATAAAACTAATTAAAAGGTTGGCTGAAAGGAATTAAAAAAAACTTTTTTATCCAATTTTCATGCGAATAAAATTAAAAAAGTAATTTTCCTCCATGCAGTAGTCAGTATTAACACCCCATGCACACTAATTAAATCCTCCAATATGTAATATATGTTTATAGAATTGTGTAGAAAGGCTCGAAACTTCATTTTCTTAATTGTATATCTATGTTGAGCTTTTCAACTCAAACACTAGTCGATTGACACTGAATATTGACTTACCGGTGGTCCGGGTTCCCCAGAGTCTCCTTTTTTGCCTTTTTTCCCTCTTTTGCCGGGTGGTCCTTGTTCACCAGGTGGGCCTAAAACAAAAAGGGGAAAAAATGGTAAGAAATAAAATTTTCGTAGGTATCTGCTAGACGACAGAATACAGTCATGAAGTGTAAGGAGAAAATGCGGAAAATCTGGAGGCCTTTAGAGTCTATTCCCGGTGAATCTCCGCACCCTCAAGCAATCGTAGTCGTCGTCGGGTCCTCTCTAAGAGGCAACGTAAACCTAATTTAAGGCGCAAGAGAGTGAGAAAAGGTTGAAAGACGCGGCCGAAAGAAGGCGAGATAATCGAGCTTTAAAAGCCAAAGCGTTGATCCTAGGGATCCCAACTGAACTTTTCCACTTTCTCTCTTATTCGCTCCCTCGTTTCAATCTTCCTTTGTATTTGTTCTTACGGTGCTTGTCTTCTTTGCTTCTACATTCTCAATTTTTCGATCTCTCTCCCAGGGGAAATCGTCTCGTCGGTTAGGAGCAGCATTTATTGTTTAGTTAAACACAAGAAACTTTTTTTCTGTTTACTGTTGATTATTTGAGTTTGCTTTGTATTAAGATAATAGAGATATAATTCATTAAATAATCGTCAAGAAAGATCGAATAAAATATTAATGGTGTACTAGATATTTCGAGTAATTGCTAGCATATATAATCGACCAAGTTCTTGTTAGTCTTGTATCTAACTTCTCGCATACGTTGTATTTTAGCATAGAAATTGACGTGGAAAGTTTGCTAACGTTTCTCATCCAACGCGTCAATCGTATTTGCGGTTTTTGAGATGAAACCAAGTGGCAACACTTTCATCATGTTGAAAAACATGTTGTTGATTCGCTTGAGCAGAAACAAGAGGGAGAATGTTAAGGAGATTCAGTCACTACGAGTCAGACTATTTTGACAAATACTAAGTTATACTTTTATGAGACAAATTTTCATGAGACTTTTGCAAGTAAAACCTTCTCTATAACTTTATTATGCCGGCTATATTTACTGAGAAAGCTTGTTATCCAAGAAATTATTCAAGTTTAACTGTTACTTTATTTACATATTTTTCAGTATCAAATTTAAGAGTTTAATTGTTTATGATGATACGTTAGAGTTCATGAAATTTTCATGAGATTCATGATTAATGAAAAAATTATTGTGAATGAACAATAGAGTTTGATTTTGTCATTAATGCATGATGAAAGGAAATGATAAATAGAAGAATTTTAAAATGAGTATTTCTATGACCATTTTTTGCAGCAAGTAAAAAATTTATTTGCATCTATAGAATGCTGATGAATGCTTTTTTTGGTGAACAAGGCTCAAGAAGAATCGAGGTTAGTGAAAAATGTTTTTTTTTTTCGTTGAAATATAAAACAATATTTCTTTGTTTCGATTATTCATTATTTGAATAAAATGTTGCAACAATATTTCCGTAAAAATGTATTCTGTTGATATAGGTTAACATTTAAATCTTTTTAACTTCATAAATAGTTGGAATAGGGGAATATTTTAAAAAATAGAGAGAAAATTTTTTGTGTGAATAAATAACGTATAAATGTATAATTTATTCTAATTTATTGCAGAGAATGCAACAGTTCCCTCATTAATTATGAATTTATTTCAACTCTTAATATTTCAAGTCTTAATCGCTATCATGTTGAACTTAATTTGAATTAAAAAGTTAGAAATGTAATATTTTTATCATTCATTAATATTGTAAAATTGATTAAAATTATCATCTCTTTATCGCCATAGTAATATTTTTTTCGTGTCAAAGAGATTACTTCTAGTAAGTAAAATTCGTTTACAAACACAATAAAAAAAGACGAGAAAAGTAATCATACACAGTTATAAAGCAGACAGAGACAAATAACAAAGAGTGGTATAAAATAAAGTCTGTAAGAATAAATAAAAAAAAATCAGTTGATAATTTACGTAAAAGTATACAATTTAAAATTTTACAATTTCAAGTTGGTTGTAGAAGTGCCGGAGGCGTCAGGATAATAAACTCGACGCAAAGGGAAGAGTTTATGGCACACTAAGGGTGGTAAGAGGGTGAACTGAGCAGGGAGACATTCCTTTGGTCGCGTATTCTCGGTAAATTGCGAATATCGTGACTTCCCACCCTTTTCTCTCTATCTCCCACCACTTTTTCCTCACTACCATCCCATCTCTACATTAACGACGCGACTCAAACCTCCACCCCTTACATCTGGGACGCTGGTTAATCGTCGAAACGAGCATGGAATTTCGGGTAGAAGCACGTTCATCCTTCTGGGCATGTAGACGACTACCCCTGCGGCCATCTTGACAATGTCCTTGTTGTTTATTTTCCTTCCTATCTTGTATTACACTTTATTTATGCCCTCTTCAAATGTATACCTAATTTCACTTTCATTAATTAACAAACATTTTTTCCTCATTTCTCTCAATTATCACATTGTCTATATAATTTTACTTTATTTCTAATTTGTTGCCACAAGTCTATAAATCTTTCGATTTACACTCCCCTGGTCATTTTAATTGCATTTAGTGGACTGTATTCGAGATTACAGCAAAAATTATCTCCCTCGCTTTATATTCAAACTCCAACCATTGAGTATTCTCTTTCCCTCGATGTTTTGCAATACTCCACCCTGTAGTCTCTCTCTTCGTTTTTCACCCCATCCTTATCGAATTTCCAGAATGACACACCGATAGGAATGTAGATAGAGAAAGTGAGACAACCAAAAAAGTCACATCGTATCTTCAATGACAACCCCTTTCTCATTACAACACCATTTCTCACTCCGTCGAAGCGAGTCGTTGATTATAATAATTTCTCAATAGCCGCAGGATAAAAATTGTCATGCTCACAATACTCAAAGTATAATCATGAATATCTACTATCCTCTATATCATTACTGACGACATAGTCATAGCTGTCTTTTATGTGCATAAGTAAAAGAAGACAATATATAAAATTCCAAAATATATTTGAATAATTCCCGGATCTTTTGGAATTACCTTTGTGTTGTGTGAATTTTCCTCAGTTCCTTAATTATTACGAATAGTCGAGTAGAAAGCACATGACCTCAAGGGGTTAATTAAACTGCAGCATCGTAAATTTTAAAGTGCATTCGCGTATGTATGTAAGTCTCGTGTATTTTTTCGCACTTGCATTTTTTTGGAAGCCAAAGAAACATGAAAAAAGGTACAAGAAAAAAAAATATTCAACGTAACTAAAATAAATAAAAATGATCAAAAAAAAGCAAAGCATCTGTGGTTCTTTAGTTCGACGATAAATCGGGCTAGTCGAGGGTAGAATGCATGGAGATATATTCATTCACGGCACGTAGGAGGAGTCGATTGTCGAGGTATCAAGAGCAAGAAGAAAGAAAAAATAAGAACATCCTCTCTCTAACTCTTATACTCTATATATACCTATACCCTTGCAATGCAGTTATACTAGCTACCATAGTTCTGCGATACATATTTAATGGATCGCACAGTTGGGAAATCGAATCGTGACTACGACCAACTCGAATCGACGAAACAATCGATCATTCACAGTCACTCGTTTTTTTTCGCCAAGTTCTTTTAACTCTTCTTATTCTTTCTTGACTTCTTCTCCATCTCTTGCTTTCCGATTTCACGGTTGTGCTCCTCCAGTAAATTTATGGTCGAACCGGGGGGGAAGTTGTATGGAAATTTTGTATTGCTCTGTATGTGGGTGTATGTCTGTGAGTAATAGGTATATTTACTGGAGAATTGGAAACACTTGACATATAATACAAAAATGATAATGAAGACGTTTAAAAAAATAATTCACTATCAGTATATTTTATGTGATATCAAATAAACCTAGAAAGAATACATGGGCATTTAAGTAATGTATTCAAATAAAATTTCCGTTCAATTATATAAATAATTTTATTTCGTATAATTGAGTTTTTAATTCTATTTTTTAGATAGCATTTGTAATATTTGTATTGAACATTTATCGAATATGGGTAAATAAATTTTTAATGATGAAATATTATTGGAAAACAAGTATTGTAAACGTCAATAATGGAGATAGAAATTGTTTTTTTATCTTTTATATGTATTTTATTTATTGAAGTATAAAATTCTCGAGTTATTTAATGGAATAATTTTATACGTAAATTAAATCGCTTATTCGCATCTTTTTTTTGATATTACATCATGTAATTATTAGGTTTCCAATAACATGATAAAGTCTAAGGAAATACTGCAAATATTTAATAAAAAATAATAACGGTATTACATTTTCTTCTGTTATTTATTATAGATTCACCTGTAAATATATTCAAGCATAAATTTATCTTCATAATACAGATTTGTTCCCAAGAAAACATCTTTCGTCACGATAAAATAATTAATTGAAGCAAATTTCTTCATAAATAAACTCAAATTAAATCTTAGACTAAAATCTTGTTGCTAATAATTGAATATTTATTTTCTCATTTCTAAATAGACGAGATTTATCGAGAATTAATAAGATTTATTAAAGAGAAAACATCTCTTTCCTTAGTACACAAAGTTGTGGATATAAATACTCTGCTGAAAATTACCCTCATATATTATTCTTTTCTTATATTAAAAAAAGTAAGCGGCAACGTAGTCATTTTTTCATCATCTTCCTTTATTTTCACGCACGAGTAACTCTTATTGGATCTTATTAAAACCAAATTCCGTCCACTTTAAGATAAAGAGCAGGAGAAGAAAAAAACTTGCAAGATTTACCCCAGTCGAAAGATTCCTAGTTGAGAGTTAAGGAGAATTGTGAGGGAATAGCTATCTTTAACCATATATCAAGAGACCACCCCTTCCCGATACTGCACAAGACTAGAAGCAACTCCCTGGTGGACCAAAGTAAGATAGTCGAGATCACAGCTCGTATCTATTGTCCTAACGCAATTTTTAACACCATTTCTTCAGAAGTTTCCGACTTGATTTAATCTCAGACAATAATCATGGTCATTATCATGATCATTATTTAAAATTTATTTTTATTTGTCAGCTGATAGATTAAAGATGATTTTACATGATG